CTCACCGCACTACTTCTTATTAGAGCCCTTTGTGACCGTTGCATGCACACACACACATAGACACATGTACGCGCACACACACATACATATACAAACCCCTACTTACAACTCCTCATCATAGAAGAAGCAGCAGTAATGGCAGAGTGAGATGGCCATCTTGAGTAATTATCTGAGTGAAGGTTGAGCATCTCAGCCGTGCGGGGATTCGACTGCAGGGATTCTAATAAAAGCTGAAGGTCAAAGATTACTCATTGACTGAATCTGCTGTAGCCAACATCAATTTTTCATGTCTTTTGAGGCACAGGATGACAGCTAATTCTTTAAATGCAGCCCACCTTGTTGTCATTCTTTTGTCATTACTCCATCCATCCTGCAGCGTGGCAGCTGTCTAACCTCTGCATGATAAGCAGAAATGGCTCGAGCTCCATTCTTAACGATGGCTGGACCAGGTTTACAGTAAACCTCAAAGAGGGTCTCATGTCAAATCAGGCCATTTAGTCTTTGACATTTATTATCATCACAATGACGGCACTGAGTCGGCCCTTTAGTGTTTTGTTTATAACATACTCTGTACTTCTTGTCATTCAGATTTCCATTGGCTATGTAAAGTACAAATAACACATAAAATACAACAAACCCGCCAAAGAGTATGAACATGTTCCCATAAGCTAGAGTCGAACAGCATCACATTTTATCATGTTAAGTTATCAGTCAGTTATTCACTGAAGTTCTGTAGTGTTAGGGTTATTGTTAAAACGTTCACATCTTACCTCTAGTCAATATTAGGAATGCACCAATCTGATATTTGGATCAGATTTCAGCTCCTACATTGACAAATTGACTGGATCGGATATCTGATGAATGACGCTGATCCAGTGTTCTGATTCAGTTTTTACTTTTTAGTTAATTTTTCTTTCAAAACATGGAAGTCTTTCTTCTTTTTACTGTGTGCTGGTGTGAAATTTGTTATTTGTTAATAAATAATATTAAGTAAATTTATATCTGTGTTAATTTGTTACCTTTTTTTAACAAGGCTAATGCCAAGCCTGATGCCTTCACTCCCAGGGCAAGGTATACAGTTCATTCATTCAACAGTAGTAGTGGATCGGTATCGGATATCGGCTGATACGCTCAGCCAAGGTATCAGTACTGGATTGGATCAGAAAAAAATAGATTGGTGCATCTCTAATCAATATAAAGTCAATCAATAGCTTAGGCTTGATCAAGGCTAATGGGGATCCCAAATAAATCAAAATCAAATCAACAAAATTATAATGGAAAATAAAAGGAGAAATTTTAGTTTGACAATTAAAAACAATCGGTCCCAGTATCTGTAAAGACAATTCATAACAATCACATAAAGCTACGTAACAGGACCGCAGTAAAAGGAAAACTAGAAAAGCACTCGGAGAGCGCAGACCTCCGCCAAACAGCTCACAGTATCCAGAATTTTGTCTGGATTTTATCAGGATCAACCTTTGCCACCTCAGAAATCTCATTGAGATCCTTTTGTGTAAGTTTTTACTAAAGACTCTGAACATTTTTATAGAGTTAAATCCAAAATCCAACATTTGCCCTATCTCACAATGATAAAGACAAACAGACACACAAACAAACAAACAAACAAACAAACAAACCAACGCTTCCAAAAACATAACCTTCTTGGTGGAGGTAATAAACATACATTTATAACAACATATATAATTACAGATGGTCGTATTGAAGAAAAAGAATAAAATATTTTAAATATTCTTAAAGTCACTTTAACGTGACCTTTATTGTGAGTAATACAGATGTAGAGTGTAATGTAGAGATCACGACAAACCAAATAAAATCATATTTTTTCATGCAAAGGAGCCAATCTATGTGAGAGTCTGTTGAATTTAACACACCTTCTCAGACATAATGAGACACCGATTGGGTGTTTGGATCAGATCATCTGCTGCTTGAGTTTCTGAGTCATAAGTGATAAAAGACGTCACCCGACAGCCATGTGAAGGAGCATGGCAAGAATCATAAGAGCTTTAATTAACTGTCAGATGTTGATTTCTGACCTTTTCTTTGTTAAAACACCGAGCCTGCTGTTGTTCAACCTGAAAATTGGTTTGTTTGTGTTTGAACTTTTCTCACAGTCTGAAAAATACTTCATCATTTTGTTACCTTAGATTCATTTTCTGCAAATAAAAGACCAAAATGACGATATTTCATTTGGACGTGGCTTTGGGGGGGCTTTCTCCAACATTGTTCCACATTATGTCCCTGTCAGTATGGATCATATAGCAGTGAAACGAAGGCTGTGGTTGAAGCATTTTTTCTTTCTTGTGCAATAAATTATTGGAAAAATACAATAGGCATCTTACACGATTTCAAAATACTCAACCTAGCCTGATACTTCCATACATCTCTCCAAAAGCTGAGAAATTAAATCATCTTTGGCATCAAGAGAAAAACAAGAAATAGAAATGGATCACTGACGCAGGTGTGTGTTATTTCTCTGCAGCTCCTCAGATGGATTACTGCAGGTCCAGCTGTCAGATTCATGATTCAGTATAAAACTGACTTTAATGGAGTTGAAGTGTTTATGTAGAGTATCAGCGTTGTGCATGTTTGCTGCTCAGGGAGCTGCAAAAAGCTTCATCACTGACAGGAGCATTTCTTCAGACACATGACAGACCAAGCCAACATGTAATTATTTGATCTTTGGAAAAAAGGGCATTTCTGCGCCAAAGACGAAACAAGCCAAGGGAGCTTTCCCCCCTTTCAGTCCCCCCATGTGTGCTGCAGAGTGATGTACATTAGCCTGCAGAATAAATCAACTGATGGATTACCCCTACAGTGTTTGAGAGTGGAGAAATCTTTACTCTTCATGTCAGCGAATGATATATGCAAATTGAAACTGCAGCAGAAGATGAATGAGATTGTAAAACCCTCAGCTCCATGGAGGCATCAACATTACTGGAAAAAAAAAATCCCATCATGATTGGTCGCTGTATAAAATCTTTTGACAGCTCGCTAAGTTATCAAACGCGAGAAAACCAATCTGGAAAACATTTGATACGATGAAGAGCAAATGTTGGAGAGGAAACGATGAATACAACAAACAGATGGACATATTTCAGACCTGACACATCAAAGTCCTCTTATGTATTCTCATGATATTATCTGATTAAACCATGAAGCAAAACCAGAGACATGTTGTTTATTTCTTTTGAAATAAACTTTTGAGAAAGGTGTTTTATTTCCTGTTTTATGATTTGAAACAGCTGAAGTGTTGAGGTTAGTGGAAGAACACAGAAGCAGTTTCTCACTGCTCTCCATCAGGATAAAGTAGTATAAAGAAAATGACCAGCAGAAACACATTATAGTTTCCTCAGTGAGGTGTCTTAAGCTCTGATCATTCGTGACACAAAAGATAACATGGACACACTACTCTGAAACTCAAAGTCTCAAGAAGACCAGGTCCAGATCAGACACTTTGTTTTACATTATCTTTAAAGATCTAAAATCAAAATAATTTTCAATGTCATCCTATCATAAGATTAAGTTGTATTAATCCACTATTTAACAGGCAGAAACCTTGAGCAGAACCCGAGTCATGCTGAACTAATGTGTTAGGACTGGAAAGAGCAACAGAGGAAGATGCAGAAAAAGGGAGGGAGGGAAGGAGGGAGAGAGAGAGAGAGAGAGAGAGAGAGAGAGAGAGAGAGAGAGAGAGAGAGAGAGAGAGACAACAACTCAACAACAATAGTGGAACTATATGAACTATTTACAAGAACAGCAAATTCATGATAATAGACTGATATCAGTGTTTCCGGCTCTTTCCTGCATGGATTATTATCTCAAAAGATTTTGTTTCCACTGTTTGATTTTACTTTGATATAACTTTTTCAGTTATAGTCCAGTTACAGTAGACACAGTTACATTAATGGAATAAAAGGGGATTTTGAACCTAACACCAGTCCATGAAATCATTTTGTTAAGACATTATTTTGAAGGCAAACGACATGAATATATATGGGAACAGTAAAATACAACAGAGATATAGAGGCAATAAAAAAAAAAAAAAACATTCTCTATCTAGAAACGCGAACAATCTTAAAAATGTTGCGACACAGATTTACTGCAAAAAAATCAACAAAAACAGGATCCTACTCAATGTGTGTGCATGTTTTTTTTTACACTACATACTCAGATGCATTCATGCAGACACAAACCCCTGCCCTTGAATTGCTTGTTAGTTAAACTATTCACTTATTGAAGCTTTTAACATTGGTAGTAATGTTGAGACTGATATTTATGGTTAAAGCAGCTGCAGTCCAGCGGGTCCACAGCAGCCATACGCAGTGATGATCCAAAGGAACCTACAAGACAAGGGAGCTCGAGGACTTCCAGAAAGATTAGAGAGTTAGAGTTAGAAAGTGAGAAAGAGAGGGAAGAGAAAGTAAAAGACAGGAGCTCATTGTGGTAGATCCCCTAGAAAACAGAGACTTTATCAGCTGGGCCAAGTCTGAGCCGCAAACTTGATCAAAAACTACAACCTATTTGACCCCTTTGCCTCAAACGCACTAGAGTTGTAAAGTTATTGACAAATGCACTAATTCTTCCACTATGAAATAACATTAGTTGAATACTGTCTTATGTGAATATAGTAGAAATATTTTGAACTTGTGAGCACCGACAAAGAGAAAACATGTATGGTTTCCTTCAACAGCAGTCTCATCTGTACACAGGCTTTCAGGCGTTTCAAAAGAAAGCAGCATCCTCTTGTGTTTAACAGGGAGAATCGCAGTAGATGAACTCTCAACAGCTTATTTTTACAGTATGAATAAAAATAAAGAGCATAAAAATCATTGAATGTCAAGTTATTTCACTAAAAGGTTTATTAATTTAAAAGACTGCGAAATTTTGGGGTTATTTGGCTGCAAAGTTACAAACGTCTCCCATTGGCTGGTTTAGTAAAAGGGGGCGGGATTGTGTATCATTGCTGACCAATCGTGTTTGAGCTCAGAGCCCGACACCAAAAAGTAAACAGACTTGTTATGATCTGTCAGAAAGCTGCAGGCGTCACTTCCTACAAGATTTACTTTCATTTAGAGGAATCGGACACTTTCACGCGGCTCGTTTGTGAGAATAGCGTGGATATTTTCCTCAGTGTCTCGGTGTTTTAGGTGACTGTTGACCTAAACTCCTGTTTTAGACGGCGTTAGCATCAGCTGGCAGGGTTAGCCACCAGCCTGCTAGCTGACGGTGTCTCCTGCAAAGTTGACATTATCCGGACAGTTTGACAGATTTTAGGAGTAAAAGTGTCCGTATGTAAGTCACTACATGCTTTAAAGCCTTTATAACCGCTCTTTAGTTTAGACTATGCCGTGAGTGTTTCTATTAGGACGCTTCTGTAACATCACACTGCTGCCTGTTTTAGCCGCCTGCTTTAAAAACCATCTCCAGCCTTGTTGTTTTGAGAAGATGTTGCTTCCGCTCATGACAACCATGCGAAGGGATACCCGGTAGTATGTGAGCTCCAGTGATGAAGCCCGAACATCAGCATCCTGCCATGGCCGAGGATGGAGAAGTGAGTCCGGCGGGGGGACGCGTCGGCTCCTCGGGCCGCCCGGGCCGACAGATGTACCGAAGTTCAGCCCACTTCCGCAGCCTGCTGGACGGCCTGCTGGCTCTCAGACAGGACGGTATCCTGTTCGATGTGGTGCTGCTGGTGGAGGGTCGACCCATCCAAGCCCACCGTATACTTCTGGCAGCTTCTTGTGATTATTTTAGGTAAAACTCTCAGCAGGTCACCAGTATCTGTACTTTCACTTTCTGTATGATGCTCTCACTACACTGAACACTGAGTAAACTAACTTTTAATATGGAGATACAGAGAAACTCAGTCTTTAGGCAGTGTTTATGCATGTTATTGATCATAGACCTTTAAGCAGATTAAAGTATCTCCAGGCCAGCTCTACCATTTTGCTTCTTTCTCCTCTGTCTTCAGGTGAGTTCAGGTGTATAAAAAACAGTCTGTCTCTAATGGCAAAAGTAAGGATTGCTAAAAAAAATAAACAAATACTTCTTGTTACCATCATTTGTTTGCTCATTTGTAGCTCAGGTTCTCTTTCTATTTACTTGCCCTCAACACGAACCTTGAGCTACTCGCTGATAAACATGTTACTGAGATGTGATTAGATAATGATTGACCGAGGAAGAAGTCAAAGGCAAAGCCTGGAGGAAGTTCCTGGTTCTTTTACAGAAACAAAAGCTGCAGCAGTGCAGATTAACACCCAGTTTCAAGTTTAAGACCTACATTTGAGATTTTGCTTAAAAAAAATACTTAAAATGCAAAAAATAAAAGTGCTAATCTTGCAGAAAAGCCCAGACTAATACACAGCACATTTCAGGATTATAGTGAGTGATTCTTTTAGTAAATGCATCATTAATGTTTCAGCTGTTCATTTGAGCTCCTTAATGTTTGAGTGAATGGTCCGTTGGTTGCTTGGTATTTTATTATTAATGATCTAAATCTTCGGAGTGGTTGCTCACTAATGTTGTTAAAAATATTGATTAAAATGGTGGACTATCATGGAATGGAAATATACAGGAGCCACAGACCATCAAAATCTGCTTTTGTCAGCTTTATTAGAATTGATTATTGGGTTGATTACATATTATTACGTATTGATTGGGTAAGATAACATCACACCACCAGTCTTAACTAATTCTATTTACACACACTGCTGACTGTGACACCAGTGAGCTGCTTGGAGTTCAGTGTCAGGCCTAAGGACACATTAGCATGTGACTGAAATAGCCGAGACCCTCAAAAAGACACTTTGTTTAAAGAGTGTGTCTCTGCACTGATCAGCTGTTTGGTTCTGAGGAGTATGAGACAACTTTTGCTCAGTGTGCAGTCACTTTATACATTTTTAATCTCAGTTTCACTTCAGTTTATGCTGAACATTATCCAGCTGACACAGAAATTATTGCAGAGTTAATTTTAGATCAGCAGCTTCAGACCAACAGAGTATGAACGCCTGAATGTTTTAGTTCAGTGTATAGAGGGGGACACTGTGTCATTCAATCAGCTCCCTACTGTGAGGCTGTGACCAGTAATCCCACTAATGTTTTAAGTAGGTTAACATGAGCCGCTTACCCCTCCTACTCAACAACAAAGCTTCGGTTTACTTTAGAGTAATTAAGGAGTTAAGAGTGAAAGCTGACCGGTGTCATGGCGGTTAATTATTTTGAGTTTCTTCAACTTCAACCAGTTGGAAAAAATGTAATTGCTGTGTTTGACCACCAGGGGCATGTTCGCCAGAGGCCTGCGGGAGTCCCAGCAAGAGGAGATCCCCATTCATGGAGTATCTTACATGGCCATGAAGAAAATACTGGACTACATCTACACGTCCCAGATTGAGTTAGACCTGGAGTGTGTGCAGGAGGTCCTGATAGCTGCCACACTAGTACAGGTACTCCCCTTCTGTTGGTTTTTTGGCACATTGTGTTGTTTGTTGTGTCTTTCCCCTCCTTAACATCTGTTCCTTTTGTGTTTTAAAGCTCGAGCTTGTCATCGGCTTCTGCTGCGATTTCCTTTTCTCCTGGATGGACGAGAGCAACATCTTAGAGGTGCACAGTCTGGCTGATGTCTATGGACTGCAGCAGCTCAACGCCAGGATCCACTCCTTCATCCTCAGGAACATCCAGACTCTGTCTCGAACCGAAGTGTACCGAAAACTCCCCCACAACCAGGTCTTCATGGCGCTGAGCAGCAATGAACTTGAGGTGAACAGTGAGAAGGAGGTGTACGAGGCGGCTCTGCACTACCACTTCAGTCCTGAGCAGGTGGAAACTGACCAGGTGTACTTGCAGGTCAGTCAAAAGGTGTGTCTCCTTTTTACTCATCTGTATTAGATTCACATTGTAAACCAAGTAGGACTAAAGTGAAGCTGGCAGGAGGGAACCAAGACAAAGGGTGTGCCAACAGCAGAGAGACATATGGCGTGTTTGTGAACATGTAAACATCTGTAGCTGGAGCAGCAGCAGCCGGTGGATCCACATTTTTTTCATGCTTGTCAGAATAAAGTAAACACCAGACCACATGTGGACCAGAGCTGCTAGTGAATAAACAATTATACCACAGGAGCCAAAAGAACAGGTGCATGGGGAACAATAGAGTAAAAAGAGATGAAAATTTCAACATTTATATCAGTTACATAATGAGAGAAATAATAATGTAGCCCTCTCAACTAACTCTAATTTGTTACACAATTGTTATGGTAAAACGCCTTTTACCTGATTACACCTTTTGCACAGGAGCTGAATTGGAGAAAGTCTACTGAAATATTAACCTTGTAATGTGTTTACTTTTACATAGAGCATATGACTCTGCCTAGGGAGCAAAGAGTCCTGGTTAGCTTATTTTATAGCTATATTGTTGTTGTGAGCTTTAATACTCCCATGCATGTACATTTAACACACTATAGCCTTAATAACACCACATTCAAATAAAAACTGTGACTGCAAATACAGAGTGCAACAGGAAGAATGTTTATTACACAGAAAGAAACATAGACAATCACCCTTTACTTTGGCCTGGTGACCCTTTGAGCCCATTAAATAAAATAGAAAAATACCCGGGTTTTGTAATTCTGTTAGGGTACCATATCGTTGGTGCCCATGTTGGAGCTCATGTATTTTTGTGAAAGTTTTTCTCAATACTCACGATAGCAACAGTTTCCTCAAATCTTCTGTTCAGAGGAGTGAGGTAAGCAGAGATGGAGAAACTTCCTCGCTCAACGGCAGGTTCTCTGGTGACAGCGTGAATCCTGAGCGCCCTCTACAGCAGCAGAAGCAGCAGACCATGTAGGCAGGCAAACCTGCAGGAAAGCATGTAGACATGTTAGTACACTAAGCCAGGGCTGTCAAGTTTCAGAAAATACCAGGAGTGAGACTTTAGCATTATGATGTGTTCGAAAAAAAATGTGGCCTTTTCTTAACGTCAATTTACACCTTAAGACTGATGTCCTCACCTCCATGCCAGCTGCTCTCCCTAATGCTTTACTTAATTAAATAGAAATTATAAATGAAAATTGTAACAAGAATTTTGACAAAATACATTTATTTGTCAATATCGCATTTTAACCAACTTTCCATCATTTAGCTGGAGACAAGATAGTTAGAGGAGCCAAGACCCGCCTTACGTTGCCTCTGATTGGTTTATATTGCACGATGTCTTCCGTGGTTGGTTAGATTTTGGCACAAAGGACGGATGTATTGGTCTGGGATATCACGGTCAGTCAATCAGAATTACTCGAACTACGGCAAGCCAAGTTTATTATCATGAAACAAAAATACAAAGTACCGAATGGGGAAATATAAGCGTGGGAAATATCAGGTGTGGCTGTCACAGTCAAAGCGTAACGCTGTGCAGCTCTGCTACGCAGAAATTCAAAACACCAATAAACTCACTGGTCTTTCTTATACATTTGTCATCAGTTCAAATAATACCCATACTCACGCTAGAAACTCGGCGCAAGGTTTTTCTTTCTCTCACACACGCGGTCTCTTTCTCCCAGTTGGCGGGAACGAGGCTAGCTCGAGCTCTATACACAACTAAAATGGCGTCGCCGAAATTCAGTACAATTCCTGCTGTAACATCTCTGAACTCGGTTTACTCACACATTTGGTCCCGGTAACACACAAACAAACCACCCGGTTTAAGGTTTTAGTATAAAAAGTAACTTTAAACTGTTTCACATGACTTACATCAACTTTTTCATGGTGTAACTTGTCATTTATTCCTCGAGCCTCGTATCTCCTCTCTTTCGTTAGTCCCGCCCCCTTCAGAATCCGGTTGGTAGTTCACAATCATCTGTGAAAGGCACTGATTGGCTAATAACAGATTGATACCTGGTTACTCAAATAAACAAAAGAAACATCATGAGACATTCACAGACCTTTAAGAACATGGGACATTTAAGTACCTTCCCCAAATTAAGTGCACTTACTAATTTCTCTTTATTAATTCAAACTTATTTCACCATACAAATAATTTAACAGGCATTATTGCAAAATACACTGAATATTTGTAAACCAAACACATGTTTAAAGAAATACCATATAATTTATGGCAGGGCGCTACAATAATAATAATAACTTTTTTTTTAAATAAACCGGTTTAATTTAAGATTTTTTTCTTGCTTTGATTGTCAGATTTGTTTGTTTTTAAGAGCGAGAGACTTCTGCTGGTTTTGTCACACATAAATTCAGAGTTACTAAACTCTGTGTTTCAGTTCTGCTTTTATCTGGGTAGTTTACCACAAAGGAACTTTATTAAACACCCCATCTGCTCCAGATCAGGTAAAGGGTCCAGTCTGTAGAGAAGTCAGATTTATTTGCTTGACCTTGGAGCTCTCTGAGAGCAGCAGATAAAGTTATTGATTTTGCTTTTCTGATATCTGTTTTCAGCACAGACTAAAATAGGCAAACATCAGGGCCTTGGAGTAGTTTTTAATGTCTATATTAGATCTTCTCTGTGATGATTTCATATTCGTCTTTATTAAACCAAACACCTGCGTCTGACAATCTCATGGCTGCAGCTGAAATTTTACAAGTGAAGTCGTCACGATGAGAACAAATCTGAAAACGAATCAGTTTTTTAGTCTGATCAGTCACTGAGTTCTCTGCTGAGTCTGTCACTGTGTAAATGCAGCTTTGTTGATTTGGTCCGTTTTAGGTGTTTAACTCTCTCATATTTGTCTTATCATAGTTCGCTCTGAGTTTTTTTTTAAATAGACGCTCTGCTCTCCATGTGAATACACTCTCAGTAACCCCGGGCTGACTTATCAGGCCACTTTGTAAGAACTTTTCAGGTTGGTTAAGTCAGACTAACAGAAGACACTTGGGGTATATCGAGTTTGTTTCTTGGTCTATTTGTTTTGGAGGGGAAGCCACTGCTGATGTTACAGCTCTTTTAAAAACCTTAAGTAGAATGAGCTCTAAAGAAATGATCACAAAACAAACTAAACAGAAATTATTTAAGCTGATTTCAAAATGAAACTGACTCCCAGACCGACTGTTTTCAGTGGAGGGTGTAAGAAGAATGTGTGATATTCAGCAGTAAACGACTTATGGAGTCCTTCAAACCCGATCAGCCTAATCCAATTTTTCAGTTCCAGATATTTGCCCGGATAAAAAAAGCTGCAAACACTTATTGTGTTTTGTTATTGTCGTCTGTAAAATGAGATAAAGTTCGAGAACATCTGAAAGACGTCTTCAGCTTGTTCTGCTAAATTAATTTCAGTTTATTTCAAGTAGCTGTTGGATTGTTAAACGTTCTCATTTAGAGTATTTCCATTAACATCAGCCGCAGGGATCTCAAAGCTCTTCCTTTTTCCCTAATCTCCTCCTTTTTAATCTTTTCCACTCAAAGGACAACCTGAAGATGCTCGACGCCGTCCGTTTCTGCCTCATCGAGAAACCGGTGCTGCAGAGGCTCTACGGCAGACTGAACCAGTGTCCCCTGAAGGAGTACGTGTCTGCTGCCCTGCGCTACCATGAGCAGGAGATCTGGCAGCCCGTCCTGCAGAGTCCCCTCACACAGCCGCGCTCCACCTTCCACTGTATTCTGGGCTTCGGGGGGATGTTCACCTCCAACTCCCTCGCAGACAATGAGCATTTGTTTCAGGTGTACCACCCGAGCTGGAGGGAGTGGAGGACGCTCAACGCAGCTCACACCCCCCGCATGTCCAACCAGGGGATCGCGGTCCTCAACAACTTCGTCTATCTCATCGGAGGGGACAAGAACACCATCGGGTTTCATGCAGAGACTCGCTGCTGGAGGTGAGGACTCAAAAACTGGTCTGCTTACTCACTTGGAGATTCATCGGGTGTTTATTTTCTTAATTGTGTATAAAAAGCACCAAATACGACTAAATCAATAAGATGATTGACAGGAAATAAAAACTCTATTTGTACATTAAAGGCTTTCGTCTGTTTTTCCCAGATACGACCCTCGCCACAACAGCTGGTGCTCCATCCAGCCCCTGCAGAAGCAGCACGCTGACCACTGTGTGTGCGTCCTGGGCGGACACATCTATGCGATCGGAGGGCGAGACTACAGCAACGAGCTGGACTCTGTGGAGCGATACGACCCACACACCAACAAGTGGGAGTTTGTGTGTCCTCTAAAAAGAGAGGTACGAGGATAGAGGAAGGGTGTAATATGCATGTTCGCCACATGATGGTGCTACAGACTCACCTGTGTGCTGCTGACAGGGATTTCCCTTCACACACACAGGCGTCTCCTCTCTTCTTCACCTTCTTTTTACTCTTCTTCCACCTCCTCTTCAGGTGTACGCTCACGCCGGAGCCGTGCTGGACGGGAAGATGTACATCACATGTGGGCGCAGAGGGAGGGCGTACCTCAGGGAGACCTTCTGCTTTGACCCTGTGGCCAATCACTGGACAGGGTGTGCTGACGGGCCAGAGGAGCGGGCGTGGCACGGCATGGCAGCTGTGAATAACCGCATCTATGTAATCGGTGGAAGCAATGATAAGCTTCAATACCGGCGTGATGTCCTGAAGGTACGACGTCACCTGTCTTTAATGCGATCAATGTGCAATGAAGGAGGAGGAGAGAGGAGAGCAGGGAGAGGAGCAGGAGGAGGAGGAGGAGGAAGAGGAGGCAGGTGTGTGTGTCTGAAAAGAGACGGAGTAAAAAAGCATGAGAGGAGAGGAGAGAGCTGCTAGACTGAACAGTGACACTGGTTCATGATATTATAAATATGAGCGTTAAAGTTTTTATGTGATAAAGATGAAACCTTGAAAAGACTTAAGAGTTCATGTTGGATCAGCAGCCTGTGATAAAAGATCCTCGAACACCGTTTAAAGACACTTCAATGCAGGTGACAGTCGTTCATTTAATATCGTGAGAATCTTCAGAATAAAGTCAAAGCTCTTAGAGTGAAGTGTTGGAGTGTAATCCTTTTCACAGCCAATACATCAGAGTTTTTAAATAACATGAATATAATCTAGTGAGACAGACAGCCGTGCTTTAACGAATAAAAAAGGAGAACTTAATACATTTTTAAAAGAGTCTGTCTCAGTTATAAAGAGTGTTTAACTTTTGTTATCTTGGTGTAATGATAATTTTTAATCAAAATAATCATGATTATGATTTGTACCATGTAAGAGCATCCCTAGGTTTACTTCATGAACTCTAATAAACAAAGACAGGTCTAAAGAAGCCTCAGAATATATTCTTCTTAAAGTCAATGATGATTTAAGGTTCTGTATTTGCCTTTTGTCTCTGTTTTCTGTGTTTTTGTTTTATTTTCATTTGTTTGTCTCTGCATTCAAATCCCAACACATATTTTTTTGTTTTTTAACCTCGATTCAAGACCAAAACTGACTTCAGGCAAAATGTTTTTCATCCCCAGATGAGTAGACCTGTGTCAAGAATCGACTTTTTGTGGTTAAAATTTCATAGAAAGTAGAAAAGTCTGTTTACCGAACTTCGATTTGAATTTTTCATGAACTCATTAACTCTACAATTATCTTAGGAATCGTTTTTTTACTTTGTCAAGTTTGTAATTTAAAAGAAAACTTGTATTTATAGACCTGTTCTCTTAGTAAAGGTTTGAATAAGTCCTGTCCTCCTTTGTAAAAGACCTGAAGTCCCACCAGCGGTTCCTCAGAGTCCCCCCGTGGAGCTGAAACTCTTAGATCAGGTCCTCGGTCATGTTTAATCTCTGTTGGAAGAACTCGCACAGAATAATTTCCTGTCCTCTTCTCAGGTGGCCTGCTTTGACCCTGAAGGTAACTCCTGGTCTCTAGTGACCCCCCTCCCTGCTGGACACGGAGAGCCGGGCGTGGCCGTGCTGGAGAACAGAATCTACATCCTGGGGGGGCGCTCTCACGACAAAGGCAACAGGATGAAGTACGTCCACGTCTACAACACCGACACCGACGAGTGGGAGAACGACACCGACTTTAAGGAGCGGGTCTCTGGAATGGCTTCCTGCGTCATGCTCATGCCCCCCGCTGTGATCGCACACGCCAAGAGCTGGGAGCAGCGCACCAAGCCATCATGGGAAGAGTTGGACGTCGGCAACTCAGAGGAATCGAGCGAGGGCTGAATCGGACTCGATGAACTGAATGTCTAACCTGTGGAGAATTTCATGCACTTTTCTGAACCTGCATGATGCATTTAGGTACTTTGGGGATATTTTTTCTAGTTCTGACACGTTGACCACTTTTGGTGCATTTCCACCGAGCGGTCCAGTGTGTTGGCTGCCTGATTTTTGACCCCCTTTGTTTTTCACACAGTGCTTTTATTTTGAAATTGTAAAAGAATTAAGTGAAAAAGCTGGTTTATGAGGCCTGTATTGAATTTGAGTTTGAGAAAAGTTGAAATTGATTACATTGGCTGCAAAAAATATGAGATAGAATCAGGTTATGGGTTTAATTTTTCCTTATTGTGATCTCCCTCTTCCTTTGCATCCAACTCTGTGCTCAGCTGGCGTCTTTTTGTGAATTAAGCAACAAAACGACCCCTGATTGGTATGAAAATGTGCATAATCTTCAGGTTAGGCTCAGTTTAACTCTGTATGATTGATCCGCCCACATCCCCTCTCTCTCTCTCTGGACCGCTCGGTTGGAAACGCAGCTCTCGAGTGCCTCCGAACCAAAGTATCATTCAGGATTTTTGCACGCTTTGTTATTTTTTAGATGTTTCTTAGATATTTTACTCCCTCCATGAATCCCAGCATGTAAAAATGCAAACCTTTATGGACTGATGCCTGATGATTTATCAGAAAGAGGTGAAGAAGACAGATGGCTATGCAATAACGGTGAATATGGTCCTCCGCAGTGTTTTTCTTCTAATAACTAACGATAAAAGGTCTGAAGCGGTCAGCTTTTTTAATGCTTCCCATGAGTCGAGTTTAATTCTTTATTTGACTGTGATTCATCCCTCCATTATAACATGTCTGGTTAAACACACTGGACTTATCGTCGCTTCCAGACTACTGAGGACTCATACAGAAGTGTTGCCGAACATTGTGCCTTGTTTATGTTGTTGCACCCTGATTTTTATTTTATTTGTAGTCGTAGGTTTGGTGCCTCTGATATCACATTAAGTTTGAACCTGAACGATGACCATAGACCGTATATAGAATAGTATAAAGTATATACAGTCTATGACGATGATGCACTGGTGCTAAAGTTGGCACACCTCAGCTCACATCATGTTACGATGTCTGTGTCTGATTTATGAACCTCGTGGATGAATTTGGTGTCTTTTTTTGGATCTCTGACTTGACCCAAAGAGCAGATTTCACTCTTTTTATTCTTTTCTTCGCCTCACTCTTCAGCTTGTTGCCTCGTCTTTTGCTCTAACGCGAAGGATTTGATTACACTCCTCTATTTATCCCTTTTTTCTGTCACAGTTAAGGAATTTCCTGGATTATGTCTACAGATATGAGAGAAAATACTCTGTATTTGGATTTACTGTCACACAGATCTGCCAGTTTGTTACCCTCTTCATTCTTTATGAATTTAAATAAATAGTAATATATATAACTATCACTTTTGTTCACTCATGTTCTGGAGTTTTCACCCCTGCGATGTGTGTAGGCTACATTTGCTTACCGCACGTCAGTCTGGACTCTGCACTGTAAAATTAATTTATGGTCAAACACACCGTAACACCGAGTTAGACCCCCCCTCCAGAGATGAATGTTGCCGACCGCTTGCTTCTCTAGTTATACCAACTTTAGTAACGACCGCAGGATAGCAATACACAGAGGTCTGAGGAGCCATAAACAAACCTCAACCAAAACGCCACTCTATAGCCACAAATAATGCTCAGAACAGCACCTAACTTCATCAACAGGACATATAGGGTCACAGACATAGTACTAGACACCAAACATCTTTTTAACTTTGACTCATTTCTTTAGCAAAGACACTGGCCAGTCCATTACGGACTACAGCGGGGTGACGCAGCTCAAGGAAGAACATTTATGATCATTTCTTTATCATTTCCATGAAGTAAGTATTTAAAAAAAAATAAATAAATAAAACAAAATGCAGTGAAAAATTGAGCGATGCAGCAGATGATGATACTGTGGCATCAGAGTCGGCACCTCGCTAAACTCGGGTGTACTCCTCTTGTACAAAGCCTACTGTTACAGAACTTTATCCTTCTTTCAACTCTGTTAAAAAGTGAAACATGGGGTGCATCTAATTATTATCTAAACCTTTTAAAACTAAAAAGTACATGAATACTTGTATTATAGACTTATTGAAGTACATTTAGGGGTGTAAGACCTTGTTGTCGGGGCTTTCTGTGACTCAAACGGCACCATGTTGGAAGTTTTTTGCAGGTTTATAACTTTAAAATTATTACCTCAGAAGTTTTCCTGCAAACATGAACTCATTACTGCTGAAAAAAATCAAAGAGCTGAAGACAGAAATCAACTTAAAAAGCATTAATTGCCAATTATTTTGACAGTTAATGAATATCTGCATCTTTCAAGAGCACACTGAATCAAAACAGATCTGTCCTCTCTGGTTGGAGATTCTGTAAATGAGGATCATTTGGGTTTCTGGGTTTGAAGAAAAAAGTGATTTGAGGATGTGACTCATAACTTTGGTTAATCAATGAGACTGATGGTTATATTTCTAACCTTCTCAATCATAAACAAAAGTGAAAATCATTTGTGGATTCACCAATAAGGAAGTAAAAATGACCTTTAGCCCCACATAAGCAAAGATTGTGATGGTTTAAGGGTCATTAAAGGCCTGAATTTAATTGTAAATAGTGCCAGAATAAAAATTTGAATTGTTGGAAAAGGACATGTTTCCCATCTTTATATTTAACAACACTTCTTAAACATTTTGGACTCCTGTTGACCAGATTCTGGTATTTTGGAGGTGAAACATCGACCCATTCTTGCTTCATTTTCACTCGGGGTCTCCTTTATTGTGTTTTGCTTCAAATGGGTGAGAGGTCAGAACCGCAGCAGGACTCTTCTACTTCTGGGCCATGCTGTTGTATGTCAGTATTTGATAATATCTGTATATATTGATCAGCATTAGTGGATTCCTCTGCCTCCTGGTTAAATGTCCTCCTTTACTAAAGTACAGTGAGTCGTGGTCGCTGCTCTTTATTCCTCCTGTCTCCTCCAGTTCCTCTCCATTTGTCCCTCCGCTCCCTCAGCTTTATGAAGGCTGACTGCTGTTTTCCTCTCTGAGGCTGTTTCATCTGCATCTGTTACCCCCCACCAGCCCGAGTTAGTGCCCCCTCCCTGCTTTGTTTCACACCATCATGCCAGCCCCCGTCATGATGTCTACTGGGCTCTGCTGACAGCAGCTCTGGACGTCCGATCAACAATCTGCTGCGTTTATGTGTCGCTCTCTTCATTCTGGAGGCTGCAGGAGCACCTGGGGGATACTTCAGACATATGTCATGCACTTAAGCCCGTCAGGAGCCTTTACGGGCCTCTGAGTGCAGGTCGATCTGCTGCTTTTTGCTGGACCATTACCACGGCAATTAAAGGGCCTGAATCACCCATTGATGTGCAGCTATGCAGATTGATCCCAGAGGAGCTGTGGATGTGTGTGTCGGGGGATTTTCCTAAGTGCTCACTCTCATTTTTGTTTCTCCTGTTGTGTTGGTGAGGGGGTGGTCTTCTGCCTGATCATCACCTGAACAAAGAGGGTCACCTGTGGACACAGATCCAGACTCTTTTCATGTTGGAGATAATGAACAAACAGTGTAAGAATAAGACACAACTCAGTCCCTCTTTGCCCTTCTATCTGACTTAGGAAACTAAGGACATGTCAAATATGAAGCCAGAATTTAAGTAAACTCAGCTTCCACAAGCACTTCAACATCTTGTTTTGTTTTAGTCTAATAATTACGCTCACTGAGCATATTATCATTTGGCTTTATTCATTCAGTTCAAAACTCAAGGTTCTCACTCTCTGGAGTAAAATAAAAACCATGTTGAAGAAGAAGGATCCACTCTGATCTTTCTTTAGACCTTTAATCTTAGAGAGTTGCAGTTTTTTGTTGGTTTAAACTTTTATAAAACTGTTTGATAAAATAAAATTTCAGGTTTAAATTCAGAAAAAAAGTTTCAAGTAGAAGCTGTAACATATGGTGTTGTATCTAATTGTGTAGTATCATATAATTTCTTATCAAAAATTGGATAATTTTATTTTCTGACAATCTACATCTCGTCATTATTGTTGCAGTGTAATATTGTATCATACAGTGATGTTATGTATCCATTCAGTTTGTTCTATTTTGTTTCATTTCTAGTTGTTTCTTGGATTGTATCAATGGTATCATGTCACATCGTATCGTATCATATAGTATTGTATTTTATCATGTCACATTGTATCATGTCATGTCATATTGTATCGCATCGTATCGTATCGTATCGCAAAGTTTCATGTCATGTTGTATCATGTTACATCGTATCGTCTCGTATCATACCAATAGTGTTTTATCATGTCACGTTGTATCGTATTGTCTTGTATCATATCACATAATCATGTATCATGTCACATCTATGGGATCATATCATATCGTATCAAATCATGTTACATTGTATCGTATCGTATCGCATCGTATCGTATCATATCATATCGTATCGTATCATTTCATTTCCCGGCCTTCCACTTCACGTCATTACTGTTGCTTTTGTATCCTAATGTAGAATTGTATCATACTGTATTGTCATGAATTGTTTCGGTTTGTTTTATTTTGTTTCATTTCTTGTTGTTTCTTATATCGTATCTTTTTCTTATTGTATTCCTTTTATTCATTGTGATATTTTGAGCTCCCTGTTTTGCTGTTGCTGCTGTGTATCTGTTCTTGAGTTTTAAATTATATTTCTGACGGCAAAATGTACCAAAAGAAGTCGTCTCACATACATCACAAATTTAAATGCTTCAGTATAATGGGGTATAATCTTAAACGCTCCAGTTCTACAGTAACAGGATTTAATCCGTCCACTTCAGACTGACTTCTAATTTTCTGGTTTTCAGGAAACAGACGGCCTTCAGTAGATTTAATCTCTGATTAATTTCTCTGAGTTTGAACTTTATCGCACATTGACCTTCTCACTCAGCGGTAAAATAAAGACCTCTCAGCTCTCCTCCTCATTAAAGTCACTAAATGAACAGTGTGAAACATACAGCCAAGAAAAATGAGAATGAGGATGAATAAAATCCAGACCACACCAGACTCGCTCAGCAAGGATGACTCCCCCTCCTCCCCCCTGAACTTTACAACAGTCATTAGCGGCTCATATCCACCCCGGGTGGAGGCGATGGGCCCTGCCTGTGTTTTTCAGCCGTGAAAGGGGCCGATAGCCCCCCATTTTCATGCTTTTTAAGGCTCATTGAGATGCAGAATGAGAGTGGTGAGATGCTTTATGATGCTGGTGGGTAAACATCAGCAGGTGAGCCGCAGTCTCAGTCACTCACAGCCTTTAATGCATGCTGGGCCTGTGGAAACTACAGAGGGCTGCTCATTAGATCAACAAAGAGGAAATACAAACAAACACGAGCAGAGGATGTGCTGCTTATCAGGGACGAGGCATGCAGATGTTCACACGCAGACAAAGACACACACCTACAATACACTCGTGCTTTCACAAGAGGAACACGGATGAAACAAACATCCACCCATCCCAGCTCAGGGTCAATGTTGGGTTTCAAAAATTGTCGTTTCTTGTGTCGTATCTTATCGTGTTGTATCGTGTCACATCATATCATGTCAAATTATATTATATCGTATCATGTCACATCGTATCGTATCATATCATATCAAAGCATATAGTATCAAACTGTATCCTATCATATCATGTCACAATGTATCATATGGTATTGTATCGTATCGTATCATAACATATCATATCATATTATAGCCTATTGTATCATAGTGTATTGTATCATATCATCGTATATCATATTGTCACGTCGTATCATATTGTATCATATCGTATCCTGTCACATTGTATCATATCACATCGTATCGTATCAGATTGTATCAGATTGTATCATATTGTATTATATCATGTCACATCCACAGAAAGGATCTGACCCATCCCAGCTCAGGGTTCAATCTTGTGTTTAAAAGCAGCTCTTTTGAAGTGGAACCATACTCTTCAGCAGCCGGTCTATGACCCCGTACTCTTGCACACTAGGACCTGAACCGACTCCCTCATAATTCTCAGCAAAGTAACTCTAAAAGTGTAATTTTACCATCCAGTCCCAGTCTTCCGCATGACTGGTCTGTGTCATGACATGTTCTGTTTATTTAGTTTTCTCCTGGTTTTATTTTAGTGCATTTTGTGGATTTTCACTTGTGTTTATGTTTCCTATTGTTCCCTTTGGTTATGTCAGTTCACCGTGTTTCTCGATGTGTGGATCTCTAGTTTCCTTGTGGTTTTTGTCTTTTGGATTTTTCAGTTTGACACTTTAAGTAAGTTTTGTTGCTTTCCATTTAGTTATTTTTTAATAAATCTCTTTTTTTAGTCTGTGTTTTTTGGTCCTTGACGGAATGAACCAACAAGACAGAGGGGAAGACGGGAACTATATACACACCAGGAAACGAGCAACAGGTGAGGCAGACGAGACACAGGTGAGACTTATGGGTGATCAACGAAGGGGGGAAAACCAGACTAGAAACACAAGGAATAAACTACTACAGAATAAAACAGAAAATAAACACTGAAAACTGATCGAAAGAATAAAACCCAGAGAACAGGAGGGAAACAGGGTCAAAGACAAACTGAAAACACAAAAGACAGGACTACAGGGGAACAGAAACACAAGGGAAAAAACAGAAAATGGACTCAAACTGAATCAACAGAACAAATCATAAGAGTTAAACCCTTTAAAGGAAGGTCTCAGACTGGAGAAGGTGGACGTGCGTTCAGGAAAACAAAGACGTCGAGTTCAAGAGTCAAACGAGTTTTTTATTTTCATCACATCACAGTTTTTTTTAACAGACTTTGATTGCACACTTAATGTTTTATTCTCTTCTTTTATAAAAATAATATTTACACTTGCAGATGAGATGAAATACAAAATAAATACACAACCCAACGATCAAACACGGAGCAGCACACGTACATTTCAGTCAGCATTAACAGAGTCTGGGTCCTGTGGGTCAGGGTCTCCTCGCTCAGACAGTTTTTGGGTTCATGCAGGTCTGCAGTCAGCCTCCATCAGATCAGCCCTTCACCAGCAGGAATAAGAGAACAGCGGGTACTGACTCCACTCTGCCACGTTGCCATGGTGATAGCCGTGATGCACAGCCTGCGTGGTGTAGTCAGCGGTCAGGTGGTGAGGAGGGGGGTACTGGGCGGGTCCGGCGCCGCTCCACTGACCCAGGGTCTGCTCGGCTCCGTAGGGGCTGTAGATGTGGTGGCTGATCACTCCGGGTTTGCCGGCCTGGGTCATGCTCATGTTGAGGACCCCGGTGTAGTCCTGGGGGGCCGGGAGGTGCTGGGGGCCACACGCTGAGGGGCCGATCTCCTGCGAGCGGGGCTTTGAGGAGTCGTGATCGGGGACGGTGGCGATGTCGGGGACTCTGGACTCGAAGCTGCTGCGTCCTGATCCGCTGCTGCTGCTGCTGCCGATGCTGGAGGACGGAGACGGGGACTTCCCGTACTCGTGGAACCTGAAGGGTTAAAAAAAAACACAGATCAGACTCCAGTTTTTCACGACAGAATCAGTTTTAGTTTTTGTTGCTGTACTTTACGAGCGCTCACCTGTACGGCTGATAGGAGGCCGGAGCAGGAACCAGCTGCTCGGTGTTGTACATGTCCCTGTGGTCGGCCCCTGCAGGAGACTCGGTCCTCACGCTGTGGTCCCTCTCTGCAGCCCAGGGAGAGAAACGTTCCTCTTTGACCCCTTCAGCGTCTTTTCTTTTGGGGAGGTCTCCTTCTTCAGCGTCGTAACCCTCATATTTGCAGAAATCTGGAAAGAGACACATGAAGGTTTGACTAAAGAGTTCAGGATGTGACGGTGAAAAGATCAGCTTCACCCTCTAATGCCTTTTGTATCCTATTAAAAACATACTTTTATAAACTTCTATCAAATCAATATGATCAACAAATTAGTGAAAAAAAAAAAAAGTCTTCTTGTAGTTAATCAGTTTCCAAAAACATCTAGAGTATAAAATGAGATAAATAAATAGATTTGTTACGTTTTAAGGACATTTTGATTTTTTGTTTTTCAGTAAGTGAAATAAATAATTCAGCTCCAAAAAAATGTGTTACAGGACGAGAGGTTTACGATCATACCTGATGGACTTTCTTCATCAGAGTCGCGGTTCAACATGTCGGACATCTTGGCGCGTTTCTCCAGACAGGCTGGACTTTTGTTTGCACGCCTGCAGAGTTAAATCAGACTCATTATTACACATTATCACACAAAAGCTGATCCTGCATGAATTAGACTTTTTCAGCGGTGTAATACCGACCTTTTCTTGTTGGTGCCTTCCTCCCGGAAACCTTTTGCAAAAGGGTTGTGATCGATCTTTAGTTTTGTGATCTGTGAGCAGAAAAATCAAGACGGTTAGTGACTCAAATATGCATGATATTCGACCTGTGCATGATAGTTCTGTTTGCAGAGATGGAGCCTCACCTTGGTGTTCTGGTAAGCCGTGACGGCGGTGAAGGCGGTCTCTGGGAAGGTGAAGGTCTGGAAGACGCTCCAGCGAACACTGAACAGATCATCAGCCTGAACGAGGTGGAAGCGTGGATGGTAGCGGTGCATGGAGTGTAAAATAATCTGCAGGAAGAAAGAAAGAAAACAATGAAATCAACAAGAATGAACTTTTATATCTGTGTATGAAAACCACGGTCGTGATTCAGCCCCTCTTACTCACATGTCCGTGCTGATCCAGCGTGTTGTTGGTGAGCTTCAGCTTGAGAAAAGACACCGACTGCTTCATCCAGTGGCTCCCGGGGGCCGGAGAGTCTGGGTGGAGGTAGGTCCTGCAGGGAGGCTGAGGCTCTGCTTTTCCTGCCACCTCCCATTTCTCTTTATTCCACTGCAGGAGACAGGAGACAGATCATCGCTCAAAATGTGTCACAGAGAAAGGTGATTCACGCGACCCGCAGCTCCTCCGTCTTCCTTCTCCCCACAGAGGAGGTGCGAGAGCGGGCCGACTGAGTGGAGAGTCTCTGCCGACCAACACCACCCACAGAGACAGGGGGTAGTACAGTGGGCCCCCAGCAGGGGATAGAAAAACAGGAAGAGATAGACCTCTTTGATGTACCATGTCAGGAGAGAGGAGGGGGGATCATCAGGGGGGTTCAGTCTGGAGGTCCTGAAGGTGGTCTGCAGCCAAAGCCACGACTCACGGCTCAGTCAAGACTACGTAAACTTTTCAGAGTCAAAATCAAAACATGCACAAACCTTATATCTGAATCCGTCCTCAGGAACCATGTCCACCAACAAGATGTACTTCGCACAGGGGATCAGACCGGAGAGGTGGACTTTACAGTGAGGGAACATCCGCCTGGAGATCAGAGAAGAGGAGGAGGAGAATAAATGAGTACAAAAATAAATCACAGAGTGGGAAACTTTGTAAAAGCGGTTTAATCTGCAGTCTCACCTGCCAGGTTTGGTAATAATCATCTCTGTTCCTATTTCATGGAAGGTCCTCCAGAGTTCAGTGTCCTCCAGAGTCATCCTGATGTTACCCTGAAGATAAGCGTCCGGTCCAGCAGCAGCCATGGAGGAGGGAGGAGGGCCGCTGAAGTTCGGCTTCAGGTCTGGAAGAATCAGAAGCAGCGGTGAGCCGATCGGTCTAAAAGTCACAGATCTTTGGTGCATGAAGGTTTTTCAGATACGGACGGTCACACTCACCTCTGATAGACTGCATGCTTCAGGATCGGCGGTACCAGCTCAGTACGGGTTCATGCACCGAGAACCAAAAGTGATCCGAGTGATATCCAACAGACTGTGAGCTCAGGCGGCCCTGATCTCCAACCACATGTGTGAAAAAAGTGAAGAAAAAGAAGTAGATCCAGCAAAGAGGAGTCAAGTCAGGGGGGTCAGTCTGGACCTTTAGGGGCAGATTTATCCGAGTCCTGCAGGAAGAGGTGACCATGACTTTTAAGGGGACCCTCAGAGTGGGAGGGGTCAGGGGAGCCATTCCCAGGCTTTGAAGTGACACAATGATGAGTCAGGTCCCTGCTGTGATTGGAGGCTGCTGGAAATCAAAGAGACTTAACAGAGTCCTGATACCGTCCCCACAGGAAGGGGGACGGAGGAAACGCATCTTTATTAACTGCTAAGAGACTTTTAAACAAATATGGACGCACTTCCCTGCTGCAGGTCAGGGCGGCAGCGGCTCCAGAATCTGAGAGTAAATATCGTTCACGCAGACACGAGCACGCATTAGTGAGTCTGTGCAATGAGCTTAATTCACCGAATCAGACTAACAACAAAACTGACAGAAGAACGAGAGGAGAGGAGAGGAGAGTTTGACCTCCTTAAAAAAAAGGGTGGAATCAAAATTCTGCTTAACAGAAATAAAGAAACTTTTCTTCATGTAAATTAAATATGAAAGAAAAAAGTCAACAAAACATCCAGAAATTAAATATTTGCACCTCTTTACACTGACTTTTTTTTTTTTTTTTTTTTTTTACAGATTCAGTGAGGTTAGATGCAAAATTTCTTAACTATAATGTTGTATTTTTAAATAAATTTAATATTTAACATAAAAATTTACCAAAACTACCAGAAATAGAAATCAAAAAATGGAGTCATGGTGCAAAATTAGTCTTTTCATCAGAATAAACATCATAGAAATGGATCTAAATTATTTAATAACATGCACATAGTTGCATTAATGAGTTAATTATCCAAATATGAAGATGAAGCTCCAACCCTGAGCTCTAAATTTACAGCAGCGATAAATACAAATGAGAGATTAAAGAATAATACAAGTTAAAAGACATTAAAATAACATAAAAAATAGATTGAACATGTTGATTTGGTTTGTCTTATTATGACCGAAAACCAAAAAAGTTCTTAAATTTAAAGCTCAGATAAAGAATATTATATTTGTGTTGATTTTGGCACCCCCTGTGGACAAAACAGTCTCTGTTTTCTTTGTTGTCTCTGTTGTTCACTGTGAATATTTTATTTCTGTAGCTCATTGGCTGACCCCGTCACAGTTTAAGGCCTCATAATGACACAACTTGAAAAGGTCAGATCGTCTGTTTTGCTTTTGTTTGGAATAATAAGGCGTCGCTTTGACCTTCAGTCTATTTTATAAAATCATGGCCAGAAAATTCAAATATTTTTGGACCTGAAATGTTTTTTCACGTACTACTAAAAACCAAAAAAATCAAAATGTCCTTAAAATTTCAAAAATATATTTATCTTGTTTGATACATCAGATGTTTTTGGAAACTGATGAACCACAAGTCTAATAAAGCTTTTTTGTCATTTCTTCATGTCTTTTTTAAAAAATTTTGTTTTCTTAGTTAAAAAGTTTTGTTTCATTTCTTCATGTCCTTTTTAAAGTTTTTTGTGTTTTCTTAGTTTAATATAGTTTTTTTTTATTTCTTAATGTCTTTTTTAAATTTTCTTAGTATATTAATAAATTTTTTTATTTTTTCATAACTTTTTCAAAAGTTTTTGTTTTCTTGGTTTAATATATTTTTTTATTTCCTCATGTCTCTTTTTTAGTTTTTTTGTTTTGTTAGTTCATTTAAGTTTCATTTAATAAAGTTTAATAAAATACAGAAACGTTCCTCACATTGACAGTGGAGCGTTGCTATATTTAGAGGTTCATCGTCTCGCTCTCAGAGGTCAAACAGAACCACTTCCTGCAAATAAACTTGACTGATAAGAAGTGAGCACTGCTGAGAAACCACGAGAGGACATTTTATCATTTATCGGACTGTTTTCAGGTGTTTTGTAGTAATTTGTTGATCATATTGATTTGATAGAAGTATCATAAAAGTCTGGGTTAAAGGGTTAAAGAGCTGCAACATCTAATTCTTGATATTTTTACCTCCTCGTTTAGAGAAATGACGATGTGGGAGGGGAACTCGGTGTAAACCCATAATGGCGTAACGACGACATGAACTCTTCCTGCAGGTAACTCTTACCTGAGGGCGTCTCCTGAGGCCTGCAGGCAGCACTGAGGAAGGAAGGTGGGCGTTGGGGGGTGAGGGGGTGGGGGTGTTGTGTATTGGGGTGTCTAGACAGACCCATGCTCTGATAGATAATCTCATTAGACCAGTTTCCCTTGAAGGGGACAGTTTCTGCATGTGGAGAAAGCCAAGCAATTAACAGCCAGTTAGCACCACATGTCCAAATCAGCTGAATGGGACAGGAGGGGTCTGAGAAGAAAGAGCTGCACCAACAACCCCGAGCGTCCCCATCCAGGCAGAATCCCCCCATGTGAGGTACCGAGTTTAAGAGGCAAAACAAAAGCTGAACTCTGCAGGCGTCAGCGATGAGGAGCAGGAATATTTGAATTGAAGGCTCTCTCCTAACATAAACACACCACTTCCACCTCCACTTCTCACTGTATTCTCATGTCTGCAGGCTGCATACAAAGCCTTCTGTAGGCCTGGCGCTCTGACTCAATGCACAGAAGGAAAATCTGGTTTTGAGTCACTGTATGGATGAGGGATTACATGTCATGCTTATATACCAGCCGTTCCAAGAGTTAGAAACGCTGCAGCCAAAATTAAAATCTAAATTTATTCACATAATCAAGAGTTATGCATAAAAATAGAGCAAAAAAGATAGAAATCAAGATGCAAACTCTGAATTTCTCACCTAAAATTAAAACTATTGATCATTATGACCTGAGCAGCCCTCATCCTGGTGAAATCCTCCTAATGAAGAGGAGTTTAAGAGCCTTTAGACGGTCCTCGAATGCAGCACTCAGTAGTTAAATGTGCATAAAGAGACGTTCACTTCTAAAAGTCCTCCCTGTGAAAGTATTGACCGTCCGCTTTAACACATCTGTGCGGGGTCGATGCCGAATAAAAGGAACATAACACTCGGCTTGTAATGATGCACTTAAAGCTGCAGACATCTCTGAACGCTCGCGCAGCACTTCCCCCTTCTCGGCGGCGCAGCATTGGCCTTGAGGAAACGCGGCGTGTTTCTATCCTCCACATGTGAAACCAGTTGTGGAGGAGTTATTCGTCACAGGTCCAGTGTGGCTGTCCTCACCTGGATCGGGGTCCCCTTGAACTATTCTGCAGGGTCGGAGAGGTCAAGCAGCTGTTTGAGAGTTCAGATACAGAGACGCTGCGGGGATTAAGAAGGTTTAGTCGGGGAGTTTTATTCGAGGATTTTGCAGCAGAGTGTGTCAGAGTCCGAGCTGAGGTGTACGTTTCAGCAGCAGCAGTGTCAATCCCATTATGGACTGGGTCTGGAGGTGGCGGGTGTGACTGGGATAAAGGGCCTCAGGGGTGAAGGTGAGGCGCAGAGACTCCTGACAGGACAGGGAGGTGACGTGAGGAAGACCTGAATCCAGAACACGACTCTAAAAATGTTGTTTGGATCAGTTTGTAAACTGAGACAGGAAGAGACCTTTTAAACGGATCGAATCCCCACGTCTCCCCGCTCCGCTCTCCTCCCTGGTCGCCTTGTTTTCGCAGTGATGTTCCACCTCCCAGGTGTCAGTCTTTGGCCATTTGCTTTAACTGCACAGATCCTCCTGGTGCTCTTCTCCAGTTAACAGCTGCCAATATACAGCCAGGGCCCGGGGATCAGACGGCTCTCTAGCAGCCCAATAAAGAGCCCCCGGAGTGGACTGACGAGAAATCTCACACCTTTCGCCCACATTAGCCATGCAGCATGCCCTTTTGATGCTTAATTGGCCACTTTGAGGGGTATGTGGAGATAGCAGCACTGAGGCCTGGAGACGACACGAGCTCACAGGGGCAGGAGGAAAACCATCACATGAAAACACGACCAGATTTATTATAACGGGGCCTGATCTGATTCTAGGCGCTCTGTTAAACCTGAGACCACAGCAGGAGGGGGTGGATTTATCCAAAGGCGCACATGAAACCAAAGAAATCAAACAGATTTCTCTAAGAGTTAAACTCGATAAAGCAGTCTGACCGATTATCTCAGATCTGGCTCCAGAGATCCTGATCCCACATGGACCAAAGTGGGGCCGGCCGAGCCCACATTTGGTCGCCTCATAAGAAAACAAACCCTCAAATCGAGCTTGCCTGGCAAAGGGGGCAAATGACAACTTCACAGCACTTCATAAGAAACTCCTGGAAGTTGCTAATGAAGACTAATGACTTCCCTCGTGTCGGAGACTTCACACCAGTGTGTACGAGCCCTTTGACCACAAAGTCAGTGTGGTCAGCCGGGTGGTTCGCCGGCTTCAGCTCCTGAGGAAACTGTCAGAGAATTAATGTCACATGAAATAAAAATTAATGATTATCTGAGCTGATATATATTCAAGTGTTCGCCTTTAAGTTTTGGTTTGATTTAATGAGACTGAGGAGTTTTTATTCTGAACAATAATGAGGAGAAATACAAGGATTTGACATGTGAGATTAAAACTTTGGTTTTATAAAGTTGAATAAAGTTATTTTTTAATTTCTTCATGTCTTTTTGTTTTTTTTGTTTTCTTAGTTTGAGGAAGTTATTTTTTCACTTCATGTCTTCTTTTAGTTTTTTATCTTAATTTAATTAAGTTTTTTTTCATTTATTCATGATTTATTTTTAGTTTTTTTTTGTTTTCTTAGTTTGATAGTTTTTTTTCAGTCCTTCATGTCTTTTTTTTTAGTTTTCTTAGTTTAATTAAGTTTTTTTGTTTCATTTCTTTGTTTTTTTAAATTTATTTTTGTTTTTTTAGTTTAATCAAGTTTAATAAAATAAAGAAACGTTCCTCACATTGACAGTGGAGTGCTGTTATGCTGAGATGTTCATGGTCTCGCTCTCAGAGGTCAAACAGAACCACTTCCTGTGAATAAACTTGACTGATAAGAAGCAGCGAGTGTTGCTGGGAAATCGCCGTTTGTGTTTTTCTATCTGAAGCCTCAGCCTCTGACACGAGTCTTTCCTGGAGCAGAGACACGTCCAGACTCGTCAAAGCTGACACAACATTTAAACAGTTTTCTTTTCATGGAGTTAATAACTCTCAATAAAAGCTTTATTGACTTTTTTCACTGTTTGAAATTTTGACGATGTTCGCTGTATTTCTTTTTAAAGCGTTCCCGTTTTCATGTTCTGGGATAAATCTCATTCATCAATCAGTCCAACTTTACCCTTTCAGGAAAACTAAACTTTGAAAGGAACATTTTGGATCATTTATAAAAATATCTAAAGTTTATAAAAGAAAAATTTGATAGCGTAGAGAAATATTTGCTCTTTTTAAATTTGATGCACATGAAAATAACGTCTCGCTGTTTCTGGATTATGTTTATAAATTCTCTCCGCTCTGCAGACTGCAGCTCTAATCTGTCAACAAGCTTTTGTTTTTAGAGGTGATTTTGAGCCCATGTGGTGACTTCCACGACAAAGTCATGTATTCACTTGTTGAACTCAAAACTCTGTAATTGTACCCTGTAGTTCACGAAGTTTCTCTCTTAGAAAAGCCCATTTAATGAGCTGCTATATTATAAATATGGAAGAGGATTAGGGCCACTGAAAAAAAAAAAGGTCTGATATAATTTTTTTAGTTATTATTCTGAGAAAAAAGTCAGAATTCTGAGATTAAACTCAGAATAATATTTTTTTTTCCTCCAGTGGCCCTAATCCTCTTCAGTACATAAAAGATGTAAATGATGAACAAATTCATCATGCAGCACTTTTTAAACGCTGTTCAAAAGTGAAATTGGTTTATTTTTTTTATGGTTTTCTTTGGTAGTTTTGGACATGCGTTTATGCATTTTGAGTTGAGGCTTTGGAAAAATTAAACATAGTCCACAAAGAAATCAGAGACTGCAAAGACCTCAAACTTGACCCGGTCGGTTTGTTGTTTTCATGTGCGACACTTCTTTAATAATCGCTGACTTTTAAATTGTTTATATTGTAATAAATGTTTCCGTTAGAACCTAAATGTTAATCAGCTTTTTAGTAAACTGCAGAGTTTACTAAAGAACTGATTCACATTTGAGATTTAACAAAAAAAAACCCTGTCAGACTAAAAAACCTGAACTTCGCACACAGACAGGAGGAGGATGTGAATTTCTCAAACTGGCCCAGGAGCTCTAAACTAACTAAATCGCTGTCTCATCAGATCCAGAACCCTGTGGAGATCCCGCCCTGCAGATCTGAACGATCTTACAAACAGCACACAAAACCAGAAGCGTGTTTCTCAAATATATTTTTGGTTTGACATCTATAATGCATTCAGTCCAGACACAGAGAACAGTTCCCCTCCGGCGGTCCGAGCCCGGGGCTCCGACCCGCTCACCTCCTTAAATGTGGTACATTCCCAGAAGCCCAGCAGAACCATAGAAAACTATCTTACAACAAAAATAAACATAAACAATCAAATCAAATACAAAAACAGTTTCCTTAATTTTTTGATCATTTACAATTTCTCCTTGGTGTTCCTTTAAAAATGAGTTTTCGACAGCTTTCAGGAAACACGTCAGTAAATATCTTTCTCTGTATAGAAAACAATCTGTAAAAAACATTCTCATGTCTTCCTCTGAGTTTAGCGAGAATCGTGACAAATTTAACCCAAACGGTTTTCGAAGGAAAGGCATCAGTATTAGAAAGTGTTTCTTCTCATGCATGTCACTGAACTCAGGAGAGGCGGGGCTGAAGAGGAGTCCGCTAACGCCAAAGTCGAACTCTCACACATGCACACGCTCCTCCGGCTCAGATACTCCGCCCCTCAGAGCCATTTCTGATCGTGACGTTGTAGAAAAGCTCGTTCAGAATCGTCTCAGCGGTCCGTTTTCGATCAGTGCTGGTGACAGGACACTTCCTGGTAAGAACTGTTCCTCTTCGCTACAAGTGCACACCCAAAAAAAGAAAATATACAGCGGACAAACTTTTACAAGAAAGTACAAAAACAGCACAAAGTTTAGTGCCGAAAGGAAAAGCAAATCCCAAATATTAAGTGTAAACATTTCCAATCTGCTACAGGTTTGTGAGGCTGTGTGGACGCAGAGCTCCACAGACGAACCTTCTTCAGTGCAGCCGATTGTTCAGAATTCACCTCCGTGTTTCGCTGAAATGTACGGTGTTCTGATGAAATATGTCTTTCAGAGGGAAATCTCATGCCAGAGTAAAAGCTCAGAGTGTGGGACAGCAGGTTCAAGTCCGGACTGAGGCGAGTTCTCAGACGAGGATTTAGCTGCGGCTCGGAGGTACGGTGAGCGAACGACGTTAAAAAAAGAGAGGTGCATAAATACAGGACCTGCAGGAGAGCTGGATAAGCCGGTGTGTGATATGCATAAATGGCACATTACAGACATGCTGTGGGACTTAAGCGTCATCGCCCGTCATGTGCGACACGACAGGCGACGAGAATACTGCATTTTATTTTTAATGCACGTGACGGAACAATAGCATCAACAAAGACGGCTGCAGAGACGTGGACCATTCCTTTAAGACAGGGCGGGGGTTTGGCAGAGTGAGGCGGCGGCGCCTCGTTCGGTTCGAGCGTGCGCGCAGAGCCCTCAGAGCTCAGATGTCCATGTAGTCGTCCTCCTCCTCTTCCTCGTCCGTCTCGCTCTCCAGAGACGACTCTTGGCTGGACGTCTCCTGCACCTCGAGCGCTGGCTGGCTCAGAGTGTCCTTTTTGACCGTGGCTGCGGACTGAGATGACAGGATGACGTTCTGTGTGAGAGGAGACAGCAGGGGGCACTGTTGAGTCTGAAATAACTGTGCGGCACAGAAGCACAAATTCAGAGGGATAAAAAAACGGCATACCTTGAGTCTTTGTTTGGTTTCCTCTGAGATGCTGCCTTTGGGGGAGAGGAGCGTGGGCGTCGGGGGTGTTACTGTGATTTCTGGCGGGAACTTGGTAACTGTGGACGGGATGAAAAGCTTTGGCATGTTGGGAGGAACCCGGGAGCGGATTCTGTTGGGGTCTGGAAGCTTCGACTGCTCATTGCTGGCATACTGCTGCTGGTCTGAGAGAATAAACAAGATATTCTTCAGAGCTCGGGACTTTTTTCTGAGCAAATCCAGCCGCTGAGGGCTTTGTTTACTTCACTCAGCTGTACTCATGCAAACATGCGGGCTTGGTTTTTTCACACAGACACAGACAGACAGAAAAATGGATCAGAGAGTTTAATAAAGGAGGAGACGTGAAGAATTAGGACGGTAAAAACAATGAAGAGAGAAATGTCAGTGATGAAGGTAAATGAGGCCGAAATAAAAACCAGATCTAAAAGAGAGATTTTTAGTTTTCTTTTTAAAATGCAGAGAGAGTTGGTGGTTTTAAAGCTTTAGGGACTCATTTACAAGAGAAAACCTTAAAACAGAGGATTAAACTTCTGTCACATTTCTCCATCTTGTTCTCCTTTGTCCTGTAACATCACCTGGGCATGTTTGTGCGGTGCTACATGTGGCGGTTTCCTCCTGAAACCAGCCTGCTGCTGCTGCGGCGGCGGCGGCGGCGGCGGCGGCAGACTCCTGCCCCTGGGATACAGTGGCCAGTTTCATCTGCTGACAAAGGTGTGACTCCTGCTGTCGGTATGAAAGTCCCTCTGAGGGCTCCTCTCCTCGCTCCTCTGTGGGGGAGAAAGAATCACCTGAAAAGCTGATCATCCATCATCAGCGCCCAGCTCAGACTCAGGCTGGTTGATTATGATTTAATGATCTGGATGGATCCTTCGACATCATAAGCTAACAGAGAAGCTTCATCGTTTGTTCCTTCAGTCTTTAGGTTTTTAGGTTTATTCTCCTGAAGAACAAAAACCAGGCTGAGAACCTGGAGGTCTTGTGGGACAGTGTTGCTCTGTAATGAGGGCTGTGGAGCAGACTCACTGAATTCAGATGATTACATGCTGAATGAACTCTCTGCTGACTGTGTCGCTCCTGCAGCTCAGACAAAAATGAAAACAAAAATGATATAATACTCTCTCTCTCTCTCGCTCGCTCGCTCTCTCTCACTAGGGTTGCCTTGGAAACCATTACATAATACATAGTACTGCAGTGTTACTTGATGCTAACCTGTGAGAGGAGTGAGGATGTTCATATACTTTAAATGTGAAAACAGACAAATCTGAACATCTCTGAGAAACTGATCACTGATCAATTACAGAGTCTTAGTTTGAACAGATCACATGACCTTCACAGACTCATTATCATCATCATCATCATTATTGTAATCAATTTCATTTTCATCATCATTATTAACATTATCATTATTATCATCTTCATTATTATGATGATCATCATCATCGTTGTCATTATAATTATGTCTATCATTATTATTATCATCATCATCATTATTTTCATCACCATAATAATAATAATAATTATTATTATTTTTAGAGATGGACTCATTAATGTAGATCACAGAACTGTTTTAAAATACTTTAATTGCTAATTCCTTTATGATGTTTACAATAAAAAGGTTTTTTATTTCTTTATATACAAACATCTTTTTTTTTAATCCATGATATATCTCAGTATTAATAAAGAATCCATCTGCCAAGATATCCATATACAGTAGACTGTAATACGTGTAAAATAAAGAAATTAAATATAATTTTTTATTTCTAAATATTTGTTATGTATATTTCCTTTTTTTATTTGTTCAGAAAACAAAAATTTTAAAATTTCTTTGATAAAATTTTAAATCAAATTCATTTATTAAAAAGTATTATTGAACTGTCTTTTTTAAATTAAATAGAAATCCATTTAACTCTGTGAGGACATAAACAGTGATGAGATTGAGGCTGCAGAGTTTGTTGTGAAGCAGAAGAAAAAAACATTTACTGCTAAGTTTTATAAAGCTTTGCACAACTTATTTTATCATAAATGAAGGTTCGAATGTCACATTTTAGACGCGTCAATTCAGGAGAATTAGAGAGAAAATTAAAGAGCTAAAGCATAATAGTTATTTAAAGTTCCTGTGAGGAGTATTTGACATCATGAAACAGGATAAAGTTTACACTGACGTCTTTTAAAAATATAAAAATGTAAATAAGACGTTAGAAGAGCCGTCCTGCTGCTGCTGACAGAAAACCAACGATGATGTCTGACCGAAACACCAGCTCATCACAAAAGGTTCGCAGCTACTTTCTTTTAGCTAAGAGCAAAATAATCAAAATTTTCTACTTCAAAATATTATTCAAAGATGTTGTTTTTATGACCTGTAACAAACTCTGTATGTAGACGAGTGTGTGATCTTTTTTGACACCATCCGAGTCACATTCTGTACGTCACTAAACTGCCTCCAGGCTTTTGTTTCCATCTACATGATTTTTTTTATCTCAACATAACTTCATCTACATAATTCTCCCCAGAGCCTGAACCTTTTCCAAGTTTGTCATCAACAAGATTTATAAAAAGTGAAATGAGGTTCAGGGAAATTAAAAACAGGGGAGTCGTCTAAAAAGCCGTTTCACAGCTCGAGTTAATGAGCTCTTACCTGAGAGGAGAGTTCAAACTCGGTCTTAAAAACAGAAGAAGTGCCGACAGAGCCTCTCAATGCTTTTTACAGCCCTCTCCTGTCTCTACACGCCTCGAACAACAATCAGATCACAGACAGAATAACTGTGGATCTAATAACAAAAGAGTTCAGACGTTTTAGAGATTCAAGCTCACAGGCTGAGTTTACATTACCGGGGGGACATCAGGGTACAGGTCCTGAGTGTAGGACTTCCATATTCAGATCTTAAACATGAGATCATCTCTCAGCCAGAATATTCATGATCAGGATGATTATTCCAAAAACCCACCAGAAGCTCGAGCAGGAAGAGAAAGAGTCACAGTCTGGAGGAAGCTCGTTTCTAAACTCTCAAACTGGCTGAAAAAACCCGACAGGCAAAATATGAAGAGGCCAGGGATGTTATGTAAGAGACCTTAGAGGTCCACTGGCGCCCCCTACTGAACCTTTGGATAACAGCAAACTCAGATCTTAGAGTGCAGCTTCACCTCAGCAGAGGAGCAGCACTACAGGAGCATCATATCGAGTCTTTCACACAGAGAGCAGCAGAGCGACTGATAAATCTGACCCTCTGTGAGCTGTGATGAAGCTGTGATGTATGTGGAGACGCCGTACCTGTGTGTGGTAGGAAGGCCATGGCGGCGGCTGGGTGGCTAGCTGCTCTCCTCTGGTCGTGGAAGCCTGAGGCGGGAGGTCTGGTCAGTTTGCTCGGGGGCTCGTACAGCGGTTTGGCCTGGCCGTCCTGGGCGGAGAGCGGGTGGCAGCTGGTGTGACTGAGCAGGACAGGAGTCGGCAGGGAGGCGGGGAAGAAGAGGTCGCGGTGCTCCTTGGTGTATTTGGGCGTGGTGGGGGTGTCGCCTGCGGACTGAGAGACAGAGAAGAAGAGGAGAGGTCGTGAGGAGGCGAGGAGATCCATCTGAGGCGTGACCCGTCCTCAGAGGAGAGTCGGTGAGTCTGCGCTCTTCAAACGGCGAACATCAGCAGCGGAGGAGGAAGTCTAGAGTCCTCTGCAGGGCTGCGACGGTGAACCTCATGGGCTCAGAGTCTCCCTGGATGTGCTGGACTCTGTGCCGGGTGCACTAGTCTACAACAACACGCCGCATCCCTCTGAAACCACTTCCCTGTGTGTCCTTTAGAGAACCACTTACAAACACAAGAGCTGCACAAACAACCTGTGACAACAGCCGCCCTGCTCCCAGAGCTGCTGTCATGGCAACACACAGGAGCACTGTTAAAAGAAATAAATACACCTTCTCGAGTTTTTCAATTTAAAATGGATGAAAGGTTGGAGGAGAAGCAGCTCTTATGAGGCTGAGATCCAGCTCTTCAGCCTGACAGACAACCAGAACACGTGAAGATCCTCGGAGCTGACGTGTTTTTAAAAGCAGCTTCATTATCAACATGATTTCAGGTACATCAGGTAAAGTTTTCAGGGTTTCAGATCCCAGAGGACCAAATTACACCGAACGAGCCGCTCTGACAGACTCAGTATGTGAGCAGAGGAGACTTTGGCAGTAACAGCTCTCCTGTCTTTTTTTCTCTCTCTGCTGGGAGTTGAAGTCAAATTGAGCGTCTGAATCAGAGTCTATGTATGATGATGGTCCCCTGGGGATTCACGCGGCGTAAAACAGACAAATCAAACAGAGTAGCCCTCCAAAAGCATGGACAGCTACGGCTCCTCCACACTCGACACAGAGCGGCACAGCAGCTCCGAAGCATGCGAGCGTTCAGAGCCCGCTTTGATGATTCATACCTCATGAATTAAACATCGGCAACAAAGACGGCAACAAGTCAGCCTGACCGCCGCGCACATTAGACGAACACGGTACCTGAGAAAATTGCAGCACAGATCATGCAGCCGGCGTGGAGCCTCCTCTGGGTTTGGAGTGTCCCTCAGTCTGAACTGAAAAACGGTTCTTTGCAATTATGGAGATTGGGCTTTAGATCAGATTAGAGCAGCTGTAGATGTTCAGGTTTGGGCACAAATGAAACACCGGCCTACTGAACACTTTAATCAATTTACCCGCACATACGAGACAGACTACAGAGCGTCAAATTCAGATTTTATTACGTGTCAAAACTTAAAAAAACAACTCCCAACTCTGCTCATTTACACCCCAGAGGTGAGAGCGGAGAGTTTCGACAGACGCCTTCATCAAACTCTCATAAATGCTCGTCATGTCTGCGAAAGGTCGAGAGCAAAAATCTAAAAATAAAACAGATCAGACCTCCGTCGATCACACAGAGTTTGCCCTTGTTTTTTTTTTTGCACCTGATGTGGTTTTAAAAGCGAGGAGGCAAACAACTCAGATTACAAAACAGCTCCGCACAACACGAGTAGATCTCGCTCTGCGCTTGTGGGGGCTTGAAGGAACGTGTGAATCTGTGAGAGGCAGAAAACAACTTTTTCATGTCCTCGAGGCGAGAGCTTCCAAGGTGCCTACTCACATTTCCCACGACGGAGATAAAAACCATGACAAGAGCTGGAAGAACAGTAATTACAACCAAACACCAGTTCGATTAGACCGCAGAGCGGAGCTGGGAGCAGAGGGCCGCTGTCTTATTAGCAGCATGAGCAAACACGATTACGGGTTAATTATGAAAACGTCTAACAGGTCGACGACGAGCGAGCAAGCAGGTCTGAGAAGAGTCTGCAGACGACTGGTTAATCCTCCATACATGAGGGGAGTCATGTAACAGCAACATGTGGTGATAAATAAATCAAAACTAAGACTCTAAGATCAGAATTCACAATTCAGATCTTTTTAATTCTTACACAGTCACAGATTTGTTCTATATTCCATTTTAAGACCTCTACCCTCCTGTAAAGAGTGTTTACACTTTGATAGGTTTGTCATCGTTATCAGTTTTTTATTATTAGTGTGATTTTTGTTCTTTTTGGCACACAAAACACCACTGCAGCATCGACCGACTGCAACGCTGGAAAATAACACCACTGGGCTTCTGAAAGGCTCATTTCACTCAATTATCACGTGAAAATTCAGATGCATCTTAAAAACTGTCGAGGTATTTTGATTTGAGCTTCAACAAACTAAACATGCAGGTAGAGCTGGGCGATAAACCGAAAATTTACTTTAGGTTGATTGTTGGGAACCAGATCTGAATTAGGATGAATTCACTAGTTAGATTGAAATCATGAGGCCAAGAGAAGTCATGACAGGTGACACCACCAATAACTTTGCAGTGAAAAAAGGGACTTTAAAGGTTTACTTTAGTGTGAATTTCAGTTAGGGTCAAAATAGGGCTGGGCGATAAACCGAAAATTTACCGATACTGAAATTCAGGACAATAACCAACGTCATTTTTCCCATATCTGTATATTCAATGTCAAATAAATAAATAAATCAAAGTTGGTTTTGGATGTGTGTAGGTAGGCTATGGTCTCATGTCCCTTAAAGACGCTGTCCTACATCAGAGACGTGACTCCACCCCATCCAGTCTGTAACAAAGAGGGAAAGACAGGTGAGGAGATGGAGGACGGAGAGAAAGTTGTAAATAATGTGGGAGGGGGTGAGCAGCTTGTGGAGTAGTTATCGTCCATTCATCGTTATCGAGGTGAACTGATCAATATATCATGATATTGATTTGAGGCCGTATCGCCCAGCCCTACTGTTGAGGTCCTTTGATTTGAGCTTCCAAAAACTAAACACGCAGGTACAGAAAAGCGCTGTGAACGGCCACAGATGGAGCTACATTAATGAAGTTAACTGTAGTGGTTGTAGGGGTCGTCACCAAGCTAGCAAGGGTATATATGCTTCACAGTCAGAGAGAATAACCGTTTCACACATAGAGGACCTGTACGAAGCAGAACCAACTGGAGCTCTTAAAAAAAGTGAAAATTTAGTCACATTAACCGAGGATGACTGGAAGTTCATGAGCGACCACAATCAGCATTCGTTTTTCTCTCTTCTGGTTTTTTACATATTTAAGAAACTTTCTGCCTCACGTAGATCATCATCTCAGTTTCTAAATTTCACACACCAACACCCAAACGCTGAAGACGAACACAAAACGGACAAAAACAACAAAAAGACTCGAGCAGAAAATCAGATGAGAGGATCAGTGAACAAGAAAAACAGATTTATTTTGCCCACGGTGACTTCTCGAGAGCACAAGGTTTAGGAAGGGGGGGGGTGTCACCGTGACAACAGGATGTGGGCAGAGGGACCCTTGTTGACTGTGTGGGCAGGAGGAGGAGGGATGTGAGGAAGGGGGAGTCGCTGACACAGGATGAAGCAGAGCGGATAATGACACGACGAGGAATATGAGCGCGGCAGACAAAGCAGTGTTTGTAGTTCGTTTAGCCCTGGATGAACCCGTCAGATTAAATCCAATTAGACACACTCGGCTCATGTATTAAGATGCTTCTGTTTGTCATTTAGCTTTGTGTATCATTATCATACTGCCTGCACTCATGAGCGCCATGCAAACCCAGGGTGACACTAAAACTAATGATAAGTTTGGCAACTCCTGCGTGAGGCTGAGAGGACGACAGGGAGCGTTTTCACCACGCTAAGAGGCTATTTTTGGGACGTGCAGGAACATGGATCTGAATATCAGAGGAAAAAAACACAGAACAAACCAGTTAGGAAGATTTCCTTTAGTGAGGCTTTCTGCTAACACCTATCTGCCGTTACCTTTTCTGCAGACACAGACGCATCAAAGTGTCATTGTTATTTAAAAGCTCAACAGCAGGCGAACAAATCAGCATTAAAGATAAACTGTGCTGTAGAAATAAACCTTTCCTTCCTCTCTTTGTTGACTCAGTTTACTTCAGGTGGTTAAAAACGCAAACTCTTTCAATTGTTTAATTTCTCTCCACAAACACCTGAAAACAGTGAACTGACGACTCTACTGTAAACGAAGATCTGTACGAGCTAGATTTGCATCTCCAGTGTGAGTGAAACCTGGATCAGTTCATGTATAAAGACCTCTAATGAGGGCTTAAAACCACGAACTGGAAGTGCCATCATAACAGCGCTTTAAGGCTCATTAAAGCTCCCCTAACGTGAGAAAACACAGCCGTATGTTTAAAACAGTGTCATCGTCACGGCCCGAATACTTCCGTGTGATCTGAGCGTGAAATGAAAGTGAGGGATTCGTGATGAAACATGAGCGGAACGACTGAGACGCTGGTTTGAACTGTTTTACCTGTCTTTGGGCAGAAGTGGCCAACTGGATCTGGCAGAACTTCACGGCCTGGTCCAGAGCGACGTCCTCGTCCACCTGAGAGTAAAAACAGACAGAGAGAGAGAGACAGGACGTCAGGGCAGAGGAACATCGTCACATGATCTGTTCAGGCGACCAAAATAACAGCAGAAAATATTGAATTCATCAGAAATGGAGAAAAAAAACAATCAACAGATGGAAGCAGAGCCGTGAAAAGACAAAGAAAGCTCTAAAAGGTTCCTCTTAAGAACTACAGTAGTTCATCCTACAGCGCAGCATCTTTAAGTTAGGGAAAACTTCCTTCAGTCTGGAAATACCCACAAACTAATCCTGGAGAAGACAGAAGTCGTGACAGTATTGTGTTTCAGATGATCGCACATACGGTCACTCCTACGCTCTCGAGCACCGACTGTTTTCTGCAGACGTGGTGCTGATGGACACGAATCCCGGACTACAAAATTTGGATTTCCCTCGAATCGGATCGAGACTTTGAAATGGATCATGACTTTAAGAAATGATATATCAGCTGAGCTAGTCTGTAGTGTTCAAAAATTAGGATTCAGAGGACAAACACAGAACTGATAACACGGTTCCTTCACAGCTGGAATTTTCATACTTTTCCAAACCCTACTTTGGAGAATTATCTTTGGAAATACCTACTTTTCTATTTTAAAAAAGAGTCTAATATCATTAATATTTTTCCATGTTCATTTTTTAAACTTTTAAGACCTGGAAATGGATCAAATTTATTTCCATACTTGTGTAGGAACCCCGTGATCATATTTAAGAACAACATGTAGTTTTGGTTCTGCACTGACGCTCTGAGAGGTGCTCTCTCTCTCTCTCTCTCTCTCTGGAGGCAAACACCGGAATCACAACATCTCTGATCTTCCTCTCATCATTCAGCTGAACGTCCTCATACAGCGGGCGCCATGGCGGCAAATTCCTCACGTAGTCACAGGAGATGACTGGTCTTGTGTTAGCGCCTCATGCTTATCACCACAGTGACACTGGTGAAAAACCAGTAACAGCTTCTTCTCAGCTGATTCTGTTCTGGAGGATTTCCTCAGATCTTGAGTCTGTGATTTCAGCAGCAGCAGCAGAGAACGTCTCCCTTTAAAGAGGCGGCGCAGCTCGTGTGGACGGATGTGTGGGAGTCCGCGAGCTGAGCTGCCGCCCTACATCACACGCTCGGCGGCAATCTTGCTCACACAGCTGTTCTGTTCCCTCCAGCAGCCTGTTGTGTGCATCAGTTCAGCGACCCCCCAAGAGTTTTTCCCTTTTTTTGTTAAACAGCTGCTTCATTCTACTTTTCCAGTGATGACAATTGTTAAATGGACTGAGTCAAGCATCGGTGCATCACAGCTGACTGCTTTCAATTCATGTCTGCTTCACTGCAAACACACACACACACACACACACTCTCAGCGATGACTTATCAATATCACATAATGATTATAATTATAATGAGGCAAATTTCAGCGTGTCACCTCCCATCACATCAATAAAAAACGTTTATGTGAAATCAAACCCTGTTGTCTCTCCAGCCGTCTGAGTGGAAACGTACGATCTGTGAGTCTGAGAGAATGAAAATGTGAAAAATTCATATTTTGGAGACATAATAAGATCGGAGTTGTAGCGATGTGTCACTGTGCGATGCAGAATATAACAACACCAAGTGTCAGCAGCTGGTGTACGTAGGTGTACGATCACTAGATGTGCTCGTGGAGAGTGTTCAGGCATATTAATCTCATAACTCTGCGTCTGTGACAGGAAACATGTCAGGGCTAGTTCTGGCTTCTTTCTCTCATGGGTGTGTCTGAGAAAATATTCACTTTGCCGTCTTCCAAAAAGAACAGCGAGGAATCTGAGCACCTAAAAGAAAAAGAGAGATCTGCTCAGGTTGGCCTTTCTCCTGATTTCTTCTTCTTCTTCAGCTGTCCCTCGCCTACACTAGCTACAGCCTCTTCTGCGACACGGCAGCTTCTGTAAGGCCAGCATTGATCTTCAGCTCGATATTACTGTGTAAGCTGAGGTGGGCTGTTCTACAACTGTGTCATCACTGCTGGAGAAAAGAGCTGAAGTTAGACTGACTTTCAAAATCTGTCACAAAGAGAAACGAGCAGGGAAGGAGAAGGTGAACAGCGATACTTTTACATAACAGGCGTCGTTTAGACAGATATCAGGTTTTTGAAGAGAGGTAGTATGAGGTGCTTTCAATAGTAAGAGTATAAGGTCAGCTCTACCAACACCCAGACCAGAGCGGTATTTTGGAGTAAATGCACTCTCTATTCAGAAATTCTTCAGCGCTTTAATTTGTCATTCAGGTTTGAGTTGATCTCAGACACGGCACAGAAGTGATCAGCTGTTTGAGTCAGCGGGCTTCAGGGAGAAAAACATACAACCGGACTGTATAATGAGCGACTGACAGGGACACGCCGTTAACTGCAGACACATCAGGGCATGTAGAGGAACCCGAGTTTAAAGAGGAAGAACGAGGGGGAACTCCAGCGCTGAGAGGAGAACCTGATTTACCTGGTGGTGCAGGTGGAGTTTAGGGCTGCAACGATAAGTCGACTTTGTCAACAAAAATCGATAATGAAAAAAGTCGACACTGGATTCTATCGCCAACAATTATAATAATAATGCATCAGATTTCATATAGCGCTTCATCAGAGACCCTCAAAGTGCTTTACGTTGGATGCATCATTCATTCGCTCACACAGTCACACTTCAGTGGTGTTAAACTACCTTAGTAGTCACAGCTACCCTGGGTCAGACTGACAGAAACGTGACTGCCAGTTTGCGCCTACAGCCTCTCCAACCACCACCACACAACACTCACAATCACACACCAGTGGAGGACACACACTGGGAGTAAGGTGGATTAAGTGTCTTGCCCAACGACACAACAGACAGACTTGGGATAGGGGGGAATCGAACCCTATTGTCGCCAGACGTGTTTTAATCAGTGGAGTGAGGCATCTTACTTCATTATGACCTCTGTCCAGAGTCACACATGCACAATAGCGTCTCTGCTGAGTAGTCGGGTATTCAAACATGGCGTTGCTGGCGTCCCATACAGTGGCTACGAGTACTCGCTTAAAAGCCTCCAAAGTTTGGGAGCACTTTAGCCTCGATAAGGCAAAAAAAAACAAAAAAAAACTTGCAAGGTTTACAAAGCAGACATACCATGGCAGCTCGTTCTTGATGCACGGACATATCCGATTAGTCGACTAATCGACTATTTAAATGTTCGTGAGATGCAGCCCTGGTGTGGAAACGAAAGTATTCAGGACTCCTCTGAATCAAAGGATACCAGCGGCTCACATGCAGCTGCAGTCTGCATCACACACTGAACGCTGCTGGTTTTCAAAAACATTCAGTTCAATCAGGAAACCAGAAAAGTTGGAAGAAAGTGTGTCTTTAGATTTAGTGTTTTAGCGTTTGTTGATTTTTTACACAAATAATGACATAACTTGCAGTGCGCATAATTATTTTACCTCGAATACACCGTGCTAGCTTTTGTTTAAATTCACTCTACAAATATTACAGTTTAATAAACTGGATAAACTTTGGCATCTGGAGCCACATTTACTGATGCAATAATAAAAAAAGCCCCAACAATCCAGGGTGAAACTACAAAACTCCCCTTTACTCCCCGTTAACCTTCAGATTCGACATCCTACAAACACTCTTCATTCAGGGGGAAACAGAGTGACAGAGACCAAATCTACGTTCAAGAGTAAAAACCTACAATAAGGGAAAGTCCCTGTCGTACCGTGGGTGTTTTTTTTCTCTTTAAGTTTCATCAGGGGGTTCCCGAACCCGTTTCCCTTTGAGAGGACCGATATGAGGCACGCATGACTTTGCAAAAGCACAACAAAATTCAGATAGTGATTGTACAGTACCAATCCCCCGAGGCCTGCGCTGGGTTTTGAACTCCATTGATCGTAAAGACAACTCCCAAGTCGATCACATGACATGACACTCACTAACCCCAAAAGACTTTTTCCCTCTAATTACCCTGTGAGTGAGACTTTGTCAATAAGTGGATTGTTGTTTTAGAGTAAATTTAGACGCCTGAAGGGAAAAAAAACACTTAACGCCGGTGACTCTGAATACTTCCACTGACTCATTAAAACTTAGTCATTTCCCAAAGTGAGCTGCTTCACTTTCACTGCAGGATGATGGGTGGAGAAGTGAAGAGGGTGGTGTTACTCTACAGACCTGCTACAACCACAGAGACCAGATATTTGACTGACTTCTGCTGCCACTGAAAATAAACTACTGACTGTTTATTTCATGTTTTGAACATTTTGGGGCTTCCTGCACAAATTAGCGACTGTTACCGTAATGAAGAGGGTTAATAAACACAAAATTAACTTATCTTTGTACACTAAAATGTAATCAATCGATGCATTAATACATTCCAGTTTAATTGCCCAAGTTGCTTCCTTAAAGATTCAGCTTTGCTTTGGCGTCCTTGTTTAATTAAAGAGCAGCTCGAGGAGCGTCTAATGTAGAGAATGGGGAGCAGCTAAGAGGAGACAGATAATTAACTCGTCCCTCGAGGATAAATTAGGACTGTGGAAATATTTTGGATTTCAGAGTGAAGACAGCAGACAGAGCAGCATGTAAACAATGTTGTTCACTGCTCAGCAAACTTAACAAACCGGATGTGGTGTGAAGTCGGAGAGTTTTACCTGTTTAATGAGCATGTAAGTCTCCGACATGATCTTCTCGATGCGTCCCAGGTCGTAGGTCATGACTTTCTGGCCCTGCTGCCAGACCCTGTAGGCGTCCAGCAGTAAAGTTTTTCCAGACTCCACGTCCTCGAGAAGCTTCCTCTTCCTGTTCGGCCTCCGTACTGAGCTCTGGTCGGTCCCGCTGGCCGCCACGGCGACCTTGGGTGCCGAGTTTTGGAGCTGTTGCTGTCTGGAGCTGATACTCAGCTCCTCTAGAGACAGCTCTGGTGTCCGAACGCTGTCGGTCACTTTCTGTAGGGGCTCCGCAGCGCTCAAAGGCGTCTCAGTCTCTGATTGGTTGCCCTGAGAATCAGTGGTGATAGAAGGCCTCCTCCAGTTACCAGAGTCCAGCTCCATGGGCTCCTCCGGCCCTGTTTTCTGCCCCTCACTCCCAGCAGTCTCCACTTTTCCAGGGTGGCTCTCCTGAACCTTAGTCCCTTTATCGATGGACATCAGTGGGGCGCTGATTTGCACCTGAGAAGTGTCTTTCGGTCCTGTATCAGTGACGACAGTCCCCTCTGTGAGTCCAGCCTTCTTCGGCGGTGCATGCTTGCTGTCCTCTGAGCTGGGCCGGTTGGAAGCGTCTGTTGTGGTCATCTCCCCCATGGAGGGCGCAGGCGCTTTGCGAAGTTGCTCAGAAACCTGAAAGAGAACAGAACCTGTCAAAACACAAAGTGGGTGCGTGCCAGACGACTAAAACACACCGTGACCCTCAGCTCCGAGTACGAGTGTGTGTGTGCGGTGATTTGTGCTTCCTCACCCCTGTGAGACTGTTGAGATTGTCCTCCAGGACTTTTACAGTTAGGAAAAATGCTCTCTTGGCCAAAACCTGGCGATCAACATCCCGTAAATACTTCCTTCAGGCAAAAGAGAGAAGAAGAAGAAGAGAGATGTTAAGAAACAAATACATAAAACATCACAGAAGTGGTAACATCAAACAAAGCGGGTTCTTACTTTCCCTGGTCAGGGGTTCTCTGCAGCATGAAAGAGACTTTCAGCAGAGTATCGTGATCCTTAAGTTGAGACAGCACCTCCAGCAAGAGGACAATGGAACGGTTCATATGAGACGCAAAACTCCCTGGGCGATCAATCTCATCTACTGGGATACGCCAGATGCCCTGAAGGAGGCGGAGAAAGAAAGAGAAGATGCGGGATCATGTGGTGAATTAGACTGAGGGGTAAATAATAGAGAAAACAATCAAACTTGGTTTTAATTCAGGAATGAGATACAAAAGTTTATTTTAAAAGTAAGAAGCTGTAACTGACGTGTGAGTGAAGGAGGAGGATTTGTAAATTCTGAAAGTTTGTTTTCATCGCTCTTTTCTGCTGCTACTTTAGTTTTTCAAAGACATATGGAAACAATTAACAGAGAAAAAAAAGGTAAGAGAGGAGAGGAGTAAGCCAAAGGAATTAATGGGAGTTAAAAACACGGCATTCAAAGGAGAGAGCCTTAATGAGGGGATGGAAAGGCAGCAGGGGAGATCTTTCGGACTGGCTGGCCATGTAGGAGGTGGAAAAGGAGGGGTGTGAGGGGCTTCTCTCTGGGCACACATGATAGGGAGCCTCATTAGTGTTCAGCTCTGTCCAAGCAATAACACAGAGCAGCAGCCCGGCTGCCAACAAACAGCCCCTCCTTTTAAAGAAAGCAGGATGAGGTGCTTTTTGATGGTGGAGTCCACCTTGTTTTTTTTTTTGTATTTGTGAGCACATGTCTTCTCAGCAGGTGAAGCGAAGCGAGGTTCTGCTCTCTGAAGCTACTGAGGAGAGTGCAGATGGTGGCCTAGGCTGTGTATAGCCATGAAGCACATGGCAGCGAGTACAGCTTCTGGCCTCGGAGAACGTGCGCGAGACTAAACAAAGATGACCATATCAGGACAGAACAGAACAAATGAGATGGCTCTATCAGCTGCTGAAGGCACCGGGGGAGCGTGCTGCTCCTCCTCACCGACAGCTTCAGATTGTCAGATGACATTTTCAAAGCCACTGGAGAGGAACGACGCGGGAAAGCGAGGCAAATATACCCATCAAAACGAATGACGTTCCTGAGGATAGACTTTAGGTCTGCTCGCTCGGAAACGGTCGAAATGTGACACAGAGAGTCTACATTCGGGAGGAAATCCAGGCCTGCCTTTGACAACCTTAAAGGGATATTCCGGCGTAAATCTGAGTTATGGTCAAACACGCTGTAACGCCGAGTCAGACACTCCCTCCAGAGATGAATGTTCATCATCATAGTAATAATTTTGCTCTGCAGACGCTGTAGTTCTTCTGTCTTAGCGTCTCGGTCTGATTGTATTTCCATTAAGTAATGATCATAAATGTTCTTCCTAGAGCTGTGAAACTCCGCTTCACTTGGCGATCAACTCGTCAGGGCTCACCCACAAACAAGTGGCTGCTGGAGGAGAGTGGGTGAGATGTGTTTAGTCTCTTGTTTGATGGCTAGTACTATGGCTGGTACCCTATATGTACTGTTGGTCAGACGAGGTGGTGAATCTACAGAACAGCCCCTAACTTCATCATGTTGACATTCCAGTGGAATTTCAGTTTTCAGCAGGAGAAGAATCTCAGATTTTTAGAGACTTGGCGTCCATCTCTGGTTTAACGTTAGCTGACCGTAGCTGAGGTGGAGATGCTCTTGTTGTGGTGGTAGTAGCAGTGTGGCTGCAGGCAATGTTGGGCCTCGTGTTCGCTGCTCTAGTACACTGAAATATACGCAGATTTGTTGCCATTCACTCAAATGTAAACTTTCTCTCAGCTTCGGAAATATTTCCAGAGCAGAGGGGTCGATGTTTTAATGTGCAGCGTGCTTATTCACTTAAAATAAGAAGTTCGACGGTAGTTCAAACAAACATGTCTTACTCTTTCACCAGCTCAGGAGCACCCAGAGTTAGGTGCTGTTCTGAGCATTATTTGTGGCTATAGAGTGGCGTTTTGGTTGAGGTTTGTTTATGGCTCCTCAGACTGCTGTGTATTTCTATCCTGCGGTCGTTACTAAAGTTGGTAAAACTACAGAAGTAAGCGGTCGGCAACATTCATCTCTAGAGGGGGTGTCTAACTTGGTGTTGCGGTGTTACTTAAATTAAAATCAGAGTATCTCTTTAAAGTCCCTTTTTTCACCTCATGACTACTAAGTTATTGGTAGTGACACCTGTCATGATTTATCGAATTAATCCTAATTCCGATCTGGTGCCCAACAACAAACCTAAACTCAAACATATGGCTCTGATGCCGGTGGGAAAATGAGCAGATTTATTATGATGGAATGACGTAACCTGGCTGGGGAAGGTTTTAACCTCTCGATGCACAGATTACCAAAAGCTTCCAAAGAGGAGAGGGACAAGTGTGATGAGGGGGTGGGCTCGGCTCACTTCGAAAAACATCTCTAATGGAGGAGAGTTGTTCCTCATCAGAGAACCATCCAGCCACAGCAAATCTGTTTAGGGGAAGCAGAGCCATGGCTTTACTCAGATTACGCTGTAGCACAACAGCTAAAGCAGATTTGTAAGACTTTAACTGCAATGATTTTAAGCATCTTTTTTTAATGTGAGGGGGGAAAATGACCACTGCTCTGTGGTCTGAGATCTGGAGCGACAGCTTTGGCACAGATGTAGCCGATACATCGCCCAGAGATTAAGATGCACCACAGACAAGAGGAAAAACATGACAGGAGAATGATTTGGTACAAATGGAATCTGATCTTTGCGCCAGATCATAATCAGGTCCGAGCGGGGTCCTTTGTTCGGACAGAGAGGAGGAAAAACAGCAGTTAGGGTTTACAAGGAAGTCTAAAGATCATAAAAAAATGACATATTTAACCTGATAAAAGCCAGAAATACAACTGGACCGCGTCACGTCAGAGTGAACCCGTCAGCGAGTGAGAGTTCAGGTTCAGACTCCAGGGAAACACGAAAATACTCACACCCACATTTTTGGACTCAATGTTTTACTATCAAATAATCGGGGTGATCCAAAAGCCCCAGAGCGCAATTTCTTAAAACATTCCCTGGAGTAATGAGCTCTGACACTACTTCTTAAAATTATTCAAGAGGAACTGGGACGACTTTCTTTCTTCACTCTGTTTTAACTCTAAGAGAAAATCTGTAAAATATCTGAATGAGAGAGCAGGGACAAAAGAAGAGTTTTACCTCTGTGTGAATGAGCCAAAACAAAACAATGTCTGTCTGCTCAACAACTACAGGAAGTTAAAGCACAAGGCCTAGATATTTCACCTGATGAAACTTATCTTCTGCAGGAAAGTTGCACAAACCGGGTGTCAACCAGAGGTCAGCCTGCAGGCAGGAACCAACAAACTACAACTGAAGATTGCACAAACATGCACAGAGGAGGAGGATAACCTGGGTGATTCAATTTCACATCATTTTACTCTGGAGCTCCTGACATGCAGAAATCAGATCCCCATTACTGTTACGGTCTGTAAAAAGTAACACACAACACCAGAGGAGTAACACTAACTCTCAGAAAACAACACACACTGACTCTGCACGCACAAAGATACACAAACCTGGGCCTGATCTCACAAAAGTCAGAGGGGAAGCGACTCACCATCACCAAAGAAAGCTACTCCACGGCGCCTGTGTTAGTTTTCTTTTGGACAGTTTCCTGCTGGCGGTAGCGGCACCAGCAGCCCTGGCAGCGCCTCCACCCTGAAAGAGGCTCACGCTCAGAGAGCAAGGGGCGGGCTGCATTTGGGTGCTAGGGCAGCGAGAGCTGCAGGAGAGGAGAGGAGGGAAGCACGGCTGCACACGGCGGAGCAGGAACAGAAGAGGAGGAGAATGCCAGATATCTTGGCGAGAGGAGAAATGGCGCTGATGTCAGGGCCTACGAGCTCAGTATGCCACTGACAGACAACCCGACTCGTTTCTCTCCCGCTTTCAAACCCTGCCATCTCAAAACAAAAACACCCACGCACTCTATCTCCGCTCTCCCCTGACCCCAGCCTGCTGGAGTTCTCCCCCCTCCTCTTTCGCTTTCTCCCGCACTATACACAGCGAGCAGCCAATCGTTGTAGGCTTTTGCCAGCCAATCGGAGGCAGGCGAAGAAACTCCCGCCCATCGGTGCACACCCACACAATACACACACAAACAGAGGAGTGAGAGGGAGAGAGAGTAATGAGGAAACAGAGGAGTGCAACAGAGAGAGCAGATGAGTAGGGCGAATAAGAGCCAGGGGGAGGGGTAGAGCGTGATCACCCTGAAGACGGAGCAACAGGAAAAGAACAAGAGAACATAAACTGGCTGAAAAATGAACTCAGTGCCGCCACATCAGGGTAGTGGGAGGCATCAAGAGGCTGGCACACTATTAGAGAGGAGCGGCGGCAGAGAATCGGAGTAAGAAGAAGAAGACAGGTTTGTGTAGGAAAAGAGGAAAAGCCCACAATAACCCAAGAAAGAAAGAAAGAACAGAGCTGCCTGAACAGATAAGACTCTGGTGCCCACACACACACACACACACACACACACACACACACACACACACACACACACACACACACACACACACACACACACACACACACACACACACGCTCAGTGTTTCCTCAGCCCCTCACCTTCTTCCTTTCCTCTCTGGTCGTGTCTCAAACACACACCTTTGTTTTTTTCCTGCTTCCTGTTGTATGAGGGGGAAAAAAAAAACAACAACCTCAAAGCTGAACTGCACAACGAGGAGAAGAAGGAGGCAATGCAAGACAGACTAAACCCTCCAACATGCAAATCAAAATATCAACTTCTACAAACTGTATTCATTTGGCCAACACTCTCCTCCCCTTAGTCAAAAAAAATGAAAAGAAAAACAAGGTCCTCCTGATTGGAGCTCCACCTACAGCGTACTGCTCGACACATAAATGTTTGAGTCATACCAGAGAAGAAATGCAAGTGTAACTGCTCCTCAGAGGACCTAATAACCTCGTCTTATATAATCCCACAAATCCAGGTTTAAGAGTCTGCCTATAGGAGCAAAGTTTCATCCTGGAACTGATTGTTTTTTTCCTGCAGAGACACAAACTTAAAAAAAAAAAAAAGACTTGATTGAGTTACAAGACCAGTGAGGGCTTTCCTTTTTTTTTTTTTTTTTTTAAATACGGCAACAAGGGAATCCATTTTCTCTGAAGCTTGGTGAAGAGTGAGCGTGTGAGTGGGTGGAGGAATATGTAAGCATGTATGTGAGTGTAAGGAGGAGGAGGAGGAGGAGGAGGAGGAGGAGGTAACCACGGTGCCTGACTGAACACAGGGACTCCTCACAATCACTGAGCAGTAATCCTGAGCAGCAGATGCAGCAGCATTTCTGCCCATACTGTCATAACATGCTGTTAGTCTGCTGAAGAATCACTGAATTACACTGCACTCCACGACTACAACCTTCCTACTGCATTATTGATCATGTTTGGAGGTTATATCAGTGTAAAAACTGCTGCGCAATCAACATAGAAAATTAATGAAAATGTTGAAATTCATCTGGTTGCTGTACAGGTGAGATTTTATCAGCCTGGCGATCAAACACACCAACAGAAAACATGCCATCATTGGATAAGGTCCAAAGTCTGTATGTCACCAATAAAATGTGATTAAGATTTTGTGTCAAAGTCACGCCACAGAACAAATTCCTGCTCATAAATAAAGCAACAACATCATAAAATGTTGTTAAAATTCAGTATCTGTGACTCTCAAACTACAAATACCAGCTTTCAGGACTTAATCCCACATTAAAACTTCATAAAAGGCTTTTATAATGTAGAAGACAGACCTCGAGTCGATTCATAATGAGGTTCATCACATGAGACAAGAGCCTGGCGATGAATCAGACTTTTATTTCTCAATAATAGAGCTGACTGCAACGTTACTTCCAAGACGTTGAATCAAGTAAACCTCACCTCTCCTCTTCTATTCTTCAACAGCAGCAGCTCTCACTTTCACTTCACCATGAGATCAACGAGAAACAAAGTTTAGCAGCACGAAAGAGAAGAAGAAGAAGGAGGAGGAGGAGGAGGAGGAGGCTGGAGTGTATATGTGTGTGTCTGGAAAGCCAAGGGACAACATGAGCACGACAAAAGAGAGGCTGCAGTGATAGCTAACGAGAGAACGACTGCCCAAAGACGCTAAAAATGATAGACATCGCTATGAGTCATAATCAAATATAAACCCGGGTCATGACGTATTAAAGGGATTTCATGTTAAATCTTAAAAAGATTAAGGGATTTGTTCGATCTGCAAAATGTGATAAAAAATTCTTCACATTTTTATGACTTAGAGCAAAAATACAGCAAGTGAAATCTGGAATTTCATAAAATGAGTTTTATTATCAAAAATGAGTCAAAGCTCTAAATAAGTTGAAGAATTGAAGAGTTTTGAAGCTGCTTAAATGTATGTGATGCAGATGTCACATCATGAATAGTCTTTTTTTAATTATCATGATATTACGATCATTGGGAAATCTTTTTCTCTCTAAAATCAGAAATCACCTTTACACTAATTCACACTCATCGTGAACAAATAATGTTCTGAGCAGCTCACGGTCTTTAAACCTTGCACCACAGCACCAATTACCAACAGATCTATTTGAATAATTCTGGAAATAATTACTTACATTTAGTTAATATCCGAATGAATCATAACCTCTGATCACTTCGTTAATATTATCTGTTCATAAACGGTTCTAATGCGAGCCTGCCCTTGTAGGAATCTCTCTCCCTGACAACCGGAGCGATAAATTATGCAGCACAACCTCATCTGGATCATTTCTAAACAGCAGTATATAGGTTACCGTATGGAGGCCCCAGTTAGTGAAACTCAGCCAAAGAGAGAGTGGAAAGTAGGGCATCGTGACCTACATCCAGAAGTTTGTATTCACCAACAGACTCAACGAGGTGCAGAGTCCAGTCCCCTTCAAAACAAGGTGACGTCGCAATAACCAGCAAGAAGGTTTCCGCAAACCAGGATATAAGACACAGTGTTAATCAGTGTGTTTATCAAGAGCTGAAGGTCACAGGTCAGAGTTGATGAGAAAAAGCGTGATTATAAGTGTCTCTGCAAACCTGAGCCTGTCACTGTCGTATTCACGGTTCATTAAACCGACAAGAAAGAGCGTGAAATACAAACTCGAGCAACTTTAGTGAATGTCCTCCTCAGACAATGAAAACTGTGCTGTTTGATTAATATTTAGAAAGGTCTGTGCTGTCCTGTGTTGGAAGGGAACAGTAAAGCTCTGACAGTTGGTAAAGCCAGGGTGGCAGGTTTGCCTCCAGAAGGGGCTCTGTGAGAGCCCTGTGGGAGCCAGAGCATCGCAGAGCCTTCCTCCAGCTCAGGCCCGGCCCACATCGCTTCTGCAGCGAGTTCCCAGAAGCCCTCTGAAGTCGGTGTTCGACTCGACAGCTTACACAAACAATCATGTCCAGAATAATGCTCACCGCCGACATATGCACTGACGACAGACTGATAAAAGACGTGATGATGAGACATTATGCAAAAGTCTGATCTCAGAGGCCCGGAGAAATCACGCGAGGAACAAATCTAAGAGTCAGCCAATCTCTTCAGGCGTTAAAAACAGACATCATAATATCTGCTTTAAGTGAAAAGAGGTAAATAATCCGACACGGAGTCACACAGTAATCTCCTTCAGTGGAAGGCCTTGTAATTCTGAGAGGCAGAGAATTCTAAATATCTCCCACTGTGCGACTCCATTTATAGCCGCATTTGTGTCTGCTGATCCATATTTAGGGATGACTTTAGCGCATCTTATTGAATTAATGTGCGTAAAAGGGGTAAACGTGACTGTAATACACCGATCGTTCGCTCACAGCGGAGCGCTCATTAGGAGCAAACGTGAGGAAACTCTTCTCAGGTTCCTCCTCTGGGACTCCCTTCTTGGCTGCCGCTGTGCTGTTAGGTTTCATGATGAAGCGAAAGTCTACAGCCAGAAGACGAGGCTTACGGTACAATTTAATTCAGATTTCATTTTTGTTGTTCTGATATCATGAAATAACGAGAAATCAAAGTTCAGTCATCATGAACTTTGAAGGCCATCAAATGGAGCAGCAGGAACCAGCTGCCGATTCAACATTAAAGGGTTAAAGCAGAGAAGCAGGTTGAACCACTGACTGGTTCACGGATAGTAAACACCAAACAAAGAGCATCGAGTGTTGTTGGTCCTGCTGGTAAACACAACACAATGACGTGGCCAAAAGAAAAAAAGAAAAAAGAAAACCAGAGCAGGAAGTTTGACAGTTCTCGAGTGTGTCGACTAACCCTCTCCTGATGTGAGTCACCGACTGTTCGAGCGGCGGTACGTTTCTTTCTTTTCTGTCGAGTTACTAATGGTGACACATCGGAGCCTGTGGCAGCTGCTCTGTGACGGCATCAGGCAACAACATCTAACAGATGTGCACTGATGTGATCAATCACAGCTCCATATTGTTGGTCAATTTGATCGGGAGTGTTTGTACTTTCATCAGCGAGTCATTTTTTTTTTCACTCGATTCTGGTCTGAAAGTCATTTTTCGATTTTGCTCTGAAAGTCATTTTTCTTCATTTCTGTCAAATGCCTGCAGTTTATTTCAAAGTTACAGGTGTGACGTGTGGATGAGATCTTAATGATTTTAGGTTTTGGAGCCGACAAACTGGGTGATGACAGAAGTATCTACGATGTGTTGAGTGATGTATGTAGATGGAGACAGGTAAAGGAGGAAAACAGGCAGAGTGACGTGTGACTTACATTGAACAGGTTCGTCTTGTTTCTTTCACAGAAAAGTCCTTGTGCTGGCATGTGCTTCAGCTGTTGCCATGGGACACTGCTTCCTAGCAACACATCTCGGGCCCACTGTAGGTTCTGTGTGGGGGAAATAAATAAATAAATAAATGAAAAACACACACATACATATACATGTGTTTGTGTAATTTATGTTAACCAGACAGAGCGGTGATTGAAGTAGATGTCCTTCACATTTGTAGAGTCGGTTTTACGGACAAATCAGAGAATTTAAAATCTGCTAAGAAGTAAAAATTGTTCCTCGTTTCAAAATCATGAAAATGCAGAGCTCCTCTCGCAGCACGATGACTCACAGATCAGTGTCTACATGAGTATCCTGTTTGAAAACATGCTAACGCCACTCCAAGTTATCTCTCACAATGCGGGTTGGCTATAGCATGAAATTACAGACTGAGGATAAAGCCCACCAGTCAGTGTCAGAGGAGTGGGTTTTTTTTTGTGTGTGTGTGTGAACAAAAGGGCCACAGAGGCTTTTAACACTGGATGTGTCGGGTTGTAAAGGCAGCTAAGCAACCTGTGTCGACAGCATCACATCAACCGGCTGTGTCATCATCATCTCTGCCGGGGAGCGTCCGCTTTCATCCGGGCTGCCGAGACCAAACCCAGATAAACCTTTCTGCTGTGGAAGTTACTCCACGTTTAATTAAACCTGGGGGAAATTACCTTCACTGAACGCTTGTGACTTCTAATTCACCAGTAAATAAAGGATTTCTTCATCTCCAGACACATCACAAATATCTTACTTGTGGGAACCACGATGCTGCGCAAAAGTACAAATTAGTGTGTTTAGAAAGAACCTGTGATCCCTAAATACACCAGTACTGAGGAGGAAAATTACTGCATCTAAAAGGTTCAACAAACTGAGAGCTGACAGAAGGATGCCACCGCAGTAAAGCGCTACGCAACCTCCCTGTGCCAAACTGGCTGAGAGAGCACTGTGCTGCCACCCACGCACACCTCTGCCCACAGAGCCTTAGAGCCAACACAGGCTGTTTCAGCAACTCGTGTGTGTCACTGCAGAGCTCACAGACCCACCGCAGAGAAAGCCAAGGAGAAGAAACAATAACCACCGAGGCTCTGATGTATATATTATTCATGCAAAGAGTTCAGGTGACTTCTGAGGACGCTGTACGCAGACTGAGCACGCCCCGTCTTCTATAACTGTCAGCGTTAATGACAGGGGATAGTGATTATAGGTGTACAGCTTTGGTTTAATGGATCACTTGGCCTTTAAAACACAATGAGAGTAGTCTTTTGCCACCAGCTGACAGGGGCACGCTGACCTGATGGGTCCTGCTGTTGCTGTAGAAGAAGGCCAGGCGGTACAGGCTCTTGTAGTGCTGAGGGAAGCGGCCGAGGCAGACGAAGAGAGCGCGGACGCACATGTCCAGCAGCATCCGTCTCTGGTCGGCGCGCTCCGGAGGAAGCTCTTTAGGCACCTCGATAACCTCGATGGGAGGCTCTGGCTTCCTCTTCCCTTCGCTGGCTGGAGTTTGCGGGGCAGATTGTTGGGACAGGGGTGGCTTTGGAGGGGTGGCTGGGACAGGAAGAGGAAGAGGACACGGGTCTGCAGAGGCTTTGGGGGCCAAAGTCTCAGGGAGTGTCACCACTACCGATTCAACAACTTCCTGGATGACTTTTTCCTCCACTTGGATGCCAGAGTGTTCTCCGTGTGAAACTGAAGCAGAGTTGAAATAAAAGAATTAGAATCGAATCGCTGTGACAAAAACAAACAAAGGTCAAAAAAGTGTAAAACCTTTACCCGTGTCCTCGGACGCAGACTGACCGTCTTTCACAGGAGTCGTGCTTTCCGAAGACGATGAACAAGCTTTCACAGACACCGGTTTGTGGCTGCTGTCCTGTGAGCTGGCGGGGTCCGTGAAGGCGTCTTGGGTGGAGTTGGAGTCGGAGAGCATCACCACCTCACTGTCCTGACTGCGCTCTGCCAGAAGAACAAAAACAGAAGAACATGGGTCATGCTGCCAGTCGCATGGACCCGGATATAAACAGATGACAACAGCCTGTGGGGGAATCGAGGATAAATGCAGAGAAGTTAATCTGTCTGAAAAGTGGGGTTTATGTACTCCTGTTTAAATTAAGTGATTCAAATGTAGAGCGATCTTTAATCGGTCAAAGAATTAATATCAGGATATAATCTTGATTGAAAGCACTGATCCACATTGTGTTATAGCATATTTAAAAAGCATGTTGTGTAGGCCTCGTCAAGCTGTTAGTAGGTGGTGGTTTTCAAATGCCAAACAATCCTTGTTTTATGTGTGTGTTTGTGTGTGTGTGGAGGGGAATAATGCAATTATGAAAAATAGGTCATGAGCCAGAAATCCTTATTAGTGGATCCCTAATGACGCTTTGTTATAAAGGAGAGAGGGTCTGTTTTTGTAAGTGGTCCAAAATTGAAATGCCAGCAGTCCTCTTAATTGCCTTGTTGTGCAGCCTCAGCAGAAAAACGGATCTTGGCAGAAAGACTAAATAACACAATCAAGAGGGTAACAAGCTTCGGCTATTTCAGTGAATAATGCGCAGAAGGGACTTTTCAAAAGAATCATCATCATCATCATCATCATCATCATCATGAGCTGAAAGTTAGTGCAGTACTGTAAGATTTTAGTAAAACTACAGCGTGTGACTGTGAATTCAGTGCTAATCATTTCTGATCAAAAAACACAGACTCTAATAAAAGAGTTTGGTGGGTTTGGAGAGCAGTACCATTCAGGGAGGCCGGCCATATTGCAGACCTGGGCAGGCAGTAATCATGGTCAAACTCTGGTGAGGCTGTTGGAGATATGGGGAGCTGGTTGTAAAATCTTAACAAGAACAGCTGTATCTCTCAAATCATACTGTCAATTAACTTTAATTATCATTAACAGGTTTAATGCCACTCCCCATGAAACTGTAGGGCCTGATTCAGACACAGGTATCCGCAGTGTGGAGGTTGTAATTTAGCACATCTTAGGATCGATATTTCTCTCCTGTACTTAATAATAAAAAAGGCCGGGGGTATGAGAGGCCTCGACCGGACTCCTCAGCTCTGACTTTACTGACAATATCGCTGCAAAGGAAACACTTGGTGGATCCAGACGGATGAAATACAAAATATTCCCAAATGACGTCATGTCTGAATCAGGCCGTACACTCGTGTCACCTTGATGAGCTCTCAGCAGGACTCAGACAGAAAACTTGGACACTTCAAGCAAACATGTGCGCAGCGGAGTATTTTCTGACTACAGTCTCAGCAGTGCGCTGATAAGAGGCCAGCCGCATTCTTCTCGACTTGGCGTTTTTACAATAATTAGCTGTAATTGGAAACTCTATCCAATTAGCGGAAAGCAGCAAACACATGATTAACTATGAATTTGATATCTCCAGGGAGTTTGACTGTCAAATTAAGCCCACACCGACTGAAACACAATGTGACCACATAAACCACCAGACAGTTCAGTGAAGTTGTGATAAAAAAGGACTGACTTCCTCCAGTCGTGAAGACATTCACCCCATTTGAACTACATGCACATCAATGGCAAAGCAGGTGGTAAAAGCAAGCAGGCAAAGAGGTAGCAGGCAGGTAGGTAGGTAGGAAGGAATCTGGAAAGGGCGACAAAACTGGCAACATGGGCAACATGGCTGCATTATTTGGACACAACAGCTGAGCAGAAAACATGGGGGGGAGGGACAGATGTCACGGATTTTGGCACATGGAAAGGATGGCCACAACGGACACGGCGATGTAGCGTTTAGGAGTTTTGGAACCAGGCATGTTTAAAACGGTATCTGAATTCTCACCTGTCGATTCAATATTATCATCCTGATCCTAGTCGTCTGTTCGACTTATTGGTCAATATGTTGAGTTGATCAATATTCTGATTGGTCTCCAGAGAGTTTGACTGTCAAATTAAGCCCAAACCAACTGGAACACAACGTGACCGCATAAACCGCCAGACAGTTCAGTGAAGTTGTGATAAAAAGGACTGACTTCCTCTAGTCGTGAAGACAACCAATAGTTGACCAAAATTCTGATAGGTCACGCCAATTTACAGTCTATGGTTAATTTCATCAGGAGGAACGTACCAAGTGCTCATGGGGGTGTTTTCAGAGCATTCCTGTAACAGTCTGTCTCAGAACACCTCAATTGTTTTCACAAATTTGGATTCGCCAAACCCACTGGAGACCGTCTGGAGACAGGAAGATTGAAAAGCGTCCACGTTAATCAACGTCCGGTGGTTTGCTGAATGTTTAGATTTTCAGTTTGGCAAATCCAAATTTGTCAAAACAATTGAGGTGTTCTGAGACAGGCTGTTACGGGAATGCTCTGAAAACTGAAAATCTAAACATGTTTAGATTTTAAATCTTTGTGTTAGATTAACTTCTTGTGCTGATATCAGTATATTTTCACCCCACCGAGCCGAGAATTGTCGTCCCCCGCCGCACAAAGGTTTGCGGTCAGAGTCAAACCCCCTGAATGGTCAATTTTCAGCGTTTTAGTCGACCAAGAATTTCTTTGGTTGATTACTGGACAGTCTCTTCCAAACATGTGCGCTTCATATCTGCTGTAGGAAAACAGACACTTCCCGCCTAACTGTGTAATAAAAATTCCAGATCTGTGATGAGCTCACTGTTTCAGACAAATCTAAAAAACCACCACTTAATGTCAAAACATTAAACTTGAAAAGCTCACCCCTCATGACTCTTCTTCGTCTGTGCTTTGATTGAATGAACTCGTATTTTACCATCTGATGTGGTTTTTTAATGTGAGAGTTTCAGCAACAGTCGGGGCTTGTGTGTGGAAAGTTCATTCTAGGTCCTCATCTCTCTGTTCAGATTCGCTCTGCTCTCCTAAAGCTTCTCCCGCCGGGGGAATTCTACACTTTGTGCATAAAGATGGTGTAAACAGAAGGAGACTCTTACAGATAAATATGCAAGACTTGGTGAAAGTGTCAGAAAAACTTCTCTGGATTAGAACCTGCAACTCCTGACACTGCAAAACCAAATGTTTACCCAACTGCATGAAGCACCCAGCAAAGCAACAACAAGGATCCTCGAGCATTAGCAGCTTTTTTAGTGTGTTACCAATCGCCAGCAGCTGATTAAGGCGACAAACACACACGGCTCAGATTTCTCTATGATGTCGCCGGCTTAGGGAATGACAAAGCAACAATTGTAGGATATTAGGAGAGGCAAGATGATTGGTAAGGACGGAGATAAGGACCAGCAACAAAGCAGTGACTAGAAATGGATGTTTTTTAGCGCACACAAACACACACAGACACGTACACATCTGCACACACAAGCCTCAACACACTCTGTAAAATTTAATCTTCAAATCCATTTGTTCCAACACTGCTGCTTTGTCAGGCATAGCAAATTAGTCAAATAATCAGCAGCCATATTGCCCATTTCACCACATCCCAATCACCCAGTGCACGGGGATCACTGTAACTGAAACCAAAGCCATTAAGCATGGTGATTAGCGATCTGAGCACTCCCCAGTGGGCTTCCTGTCCCAAAGCAGGGAGGGCGAAGAGCCCAACCTCTGAGACAGTGTCTAGGTCTGGGACTGTACCATCAGCCTGCTGCTCCTCATGCCGCTGCTGCTGCCACTGCTGCCGGCGGAGTGTTTTGCGTTTGGCGTAATCGTGGTCAAACGGCGTGGCCACGTAAGGAGGAGATGTGAGACCTGGGGTGGCAGCTGATTGGAGGGAGGAGCTGAGGTTGCCTATGCAGGAGCTGAGGGGGCCTATGCATGCTGATGAGGAGTTAAAGTCTTCATCCATCATGGAGGGCGGTTTCTCCCTGCAAAGAACCAAGAACAACACGGAACGTGAGTTTTCGGACATGTCGCTGAATATTTCGTCTTCGCTCCGGCTGGGTCGCTTACTTTTCATTGGACCTGGGCATACTTGGCATACTCTTCTCCTCCCCTCTGGCGAACGGCCCAGTGGCAGCTTCAACCAGCAAATTAAACAAGTTCTCATGATCCAGATCGGGCTTATCACTCTCGAGTAGTTTGAGGATGGTCGCGCCGAGACGGAAATGCAGCTGGTAGTAAAAGGAGAAGAGATTTGATGGTCCGTAAGCATGTTAATGAAGTCTTTGGAAGCAGAAGGCAAAAACAATGTGGCGTAGCGTGGCGTAGGTGTTTTACCTCCAGCGCCTCCATGGCCAGGTCAGGGGGATTATGGTAGTGGATTTTTCGAGGGTACCTGGCTGCTTCTTCATGCAGATAGTGTGCCGCCTACAAACACAAAGACACAGAATCGCAAATCCAACAACAACCGTGGGGATATTAAAAACGGAGTGAGGCGGTGAGGAGTAGAAGTCAGCATCGTGGTTCAGAGTGTTTACACTAACCCTCCTCTGTCTCTGCTGACCTCCCTGACATCATGTTTCGCACTGGTCCATCTGCCTCCACTGATCTAATCACAACAACAAAGCTATGACTAACTCCATACATTGTCTCTGTGAAAAAAACATCTTTCGTGAGGGTGGAGGGGCCGCGCTCTTGTTTTCTGGAGGCGGATTATAAAACAACTCCGTGGAGAGCCAGAGAAATGTCTGCCATCAACCTACAAATGAAGGATTGTTCCATTTCTTTTTACTGGGGGTTTATTTTTCTGACTTTTATCAGCATGTCAGTACCATCCAAAATTCCTGCTTCCACTTACTTCGATAAATGTCAGCCCAGTACAAAGAAGTACTCAGATACTCAATCTTTTAGTTCTGCGTTTGCTGATCTGAGACAACTTCAGTCGATGACACGAGAAATCCTCATCAGTTCATTTGGATTTATCGATTGTTAAGGACTCAGAAAGCATAATTCTGTAACTGTAATTCTGTTTCACAAGATCAGCACAGAACAGGGTTTTCTGTGAGGTGGACGCTTCAGCCTCGAAATTTACCTCACAGAGAAACTGGCTGCTGTGTTATGACTATAAGCAAACAAGATGGATTTGATCAATCTTGTATTTTTTTTCCCTTATGTCTCAAAACCAAAATTCATCCACTGAAGGAAACTTTTTCATCCTCCTTTGAACAATTGACACAACAAGAAACGCAAATATAGTATTACTCCCATTCTCTTAAGTAAATCCATTTAAAAACACAGTGAGAGTCTCAGTAAGACCATGGTCTGAACCAAGGTCTGTGTTTTTCTTACATTGTCTACATTTGGTTCAGTCTGTTCAGGTTTCACTTTGTCATTATTGCAAACAGACGAACAGACTTCACATGACGAACCTACTTGATATCGTCATCAACTACGTGCTTCGCGTGTTTCTGTACTTTACATTGATTGGTCAGTAGGCTGACAGGTGTCTGACATAAACACGTTGAAAAGCGTGGCTCTTGAATGTTGTAAACATGGATGAAATCGTCATTCCCAACATCGTACTGTTTTTGATTTTCTACCTCCAACAGCGACAACTTGAGGAGCTGAACACGGGGCCGGTCCGAGGGAGTCTCATGAATTTGATCATTAGAGGAGTCGGGAAAAAAGTATGTGTAGTAAAACTCTTGAAAATAGTGAGGTCTATAACTTTATCTACAAGATAATAAAATTTCCCGTTGTTGGACAATCTACATTAAACATAATAACAGATACTTCTACTCTTCATGTCATTTCCTGTCTTTGGTACGAAGGTCTGAACCTTTCAAATTAACGCTTTCACACTGGACATCAACCAGATCATGGTTCAGTTCGGTCCAGACCGAGACCACCTCTTTTGGTCCGGACCAAGGTCCTGAGGAGGTTTCACGCCTTTAACAGAAAAGTCAAAGTCCGGACCGAACGACGTGAGTGTGAAAAACCCCTTAAGTCACCTCACACCTTCAGAGATGTCTTAGCTTTCATCAAAAACACAACTTGATTGTTGAGTCTAAAGAATGGTTTTGGCTCAGACCCGGGTCTAAAACTCACGAGTGTTATTATAAACAGTCGATGTCTGGACTATTTACAAATCTGACCTTTCATAACTCTGACGGTTAAAAGTGCTGAAACTATTGCAAACCGCATCCTCGTCCTTATCTTTCACATCATTCATTTCATCATTGCAGTTTCTTGTAGAGAATTGTGTCATCTTGTGTCATCTTGTGTCATACTCGTGAACTCTGTATATCTTCACATCCCTGGTAATTGTATGATAAGATCTCAGCTCATGACCCCGGGCTGTTTACCTTCTTGTACAGCTGCAGATAGTCCACAGGAGACTGTTTGCGTTTCTCTGCGATCTTCCCCAGCATGTAGTGAATCAGCCACTCTTCTTCATCGCTGTCACACTCACAGCGTGAGGCTCCCTGGAAACACTGGAAGGCCGTCTCCAACATGGAGTCTCTCCTTTCCTCCATCTGAAACAAAACACATGCAGACACAAACGTACACGGCGGAAAATTCATGAGGAATTCAGCTCCGGGCGACAAATCGATTTACCCTTCAGTGAATTCACATGTGGAAGAAGCTTAGATAACATGATGCGACATCTGTTTAACTCATACGACAGCAGAGTTAACACAAAGTGACAAGGCGGAGAGACGAACAAAGACATCATCTGCTCATGGCGGCGTGTCTCTCACCTGTTTAACCACCTCTGGGGGCAGCTCGTTGCGCCACTGCTTGAGCTGCCGTGAAGCAAACGAATGTAGTGCGTATGAAATGGTTCCGTACTCGATCCACAGAGACAGGTTGGAGCTGTCTATCTCCAGGGCTCTCTTAAAGCAGTTGAGAACTGCCTGGGAGTGTTTCCATATAGGAACGTCACTTTTCAGCTCGTTGGAGTTGAGCTTCTCCTGGATGCGGCTGGCTCGAGCTAAAGCCATCCCTGCCCAGGAGTCAAACCTGATGAAAGAAACGCAAACGTCTTGTGAAGCTGATCCTGTTTTAATGTTATAAAGAACATCCACATGTACTCTCTATGATCCCTGCTGATATTCTGACTGTTAAAATTTATGATGCACAGGCGTGAGGAGAAACGAGGTACCTGTTGGGACACACGCAGATGTCATGCATGTAAAACTTGATGGCTTTGGACTGCTCCTTGTTCTTGAAATGATAGTCAGCCAGCAGGTAGTAAATCTCATCGATGATTGGAGGTGCAGGACTCCCCCCCTCAGGAAGACTCGGCGCCTGAAGGAGACAAAAACTCATCGTTATTAAACAGTTATCATAAATATCTCTGACAAACTATCACAAACTCTGATCTGAGCCAGCTGACTGACCTTTTCTGTCATGCACTCGATGTAGGCCGCCACTTCATCCATGGTGAGGGTGGGGGTGTCACTCTGTGGAGCGATGCCAACAAACCTCCTCAGCAGATTGGCGAGTTCAGCCGACACCGTGCTGGTCTTGTAGCTGTCAAACTCAGGCAGAGACTTTGGTTTGAAGTACTTGAACATGAAGAGAGCGTCAGACCACAGCAGCTCAACCTGCAGCAGGAAACACCGGCGTGAAAGTCCATGTTATTAAAGTTCAGCACACAGTGCCAGAGCCATTTAGTGGTTTGGATGGAGACCCTTTCTGCTCTGTGGTGCTGGATAATCACAGTCTGAGTCAGGGTCACGAGGCTGTGGGAATGACAGCCACCTAGTGGCCTGTTGTAAGCATTACAAAAACAAAAGATTCTCAGGGCTGTGTCCTCAAAGCTTCTCAGGGTTTGAGAGACACCCCCACAGGCAGATTCGTGCAACATTTTAAAAACCACAACACTGTCCAACTCTTCTCTTTTTTAAGCAACTTCATAAAAACTTCATGCTTTCTTGTGCCTCAAGAATATCTTAGATGAGGAGAAAATACGACTGCTTTCCCACAAGAGTTGATGCTGTGTGAAACATTGATGAAAACTGAGTTTGATGGTTTAAAAATCAGCAAAGGAAGAGGCTCAGCGGTCTGTGAGAGACTGCTTTAGAAAATAAATCAGCGACTCAAGAAAAATCTCCATGGATGTGAAATTGTAAATAATTGGAGGATTTTATCAACTGCGAGACAAAGACAATAACAGATATCGGACGGCTGCAATCACCAGGCTTCAGGTGGCATGACATCCAAACGAGACATTTACAATCACATAATGGGCTTATATTGATCTGGGAAATATCAATTTGTTTTTATCAACATCTTACAAAGTGTCTCAACTCTTATGACACAGCAGCACTGTGATAAACGTAACAACAGAGAGTTAAATGCTCCAGATCTGATGTGTTTATTTGTTTGTTGTTGATCTGTGTCCCTGTTTCTCACTCTGAGAATTAATGCTATCAGACCATCAACAGCTTCAATTTATTTCACTGACAGCAGACGAGTCTACCTCCCCAGCCAACAAAACAACATTAATGGATGGAGCAGATTTCTGCAGAGCGATGAGGGTCAACGAGGGTACGCATATGCGTCATCTGCAGTCTGCTCCCGTTCAAACGCTCGTGTAGGTTTGCCAATACAGGTGAGAAATCGTACCAATTAATAAAAGCCTTGAGGCATTTCAACCACCTCTTCACTTTTCTGCCGCCTCTTCAACAGCATTTAGCTTTTATCTAACTACAGGATTTGACGCATACGGAGATTTGTGTTTCACGTTTTAATAACAGACTGACTAAAGCAGAGTCAGAGGACGGTCACTGACCTGTGGAGATGAGTGGTCCTCCAGGTAGCGGGCTTTGCTCTTTTTACTGGGGTAGGCGTATAAGCAGAAGAAGCACTGCTCCAAGGCCATCTCTAATTCCTCTTTGTAGGGATGAGCGTTCGTGTTCGAACAGGCTGCAAACTCTTTCTCCAAAACTTGAACCTGCATCGAACACGGGAAGAAAACAAGCGCCATCAAACTGCTGACATGATGCACAAACATAGATGTAGAATCCGTGTATCATTTATTCGATTTTCAAGAGAAAACCAAAAATGAAAAAAAGAGAAAACGAATTGTTTTCTAGATATTAGCTCATTTTCCAACGTCCGTTTTCTTCAGCTCAAATGAAAATGCGATAAATGGACAACAACAGTTTAATCTGATTTAAACTTTTTCATTTGTAGAAAGTTTCATGACCCAGGAGTGAAGAAGAAACGGGCTTTGGCGTTTTGGCTGGACTCAGAATTATTCAGAGCCTGTCTGATACATGTCCTTTTCTCCTGGAGGTTGTTTTGGGCAAAGAAACTTCTGACAGACATCTCAGAACTCAGGCACTCCTGCCTCCTGGTGAAAATCTCTGCATGAGTTTTGCCATCCTGAAAAAAGTGCCATATGAGCTCTGAATAATTCTCAAGTCCAGCCATAACGCCAGAGCTGCTTCTTGTTCTCTTGACGTCTGAGAAAGATTCACTTCTGGATCACGAAACTTTCTACAGAGAAAAAAGGCTAAATTAGGCAAAACTGTTGTTTTCATTTTCATTTGAGCTGAAGAAAACAGAAATGGGAAAATGAGCCTTATCCCTTTTTGTTTTCATTTTAGAGACAAATATTTAGAGAATAATTAGCTTTCTTATTTTTTCATTTTTGGTTTTATTCTGAAAATCGAATGATACACAAATCATGTAGCATCGCCTACAGAGAGCTCTCCAAGCAGCTTAAATGTAAAATCTTTAATTCATGTTTTTCCATATGCATAAATACAAGCTGCACATTCACATTCACAAAAGAAGTATGGGAAAAGAGAGAAGTCTGCAAACAAACTCACAAAAAACTTGAGGAGCGTGCCGTTTGAGTAGCAGCACAAAGTGCGACGTCCAAGATATTCATGGGCTGTGTTCAGAAGCATTAAGGAGGAGGGCAGCATGGGAGTGTCTGAGTCATCTGAAAGCAGAGACACGATAGGGTCACTCGCTGTAACAAGCACCATGACATGAACACGCAGAGGAAACCGAAGGCACGAAAACAGCAAGTCAACAAACCTTCATCGTCCCCTACGGACATATGCTGCCGGAGCATACAGTCAAAAGCTGCCTCCTCGTGTTTGATGACGCGGTAGAGGATAATCCAAGGCAGGACTGAGAAGAAGTACGGCTCCTTGGGATCATCGGAGACACTCATACTCAAATCAATCAGCTGAAAACACAGAGACGCCACAAAACATGTTAAAATTATTGAATCCTTTTCTCTTACTTTAATGAAAACAAGCCTTTTCTCCTGCTTCTTCTAACCTGAATGAGGTTGTTTGCCAGTCTGGCCATGCTGGAGAAGTGTGGGACATTGCTCAGAAGAGCCAAGTCTTTGGTAAAGCAGACCTCTATACCATCCAACAACTTTCCGATGGTCCTGACCCACTCCTCCTTACTCGGGGGAGAGCTGTTTGGACCGGAGTTGAGCTGCTGCAGGGCTTCATTAAGAGCCAGCTCGCTGCACTCCAAACACTGCTGGTAGTCCTCGAGCTTCAACAGGGAGTTCTGGGACCACAAAGTTAAAAGTCAGAGAGTTAGAAAGGTCCACCGTTTCACATTTGAAAAAGATGGAAGGATCGGGACTGTTGTAGGCAGATCTAACCTGCAGCAGCAAGAGCTGAGCCGGCCGCTCGGGTGCTGAGCTCACAAACTCCAGAGGTTTACTTCTGCTGCCATAATTAAGAGTGGGTTGCAGCAGACGCACCACAGACTTATAGTCTGCAGATTCAAAGAGACGCTGGATCTCCTCCAAGGACTGACAGCGCTCCAGAGACTTCAGCCTTTTGTCAATCTGTTCAGAAGAAATGAATGGAACAGAGAAGAAATACACAATCAGAGCCGACAGAAGCCCTTTGAATAACTCACCCACAAAGTTGTTTTCTCTTTTCAGTCATTTTCTTTTCAGTAGTGCTGATTTTTGAGAGCTAAGTTAATAATTCCTTATCCTAAATAAACATTAAAAACAGATTAAAGAAAGGACGACATGCTCACCTCCTCCAAAGAGATCGTTGCGTCCACTTTTAGGTTTGGCAGGTTTATAGCGTATGGTTTTCCCTCTGAAGTCTTTGGTTTGCTTTGTAGCAGGCTGATACAAACATCGTAGCTCTCCTGGGCCGACTCCATGTCTCCCTAACAAAAGACAAGAACAAAAGACCTACAATTTACATCTGGCTAAGCCGAGCTGAAACGGCTTACAATTAAAACTTGAGCCAAAGAAAAAAAAAAAAAACAGGTAAATGGAGAGTCCCTACCTGCAGGGCCAAGAACCGGGCCTTCAGCCAGTAGACCCGCACCATGACATCCACCCAGGCGTCCTCAAAGATGTCTTTCTGGGATGAACCCAAAGCCAGGATGAAGAGATCACCCTGGAAGTGTTGCCCGGGGAATTCAGACTCAGGGGCGTCATTGTTGGGGCCGATGCTGCTTCTTCTCGGGGACACTAGACGAGAAAAAAATGTTGTTTCAGATAAAATCGATGACACGCAAACGCTCCGTAATTTCTGTGTGTTACAGCGCCCCCTTTAGGCCGGTATCCCCTACAGCTAAAGGACAAAAGGACAACGTTAGTGTTGAACATTTTCAGCTCTAATTCACAGTCAGCGCTGGTTGAATAAGATTTTTGACACATTAATAGAGCACCTTTGTGGGAAACAGCACACATAAACGTATCAATCGACCAAGTTTAACCAGACATTAGGTTTTTAAAAATGAAGTCCACACTGGCGTTTACCTGTCTTCCCTTTGTTGTGTAACCTCTGCTCCAACTGCAACTCCATACAGGCTAAGCTCATCGCCAACATGTCCTGTACATGAAGCAAATCAGAAGAAAATGTCATCATGAAAATGAGAAGTAGTTTACGACAACGTATTCTTTTTCTGTAATCTAGAACTGAACCTTCTCGCTCATTTACCCGGATGTGTTGGTTGCTGCACTCTCGAAGAAGAGGGTTAGGAAGACCGCAGCTGTGTTTCCTCCAGTTCTGATAGACCTCCAGGACCACAGCGGTCAGGCCTCGAGGCCACTCCTCCAGGAACTTCTGACCCACAGCTTTCAGGTAGCGCATCATCAGGTCCAGTATTCCTCCGTTGGACACATTATTGAGCAGGAAGGCGTGGACGTCCTGTTGTTCTGCAGAAAGAGAGGGCAGTTTTTGAATATGGTAGAAATATGACGCGACACTGTTTTGCAAATACGTCCAAAACAAACTACCGACCTGATTCCATATAAACAACCGAGTTGACAGGTAAACCGCTCCCATGCAGAGGCTGTATGTCCTCCTTCCCTTCACACTGCGCCTCCAGATTACTCAGACTCTCCTCATCATTATCAGGGTCAAACTTCCTCAGCCTGAAACAAACAAACAAATCACTTTTATCAACAGATCTAGAATGACACGGCTCTTTTGGCATTTTATTTACAGTTTACAACGAGATACCTGGACGGTAAGTATTTATACAGCAGCTCCTGAAAATCTATCTTCTCTTCCTTCTTGCATTTTGTGTTTCGAACACGTGCAGATCGGCGTTTGGCTGTTTCGCCGCTATCTTCCACCACCCGTTTCCTTTTTGGAGCTTTTTTTACTTTATCTGTCAGTGAAACTTCCATGGCTGTAGCTGTTAAATAAGACAAAAATAACAAACACTGAAAGTCTCTCAGAACATGAGTTTTACAGATATACAGAGGCATACATGCTACTTTCTCTTTCTCAACAGCGTACCAACGGGAGGTGCAGAGGTGGTGATTTCCACTGTGGTCTGACTGGGGGTGACCTGAGGTTGGATTACAGGTTGGGGCGGCGCTGGTGGCTCAGGGAGGGCCATCGGCGGCAGGGACGAGCTGGGACTGCTGCTCATCACGGTGGTCTGAACTGTACTGACTGGGCTGCTGGGTTGAGGAAGGTTCTGGAGGAAGTTTGGGTCACGGTACTCTGACAAGTCGATTCTACGTCCAAGACTGGGGCGCGGGGGCTCGCATGAGGTTTGATGTTTGTACATGGCGAGGAGGCTCTCGCCCAAACTCTTCCATCTGAAATAAACAAAAACACCCTCGTTAAAATAAGAAGTGCCAATGTTAATGAAAATAGAGGATCAGAGCCAGAAGGTTAAAAAACTGAGCCTAGAAAGGTTCTGTTTGAATGTCAGTGGATTTTATCCCAGAATTTCAGAGAATCACATCCAGCTCCTTCATTTTCTTACTTTGAATGAAAGATCGGTGGGTGGGTTAATGAATCTATCCTCAAAGATGTCACCAAAATATGCTCAGATATTTGAAAACACTCTGTGGTTTAGATTTTTAAAGTTAATAACTCCTTTAAACGACACTTTTAAAAGATATAAACATGTCCAAGACACATGGAACTCACGAGAGGCAGCAGATGGGCTGAGTCAGGACCAGGTCAGGTTTGGGTTCACATTGAGAGAGCGCCTGTCTGCGCCTTCGTATGTCCATCGCCTCCTCCACGATGGAGTCCCATTCCTCTTTCTCCACTTCCACATAGTGAATAGACATATCGCTGCAAACACCAGAGCACAGAGGTTTGTCAGTGATGTGTGAGTGAAGAGCTGCAGGGAGGAATAAAAATAGAAGTGGCTTCACCATTTCATGAACATCTGCATCGTGTCTCTCTTCAGACAGGGTTGCTCCTTGAAGATTTTCTCCTTCAACACCAGACCTTTAGTGTAACAGTGATCCCTCCCCAGAGCTTTGGCAATGTAGTACAAACAGCCTGGAAAGATGTGAGCAGATGACAGTTAATGCTCCTCGTATACTGCAGCGATGAGAGAGGATACAGAGCAGACGGCTTACGATGACATACAGGTGTAGTCACTGAGTGTGTAGAGGATGGTGATGAGGTTGTCCAGGCAGGGCCAGTGGTCTGGATTACAGTTCAGTCCTTCTTCAAAGGCGTGTCGAGCCAGAGGAATGCGCACCAGTCGCACGGCCACCTGACCGATCTTGTACCACATGTTCACGTCAGTGGAGTCCAACATAACCGCCTAAGAAAAGAACAGAGCAGAACACTCAGTGTGATATAATAACCACCCGATAAACTGTCAGACACGCTGAATGAAAAGACACATTCAGTTACAAAGAGAAGTACAAGGTCGAGAAAGAAAATCAAACTGGCATCATTTCTTTTTTTACCTCCAGATAAAACTCCATAGCAGTCTCCAGATCATCCCGGGAGGCGGACATACTTGCCAAGTTTTTAAACGTGGAATATTTCAACATCAGCCCGGGATGCTTGAGACCCACTCTCTGATCATCGGTGGGCAAAGCCTAAAAAAACACATCAGATTTCATATCAAACACCAAGTGATGCAGACATATTCTTCTTCTCCTGTGTGTGTGGGCAGTGTTTGTGTTATTACCGGGCAAGATTTGAAGTGGAAATCCCAAAACTTGAATATATTTCTCAAAACTGAGACTTTGCCTCATTAATTAAGTCTGTAGATGATAGTGCTGCATAATTAATCCGATTGCAATTGCACTCCAGACGTGGGAATGTTCAGTAACATAAATGCACAAAAGACTAAGATACAATATAAATGTTACAATCTCTACTCTGGCTGTTTGGAAACACATTTTTTAATTAAATTTTTAACCCACAAAGTTAACTCAAAAACATTTATACAAAAACTTTTTTGTATGTTCAAAGTTTAGACACATTTACTGGTAAAAAGGAGAATTGTTCTGCATAAGAAAAGCCTAACTACCCTAACTACACGCAAGACATTAAGATGTTTTCTAAATAATAATAACACCTGATAATAATCAAACACCCTGTCATTCTGTCATTGGATCCCAGCTGTGTCTGGTAAACATACAGAACCAAGTCCAAGTCAGAGAAAGCCACAATCTTCTCTGCATAAATGGGATGTATTGTTACGATTATGTAACATATATCAGTCAGATACACAGTGTTCTGGGTTCTTTGTTCAGCTATATTACCAAAGATTTCTCGACAGCTGCGACAGGCTGCCTCGGTTTGATACTTTACCTCTTTGAGCAGAGGTGTTTTGAGGAGTTCATGATAGGCTTTGGCAGAGTCTTCAAACTTGTCATGTTTCTGCAGATCTAAAGCTTTGTGATATAATGCAAATGCCTCCGCTTCCTGTGGATAGAAATAAAGAACACATCAGACCACTTATTCAGATCTACAGCAGGATACATTTGCGGTGAACATGCCCAGAACTGCTGAATCATCCTGGAATCGTCCGCACCTGAGCCTCTTTCGTCTGACTCTTGTTAGTTCTCTGGGGATCCTGAGACTCATCTGTAGCTGTTGAAGCAGCATTTAGTGCTGCTATACGGATCTGGAGGACCAACACACAATACAAACAGAGAATTAGAAGGTTTAAAAGAAGGTTTACTGATGAAAAATAACAACTAATGATGCACTTTGTAAATGAAAGCCTTACCATTTTAATAAGTGAGCAGTGCAGCTATCTCTGCAGTTAACAGCTTATGATTTAACCTGTTTGAGCGAAAAAAAAAATCAAGGTGATAAAACTGTTGTGGAAGAATATGAAACAGCATAGGGGAGAGTGGGGTAAGTTGAGCCACTCCCTGTTTCTTGTAAATGGTCAAAGAAATTGATCATGTGACCAAATATTTAGAAGATGGGCATCAACTTACCCCATACACGGGGTAAGTTGACCATAACAGACTACTTTTTTTTGGCATTCTGTATTATCAAGACAGTTCTGTTTACACTCATTCTGTTGGTTTGCGGGGATGAACAACATCCTGAAATATATGCAGATACACTAGTTAGAGAGTAAACTATGATTGACTTGATGTAGTGATCAGAAATATGAAAAATGTCTCATCTTTACCCACTCTCCCCTATATAATGTAATGATGCTCTTTGTAAATGAAAGCCTTACCATTTTATAAGTGAGCAGACCTTCTACCTCTGCAGTTCACAGCTTATGATTTAACCTATTTAAGAAAACAAGAAATTAAACAGCATATTAAAATCACAGACAGACAAAACTGTGTCCAGACAAAACCTCTTCATACACACAGCCTGATATTCACCAATAACAGATGACTATTCTTCAGATTTGTAGGAGGTTTTCAGCTAATTAAACACAAACATGAGAAGGAGATAGATGGCAGCTGGGTGTAGTCAGACATGATCAGATATCAGGAGGACAGACGAGCTAACCTCAATGATGCTCTGCCTGGTTAGCTTAGCACAGTGCGGCTGCAGTTTGTCCCTCTAAACACCTTTACTAAAGAATAACACAACATGTACCTCTGACAGTAGGTGTTTAATACATCTATGTGCACATCTATCAACTACAAACACCCAGTCTGTAGTTCTTTTACTGTTTCAGGTAGCTAACTGACGTTAGCCCTCACGTTGTGTTAGCTAACCGAGTGTTTCACCGGGTTAATGTGTGTCAGTTACAAAGCCGACAAAGCTTACCGTTCATTTTCTCCTTCAAATGCACATGTAAGGTTGTTGTCACCGCAGCGGGGAGTGAAAATCCACAGAAAGAAGCGGCCATGACTGAACATGAAGCGGAAAAGCGAGTTTAAAACTTCATTAATTCATCTTCCTTTGTTGTTGACAACGTTATGAACATTTGCGTCACCGACTGACATTTGCTGCCCCGCCAAGTAGTGAAGTCGTCGCTCATTGGTCAATGCGCCGTGGGTGTACTCATCTGACCAATCACATGCTGCGGTACAAGTTGATGGCGCAGGATTGTCGCACGGTACAGAAATGTTAATAACTGCAACGGAAACCATCTGAAGTTTACAGTTTATTATAGTTTATATTTTTAATAAAGAATATAAATCTGTGTTCTTGTTGAAAACTACTAAAACAGAACTTTAACTTTTAAATATTTTCCTGTGAAACTTTAAAAAACAAATCTTCAAACCTATCAGGATTATTTTGAATTTTAAGTCTAAATATTAAGGTCACTTTATATGTGAGAGAAGTATTTGTTAAAGCAAAAAAGGGTAAAGAACAAGACTTATCAACTCTTTTCATCTCACTATCGTCATCAATTTCTTTAATGTGTTTCTATTTTAATCTGACCCTCTTCATTATCACTTTTTAACACTTTCTGATGTGAAACTGAATATTCTAGATGTAGTACACACTCCAAATACAAGAGTTTTGCACAGATAGGGAAAGATTTCAACTCAATGCTAAAAACACTGAGGTGATTGTGTTAGTTCAGGCTTATGTCAGTATGGGTGGAAGATGCTCGGCCAAATAATCAAGTTAAGGAACCTGAAAAATAAATTGGATATAATACAAAAAGTGGGGTTGGAAGCAAGTAAGTTTTTAAATCCTCTGAGTCATTTCTGTGCAACTTACAAAATTATTTTAATTAATTACTTTTAATCAGGCATGAAAAATACTCAATTAAAATTAGAGTTACTTTGATGACTTTTAGCAGGGTGCAGCCAAACAGGTTTGGAGTCTCCAGGTTTGTTTCTATAATATATGCAGTTCATGTAGGTTTTGACAGAGAATAATGACAAAAGCCTCCCTTATTTATTTATTTAAGTCTGTTGTACAGTCTGCATTTTTCAACAACCACCTGCATTTAAACATACAACCACTGGAGGGCAAACTTTTATCTTATATTTGTGTAAAAATGTTTTCCCCTGAGGTTGAAATCTTTCTGTTTTATAAAAGCAGGATGATTCAGACTGCTTCATCTTAAGCCAGTTGCTTTGCTTTGTTTTGACAGTTATTCCTGTTAAGTCATTAAACCCGTTTTTACACAATAGAAAGATGATGCAAAATATTGCAAAACTGCTCTGAACAGAAGATTTTCCCTTCTTGCTTTCATCATACAGTTTGTGCAGTTACACAACAGCATCATTGTGTGTGTTTTTGTCAGGTTTGGTGCCCATGAATTGTTACAGCTTCTGCAGATTTTAGAAGTAACATTATCTCACTCATGTCCTCAGTGACCCTGTCTGTTGCAGTCCTGAGTTGCTCCTGCGTTTATCCCCGCCTCCTCAACCTCCCCCACGCTCTTCCTCACCCCACCCCATCTCTCCCTTGGCTGAGAGTGGCTGCCTGGCACCATTATCAATTCCTTCTGTCAGCATGACCGGAAAAAAAGAGCCTACGTCACAGTCATTACTGGGTCTATAAAAGCCAGGGTAATGCAGATACTCAGTGCAGTCAGCTCAGCCACATTTCTCAACATCGAGCATCCTGTCTCTCAAGTCATGGCTTCCTCCGGCTTTGACCCTTACTTTCCATCGACTTACAAGAGGAGAGTAACAGTGCGCAGTTCAGGATATGGATCTGGTGGAGGGATAGGATCCAGGTCTGCCTACACCAGCCACTCTGCCCCAATAACTTCTTATGCATCATCTCGCAGAAGTTATCCAACTCACACCAGAGCTGTCTCCAGCTACTCCTCCGTGCTCTCAGCTCCACTGTCTGCAGCTGCGACCGAGCTCCGCCTTGACCAAGCGGCCCAGGTCAGTTCTGAGTTCAAAGTCATAAGGACCCAGGAGAAGGCGGAGCTGCAAGACCTGAATGACCGCTTTGCAAGCTTCATCGAGAAAGTCCATGACCTTGAGCAGCAGAATAAGTTGCTGGAGACCGAGCTCCTGCTGCTCAGGCAGAGGCACACAGAGCCCTCCAACCTCCGAGGCCTGTACGAGCACGAGATCCGCCAGCTCCGCGCCGCTGTGGATGAGGCCCGCCATGAGAAGCAAGCCGCCCAAGACCACAGGGATGAGATGGAAGATGTGCTGAGGAACCTGCAAAAGCGCTACGAGGATGAGGTGATGGGCAGAGCAGATGCGGAGGGCAGACTCCTGGATGCCAGGAAGGGAGCGGATGAGGCCGCTCTGGGCCAGGCTGAGCTGGAGAAGAGAGTGGGGACTCTGCTGGATGAGCTGGCCTTCCTAAAACGTCTCTGTGAGAGTGAGATAGCCGAGCTGCAGGCCCAAATTCAGTACAGCGCACAGGTGTCAGTGGAGATGGAGGTGGCCAAACCTGACCTCTCGGCCGCCCTGCGAGACATCAGAGCCCAGTATGAGAAGCTGGCACAACAAAACCTCCAATCAGCTGAAGAGTGGTTCAGCAGCAAGATGAATGTGATGACAGTGGGAGCCACTCGCAACACAGAGAGCGCACGAAGCGCCAAGGATGAGGCAGGAGAATACCGCCGGCTGCTTAAAACTAAGACGCTGGAAATTGAGGCCTGCAGGGAGATGAATCAAGCGCTGGAAAACCAATTCCAGGAAGTGGAGGAGAAGCAGAGTGGAGAGATCTCTGCACTGCAGGTGAGCCCGAGACAAACGCTGACATAAATAAAGAGACAGGCAGGGCTGCAAATATCTCTGCCCTCCTGTGATATTAAAACAAATGTGATTTACAATTGAGACATCAGTTATTGAGGATGAAATGAAACCGAGAAGATTAGCTGGGCTGCTTCTTCCAGACAGCCAATAATGTGTCTGTAACACGTTATCATTTCTCTGCAGGATACAATAAGTCAGCTGGAGGACGAGCTGAGGGCAAACAAGAATGACATGGCTCGCTACTTGAAAGATTATCAGGACCTCTTGAACGTAAAGATGGCTCTGGACATCGAAATTGCAGCCTACAGGTGAGAGTCGGTCGCCTATATTGACAGATTTCGATAAAAACAGTCTCAGTATCTCATCTTTGTTATGTGTTTGTGTTTGTTTTCAGGAAGCTTCTGGAAGGAGAGGAGAACCGCCTAAATGTGGCAGGAGCTGGGTCTGTCAGCGTTTACTCCCAGGGCGTGTACGCCGCTCCGTCCTACGGGAGGACTCAGTTCTCCCTGCAGTCCGCGCTGAGCTCCGCACCGCCGTACCTGCTGAGCTCCCGCCTGTACTCCCCGTCACTCCTGGTAGAGGAGACGATATCTGCCAGTCAAGCACAGCAGGCCGAGGCCAGCGCTCCTGAGGAGGAGGAGGAGGAGGAGGAGGAAGAGGAGCAGGTGGAGGAGGCAGATAAGGAGGAGGAAGAGGAGGAGAAGGAAGAAGAGGAAAAGGAAGAAGAGGAGGAGAAGGAAGAAGAGGGTGAAGGAGAAGAGGAAGCAGAAGAAAAGGAGGAGGAAAAAGAGGAGGAAGAGGAGGGAGCAGATGGAGAAGGTTAGTGCAGTCATAATGATTAACTGACGCTCACATATGTGTCTTTAACGCTTTTCTGTTTCTTCTTCCTCTTTAATTTTGTTTTGAAGAAGCTGAGGGTGAAGCAGAGGACGGAGAAAAAGAAGATGAAGAGGAAGGAGGAGAGGAGGGCTCCAAGAAAGACGAGGACGATGCTGAACAAGGGGATGAAGAGGGGGATGAGAAAGGGGATGAAGAGGCTGAAAAACAAGAAGAGGGGGAGGAGGAGGAGGAGGCTGAAGAGCCGAAAGGAAAAACAACCGATAAAAAAGTTTAAATCCGAGAGCTTTAACAAAAATCCTGCTAGCATTGTAGCTGAAGACGTCTTACCTGGTGCTCTGTATTTAAACCAAATGAAAATCTCTTAATTCCGAAGACAACACCGCAGATTCTCAGTCTGATCAACTCGAGTGACTCACAGCATGTCCGCACACTGAACCAGCAGAAATGAAATCAATATTAAAGCTAATGTAAACCACGGAGAGAGAGAGCGAGCAGGACTCTGCTTCTTCTGCATAAACACCTGTGTGCTTTACTCTCGCCAGAACAAGCCTACAAACTGTCTGTATGTGCAATAACCAGATTGAAATGCCTTACCAAAGTCCTCACTGAGTGCTTTAACTCCATGATGTGCTGCATTGAACTCCAATAAAGCCTTGAAGCCTTGTCAACCCATAACTCGCCTCGGGCTTTTCATTTTGTCTTGTCAAATTAAGAAACATTCAGGAAGATTAGCAGCAGAATTCAGATTTGTCCGTGACTCACTCCAAGAAGCGGGGATTGATTCTTTAACTCTTCGTTATTCAGCCCTGGGATCCTTTTTCACACCACATTCACTTAAAACAAATCAGCTTTTCATGCAAACATGCAGCCTTTAGCGTTTCGATATGCAAGTTTGAGAGGTCAGAGAAAGGCCAGGAGAAAAACAGATAAAAAGTTTGAAGAACTTTGCTTATCCTGAAAATGGACCAAATCAATAAAAGTTGGAAAAAGGTTTAATTAGGTCTTTAAAATGTCTTCTCTTTAAAAGTCTGCAGAGAATAAAGTCTGAGTGTTTGTTGCAGAGTGTTGAAAACGGTTCATGAAAAGAAAAATAAGAATGGCAGCACAAAGAGCCGGTCTACCATTATTGATGGATCAGTCCACAATATATACTCGGAGAGACGGCTGCAGCAAAGTCAGCAAGTCTGAGCTGTTTCTGGCAAAGAGAAACTCCGCCAACATCTGAAGTAAGAAATGCATTAACAACAGCCTGCACCACAAACAAATCACAGTATATTTAACGACGCTACACTTCACGTTGTCCAGCAGAATCTATCAGGAAAGTCTCGTTGGGTTTCTCTATGAAATGATTGAAAGTGGCGTTTTTGTCTTAATCTCCAGTCAGCAGGACGCCTCTCAGTGTCTGCGTGATAGGTGAGCTGACACCGGTGTTTTTCCTGCTGCCTCACCCTCATCCACATCACTGTCCATAAATCAAGGCCAGCTGAAACCTTTATGACTCAGCTAGTCTACTGCACCAAAGAATCTGGCTAAGTGTCAACTCACGCAGGACGGCGAGAGAGAAAAGACGAGGGGGGAGAGTGAGGGGGGAAGCAATTTCATTATTTTATTGAGGGGAGAGATAGAAGAGGAATATCTCCCCGCATTAAACCTTGACAGAGGACAGACAGCGTTTTTTTTTTCTACCAAGCAAAGAGGTTGGGAGACCAGGGGCTTCCTTTAGGCATCTGCAGAGATGCAATCACACAAATGAACCTCCAAACACACAAACACACACGTGCGCTCTCACTCTCCTCTCTTCAAACACACATTAAAGAGCGCAGGAGTGGATGTGGGGTAGGAGCTTCTGTTTGATGCATGCTTTGAAAAATTGCACCTTCCTATCGTACTCACTTAACTTCACTGTTTGCGAGAGTGGTGGATGCTCTCGCTGATCTTTTATGTGTCAAAGCGATGCCCCAAAACTGTATGTAATCTTCATCCTCCTGTCTTTTTCATCCTCCTTGTCCTCAGCTCACCCGGCCCTGGGCTACATTACCCTCCTTCTGCTGCTCTCAGAGCCGGTCCAAAGAAGCACTCCATTTAATCAGCAGAACTCTACTTTGCAATGAATTTGGTGTCACTTACTCACACCTCTCACCGCTTGTAAAGATAGCAATACTGTTAATGTTTTCTTATTGATTTAAAGGACATGATTTCTGCACCGCCGGCTGCATATTAATGTGCAAACAGACAGCTGAAGGAGCCCTCAGAAAGGAGACAGCACACCAGCAGCAGCAGTAAATATAGATCCTCCTTTAGGTGCTCTTGTGTCACCTGCGAGGCTGTGTGTGTGCAGCTGAGTGAGCGTCGGTGTGTGTGAGGCTAAACCCAGCGTCTCACATCAAAAAGCTCTAAATTTCTGTATCACATTTCATCTTCCACATATTGAGTTTCATCCTCTGTTTCATCTGTCATACTTGAGCTGTGAGCAGACCGGTATATAAATCTTACAACAACCTCTACCTCATGTGGGCAAACAGTGTGTCAGAGAGAGAGAGAGGCCCATCACTGAAGCCCACAGAGACCTCCCAGACTCCTGATCCTTTGATGAAAAACAAAGAGCTGAAGGAGCAGCAGGAGACGTAGCCAGCAGCAACTTTCCTGTAAAAAAAAGATAAAACAAATGTGTTGTGGTTTTTACAGGTTCTTTTTTTTACAGTGAGCCTGAAATAGGTTTAACTGTTCTCCGGGTAGAAGATTCTGTGTTTAACGCCCACATTTAAGACAATCACCACAGTACAGGTAGCTTTTACATCGTCTTCCCTGCCTGACAAGAAATGAATCCCAACACCTCATTATAACAGAAGCTGCAATATATTTGCATTATTGTCAGGGATGGGAACAGCTGCCCAACTAATATGTATTAAAGGTACAGTGTGCAGTATTTAGCAGCACTGCGCCAAACAGACTTGGTAGAAAAAGAGTTTATATCTGAGTATAATCACCTAAATGCAAAAATTGTATGAACGAGACTTTTGCACCAATATGTTTCTACAGAAGCACTGCATGGACAAACTACTATGGGACATGCATGTTTCTGCAGCAAATGGGTGTCTGACAGGAGCGCACAAGTTGGAGGATGAAAAAGAAATGGGGAGTGGTTGGTGTGCATGAAAGAATTTGTGTAAATGGAGCAAATCTAGGATCATATTCATCATGCATCACTGCAGCGTCTTGTCCTCGAAGGACACCGTCGCTTCTGGAGCCGGCTAATGTGAAGAGGTGACCAAGGTGGTGTTTGAATCTAGAATCTGACCCGTGGATGTCACTTAATACTTCCATTTAGCAGGCTGTCTGGAGGCTGGCATGATCCCAGAGTTACAAACCTCGAGGATCAGCTTTCCATTAGAACAAATGGACATGCCATTACAGAAAGATAATAAAGACACACTGATACTCTCTCCTAGACTCACTGTTACAGATGAAATCTGCAAACTGGAGAACTACTGATACTTGTCAAGGTCTGGTTTTGTTCTCAGGTCTGCATAACACCCTTAATTTTTGCAGATTCATCTCCTGTGAGAAACATGTTGATTTTGGCGCCCCCTGTGGACAAAGTGGTACCTCTTCCTTCTTTGCCCATTTTATCCTGTTCTTGTTACATCAGTGTTTTTGAAAATCGCACACAGCTTTAAAACCCTCAGATGTCACTCATCAGAACTTTTACCTTGGAAAGGTTTAAAAAATGGTTGTTAATGTGAAATAAATCCACTTTGACTGACACCTACCCCCGCCGGTGGTTTCAGACATCAGAAATTACCCTTTAGAAAAAGTAGATGTTCAGACTGATGGTCCTGTTTGGGTCGTAAAGAGGCATCAGTATGAATTTCAGTCTGTTTCATAACCAGCTGAAAACACCTCACAGGAGCTTTAACTGGAGTGAAAATGCTGCTCTTTAGCTTAACCAGCTGCATGCACCTGCATACAAAGAGGCTTTTCCTTCAGTTTAAGAATACTAATTCATGAAACCAATCCCTACATGCTCCTCACGCCTTTTTCGAACACCACTCTCTCACCTTGATGCAGATACAAGTCCTAGTTTTTGAAGTGTAGCAGGGCGTGCCCACTCCTCCCAGACGGCCCAAGCCCCCATCCTCCAGACAGCGAGGGCGGTCACGTTGCAGTCTGCCTTTTTGGGCCGTCACACAGCAACGCTTTGTCTCTACAAAGAAAAGAAAGCCTCAGATAAGAGTTGTGGCTCCCTCTACTGATCCCAGAGAATTGCTCATTAAAAGGCTCTGTGGGATTGGCTTGGGAGACGGCAGAAAGGGGCGATTTCATAGAAATATGTGTCACCAAAAATAGAGCCCTGCTTCTGCGGTGGCATACGTAGCTACAGTATTTCAGATGGCCTTATGTACCCACTACAGGGGCACAAAGGATGCTTCACTGAGTCCGATGGAGACGAATGGGGGAGCCTCCAGGCACATCCGTCCTCATGCATCACAGCCTAGAAATGAGATGTTGGACTTGTGGATACAAATGTGTGAGTCCCTTATGTACCAGCAGAGGAGTGATTCTGTGATCACATGCATGAATGCTATAGATTTCCTGCTGTCACGTCTGTGTTCCTTCAACCTCAGCTGCAGGTTAATCCATTCTCTGCGAAATAACACCGTTCATCCAGCAGCCTGCACCCCGTCCCACGTCGAATGCTATCTCACAAACAGAGAGAATATAAGTGAATGCTGTAGGTGCAAATATTAGAACAGACTAATATTGACAGCTTGCATCAGTAACCACGGTGACGCACAGGCAGGATCTCATGTGCGTCAAGCATGAAGCGCTGAGAACACAAATCTGTGGAGTGGCATTCTGTAAAAGTCAAAAAGTTTCGGATACACCTGCAGCGAAAACGTCCTGCAGAATCAAACACCGCCACAGGATGTGTGGAGATAGAGCGCTGACTAATCTGCACAGCGGTGTGGGACCAGGCTATTACCTGATTCTGCTGCTAGACAACCAGGTGGAATCCAGGCCCCAATTTGCCAGTGGCGTCACGCAGAGCTGGCAGTGGCCCCATAAATCCATTAGGGCTTTTTTTTTTGGTCTGCTTTTGTCCCAGGAATTGAACATCTCAGTGGGGGCTACGACCAGTTTTTAGAGTCTCACCACTCAAAGAGCCTCTGAAGCATTGTAATCCCTGACATCATAGAAATCACAGTTCACTGAGTTTGGTAATGTCAGCTGCTGAGTAAGTGGAGTCAAGTCAGGTCAACCTTTATTTAAATGGCACGCCGCATTCACACGGATGCTTCATCTTTTTGCCTTCCATAACAATAAAACAAACACATGCACTCAAGCATGTGCGCTCACAAACAAACAATAATCGAACCCTCTGGAGGGTAGGAAGTGAGATGCCCGATAGGGAACATATATATTCTTCCTTCTTCTTCTCCTTCTTCTTGTGCATGCTTAATGTTCATTCATAGTGTAGGGACGCGCTCAAGCCTTTAGGCAGAGTAAACAGCCTTGCCTCTGAAATAAAAGCGTTTCTTTTTGAAGTGAAGTAACTGCAGCCAACTCTGCAGATTGTATCCTCACTTATGTGCAGGATCTGAAAGCAATCCGTCTTTATGTTCGGCTTTTTTTTGGCTCCGTTTCCACGTGCGCACCTGTTTCCATTTACCTTGCACATCTGCGCTGCAGGATGAGAGATTTTCTTTTCTTTTCAAACCACTATTACTAAGAATCTACAGGGAGAGTTTAAATAGAGGGTTGATCTGAGACATAACCCAATCTGATCCAAATTAGAGGATGAGCCGAGTGGAGATCTCCTGTGAAGACTTTGCCTGTCTGCTCCGATTCCTTACGGAGCGCTCAACTCCAAATGAACTCAAGAGTTCAACTGTGCTTGTCAGGATGTCACAAACACTAATGCTAGACATGCACGCACACACAACCAGAACACCACCATCTGAATTTATAACTCCTCTTTGAATTTTCATGCCGAGGAAAAGTGAACTGATCGCAGCAGGTATCTAAAATATCCACAAATGACACAAAAACGTGACACAGTCCAGGTTTCCACATCAGCTGTCCACTGTATGCAATAGCACAAAGCAGTCAGGTGATGGCAATATTGTATTCCTTTTTGCAGATTTGATTGTTTTCAACTTCTGATCACCCAAAGCAACTCTTTCTATCAGATGAGAAGAGTGAGATTGTTGAGTAAAGGTTCCCAGAAAATCAGGAGTGAAAAGAGCAGGAGCACACTCAGGGCTCCTTTTTTCACCTTAAAATCAAATAGTCCAGCAGGCACCTGCAACTTAGCCGAAAATAGGTCACAATATTCATGTGTAACAGCTTGAGCCATAACCTTGGAAAATTCGACATATCGCTGCAAAATGCATCCCTTATAGCGGATTTTCAGGATGAGCTCAGTCAATATGTCTGAATATTTCAGCTGTGGAAGATTTGTCAAACACGCAGCACAAAGAAACTGCACCACAGAGGGGGAACAGGCAGCATATGTTTACTCCTGAGAGGTAAAAAAAGAGCAAAAATGAAAAATATTATCATCCAGGGGTGTAATTACTGGAATCTCAATGTCCCTGATTATAACTTTAACCAGTAAAGAGCCACTCTGCGCTATTTTGCAGTTATTTAGTCGTGTTATTTTTTTCTTCTCCACAAAAGAGCAAGATTCAATAAAGCTTTCAATCAGACTGTGTTGTGTTATGTTTGGGTCTAATTCACCACAAGCTGCTTTAAAAGCAGCAGCATCACAAAGGATGGAAAATAAATGGACATCACCCTGTCAAAGGGAACAACAAAAACAGTGAATGGCTGAACATTATTGACAGCACCATTTGGCCGGCCCCAAAGCAGCAGAAAACACACACATACCCACACACACAGACACACACGCACACACACCGTGGGCAAACAAAAGGCTAAGTAGGCTACCAGATCTCCACCGGCAGCTGTAAGTGACTTTAAAGGAAGAGGAGGAGGAGGCTGTCGAGCAACATTATTGAAATGTCGGCCATATTGAAATGACTTTTAAATTAAAGTCAGTGGCCCCATTAATGGAAATTGGACACAGTTGTTGAAGCTGTACTAACACAGTCTTTGGTAAACATTTAATTGTGTTGCCTCTTTTTAACAGTCTGCACAGCCAACCCAAATATAGCCTCATGTGATACAATTATGTCCCTGGTGTGGTCCATTCATGCTCGCTGAGAATACAGAGGCTCTAAATGAGTTAAAGTGGGCAGCAGCAGCCGCAGTTTCAAACTCAATCTCATTTTAAATTAAAAACAATAACCAGGTGATCATTTATTTATGCCACATAAGTGATTTATAGCGCGCAAGATTGTCAAATGGTGTGCCAGTTGTTCTGAAAGTGAAGTGCCAACACCGTGAGGAGTCCTCCTCGGAGCTGAATGAGGGTTAGTTTGGTCTCATTAGACTTTTCCCACAATCCAATTCTGGTTCATTTGAAGATTTATGAGGAATTGAAGCAGCTATTGATCGACTGATGATACGGGAGGAAAGGGGCTCCAAGGACAAGACTTCTAGGGGAGAGGGGGGTAAGTTGAGCCACGGGGTAAGTTGAGCCACCCCCTGTTGCTTGTAAATGGTCAAAGAAATTGATCATGTGACCAAATATTTAGGAGATGGGCATCAATTCATGGAGTCTGTGAAGGTTAGAAGCACGAGTGAAGGGGTTAGACATTTATTTACAAAAAAAAAACATTTTTCACTCATGAAAGTGAATTTAGTCTGTTATAAGTTTTACTAGAATCGTGTTCAGACAAAAACCTAACTTAAAAGTCCACCATTTTAGCTTAGAGGACTAATAAAGTCATCATAGTAGTTCAGGGGTAACTGAGAAAGTAAAGGAGTCTGATGAGAGGATCAGAGTTTACGTTTAGATTGTTGAAATGTTTGACTTTTTCTTTTCTAAAATACAGATCTGTGAATGTTCTGAATCACTTAAATACATTCTCGTGTTAAAATGACTTTTTACAAAACAGCTTTTGAGCAGTTATATGCAATAAGAAGAATTATTGTACCAGTTGAATTTACGATTATGATTCATTTACGATTATTTTCTTGTTTAACTCCATCAGGCTTTACTCTTTCTTCTTATCTTTTTAAAAACATTTTTTTTTTTATCTTTCATCTCCAGTGTTTCCCAAAGGTAGCTCTTTCTTTATCTTAAATTCTAACTCTGCGTGCGCTTATGTGTGTGTGTGTGTATGTGTGGGTGAGTAAGGGTGGGTGCATGTTTTTGTGTGTGGGTCCATGGGTGGGTGTGGGGGTGGGGAGTTCGGGTTTTATTGTTGTTAACTGTTGTTTTTAGCCTTTGTTAGGCACTTTGAACTGCATTTATTTGTCTGAAAAGTGCCATAAAAATAAAGTTAAATTTGAATTTGAAAAGCATATAATAGATAAAAATACACATGAAGAAGTGACTGTTATTTAGGGAGAGAGAAGGTGAGGGAGGGATGGGGTGGAGAGTGGGGGGGGGGGGGGGTAAGTTGACCATAGGAGACCACTTTTTCTTGGCATGCTATATTATCAAGACAGTTCTTTTTACACTTATTCTGTTGGTTTGCAGCATAGACTGTATATAGAACGGACGCCGTCTGCTTCCTTGATGGGTAAAGCTACTCTGAGAACAGCACCCTCTGGTGACGGGCTGCAGTATAGGTCATAAATCCCGCCTCCGCCAGCAAAAGCTTATAGAGCTGTGGACAAACTTTAGAAATTAATTACACAGAATATACATGTTTCTCCCCCCTGGTTGCGATGTTGACATGTAGTTATTGTAAGACTGTTACATTGTTGGAGCCAAGCGTCATCACAGCAACTCTCCCGCCATAGCACACAACGCTACTGTGCAGTGCTGGATTCAGGAAACGAAGAAAAATCACGGAAGTACCGAGAGCTTTTTGGCTTCAAATCCTTTGTCCATCGTAAATACAGTCAATGGGCTCAACTCACCCCGCTCCTATGGTCAACTTACCCCATACACGGGGTAAGTTGACCATAGGAAACCACTTTTTTTGGCACGCTATATTATCAAGACAGTTTTGTTTACACTCATTCTGTTGGTTTGCAGGAATGAACAACATCCTGAAATATCTGCAGATACACTAGCTAGAGACAAAACTAAAACATGGAAATATGAAAATGTCTCATCCTAACCCACTCTCCCCTATGGCTGAACTCTCGGTGGAGTCAGTGGTAGCTTTAATGATGTTTTTTTGGTTGTTATTATTGTGGGGGTAGCCGCCTCGTGGTTGACGCCTACCCCCGCCTGTCCTCTCCCTGCCCCGCTGTGCTCGCCCTCTCCTCCCCCCTCCTCCCCTCTCCGTTCACAAGTCATGATGGCGGAACTGTAGAGTCCAGGACGAGCCGGAGTGCACCGCCCGTCCTCGTTCACAAATTGTACATAGTTATTTATTTATTCCGCTGAATCTCCGTCTCCTCCTCCTCTAACTATGACTCGCTGGATTCCCACCAAAAAGGAGAAGTATGGAGTCGGTAAGTTCTTGAATCGTGTCTGCGTGTTTTATTGACTCGCCGAGTAAACTTCCAGCAACTATTCCAACTTTCGGGGAGAGGTGAGCGGAGCTGGGAAACACGACTTTTAGTGGTTTCTGTGTTGTTGTTGGAACATGTCGGGTATAATTAGCTCGTGTAGGTTTCACAGAGTTTTATTGAAGTCCAGAAAACTCCGTATTTCCTCCCCTCGTTGTCATAGAGACTGTCGGTATTTGCTCGTAGTATGAACCAAACTTGTATAACTGTCCAGATGAGGTGCTGAGGAAAAAATGGGAAAAAGAGGCAGGAGTTCAATGAGCATACCAGTCATTCTTATGATCAGTCTGACTGAACTGAGTGAATTTAAGTGAGGTCTCATTTTGGCTTAAAGCACCCCCTAAAGGACTCTCGTAGGGCCCCACATGGGAGCCACAGCTGTGACTGAACTGTGTGCTGCATTTGCATACTCTTTTACACGTATTTAAGCTTTCTTTTAAGGTTATAAATCCCCTTTTTTGTGTTCCTTAAAGGTGTGGCCCTGCCCCATTTACAGTGCCCCATTTTGCACACCACCACGCAGGCATGTTCCTGCTATCAGGTAGTTGTCCACACCCCCAAGGCAAATCTGCACAGAGAGCTGACACTGTTATAAATTCCTCTCGGCTCAACTGTAATGACTTTATTGTTTGATTTTACTGTCGGCTCATAACAGGTTTGCTGGTCATTGGTTACCTCTGTGACTCACTCCTCTTTAAAGCGACAGGCTCAGTTTCCTGGTGTGCAGCAGATGTGCTACACCTGAAGAAAAGCCTGTACGTTATGTTGGTGAAAACGCCCAGTGTGGAGTCTCTCTCTCTCTCTCTCTCTCTGAGCCCAGGACTGAAAATACCTCAGCTTTGTGCTCTGACCTGGATCTTTCAGCGACTTTATCTCTGATTTTGAAGAGCCAACTGCGTGCTCTGTTGACTAATAACATTTTTAACTCACAAATTTGGGCGTGTGTGTTTGAAGCTCTCGGCAGCATGTGCGCTCCCTCTCTCTTGATTATATACGACCTTGTTTCAGCAGCTGATGTTGAGGAATGTTTTGTGTTAATCCCTTTAGATCCCAGTGTGGTGTTCAAAACTGTTTCCTTGTGCGATGGTGTTGACGGTGTTATTCTCCTGCCACTCGCCTCAGAAACAGGGCAGAAGTCACCCACACTGTACTTAATCCTTAAAATGCCATCAGACCCTGTACAAGGTCTTACATTTTTAATCCGATTATCTTCCCAGGATGTGCCCAAATACAGGCAACTTCCTTTGGGGATGGGAGAGGAGATCACCAGGTCTCTGATAGTATCAGTAATATCAGTCTAGCTAACAAGGAACTGTGGGTAATATGAGGATTAAGATACCACAATCTTTAATGGTGAATTTGTGGCTCCATTATAACAGGATAGCTTCTTAATTTTCACATCCTGAAGAGACACAGTCCTCAGGAGACTTATGAGCTTTGAAATCAGCAGGTGATGAAAATGTGTGCTCCCTCATGAGTTTAATTCACAGCCTTTCTTTTCTTTTTTTAATGAATGCATCCATTATTACGTTTCAGCCCAAATCGAGTGAATAATTTTGATTTAACTACTCGTATTTATGTTGGACCTCGCTGATGTTGTCAGATAGACTGATTAATCAGGCTAGTTTATGGTGTGTTGACAAAATTAGAGTCGGCTAATGTGTGTGCTCACAAGCCCAATAAAGATAATTAAAAACTAAAGAAAACAAAGCTTTAATAATGATCTCAACGAATGCTCCTACTTCTTATTATTTCAATGTTGATGCTGAAAGAAGTGTCCCAAAAGTGGGCTCTCTCTGTCTCTGTGATGGTCATCTGATCAGCAAATCTGGTTTCCTGGGTGACCAGCCCATCCTTTTTATGATTGGTCAGCTGGAGCAGTCAACACTAACACCTTATGGAAGGGGATCAGTAAGGCTACAGGCCAGAGCAGCTGATGACAGCACGCTAAATTAAGTGTGAGTGCCCTGGAAAGATGCTGGGTAAAGTGGGTTCTCTCTCTGTGTTCACATGCTGCAGCTCTGCAAAAGCCAAACAGTCCCACTGTGAGCTAACTGTGGCTAACTAACACAACTCCTCCAACTCACAGTTTCTCTGCTATGTGAGCATGCTCATTAACTACAATGGGGTATAGATTATTGTAGAAACCGGTAATCAGCTCATACATTCTGCAGACACTGCAGGCAGCCTGTCAAACTGTGTAAATGTCCCTCTGTACAATAACACTCTTTTCCACAACCTTTAAAGGGATATTCCAGAATAAAATTAATTTAAGGTCAAACACACCGCTACACTGAGTTAGACACCCCTGTGAGTAATGAATGTTGCTGACCACTTGTTATACCAACTTTAGTAACGACCGCAGGATAGCAATACAGAGAGTTACACACTCAACCAAAACGCCACTCTACAGCCACAAATAATGCTCAGAACAGCACCTAACTTCATCAACAGGACATATAGGGTCACAGACATAGTACTAGACACCAAACATCTTTTTAACTTTGACTCATTTCTTTAGCAAAGAGACTAAACACAACTCACCTACTCTCTTCCAGCAGCAGTTCATTTGTAGCGAGACCTCAGGCCAGTCCATTACGGACTACAGCGGGGTGACGCAGCTCAAGGAAGAACATTTATGATCATTTCTTTATCGTTTCCTTGAAGTAAAAATCGTCATTTTAATCATTTTGCTCTGCAGACGCGGTAGTTCTTCTGCCTTAGCGTCTCGGTCTGATTGTATTTCCATGAAGAAATGATCATATTATAGTGCCATTGAAGAAACTGAAAACAAACAACATCAGAATTATAATTTGGTTATCAGCTCACCCGCTCTCTATCAGCTTGTTTAAGAAAACATCAGTCAAACACATACGTCTCTCCTGCAGATGATGTCCACGCCTGATAAGAATAACTCAGGGACTCAAAGGTTGAATCATCCTTTTTGTACACATCAAAGTCTGTTTATAGATTTTGCTCCTGACCATGTGATAAAGAAGTTTCATAAACATGCAGCTCCAGAGGGAGCTGCGTAATATCTGATAAAAGATGTCACCTCTGATAACAGCGGCTGGTGTGAAATCACAAATGAACAAAAATCTTCAGATGCTGAGGGGAAGGAACAAAAGTGAGTTAAACTGACCTTTCACCTGCTTTTCACTGAAACCTGAGCGAGCAGAGGTCACACAAACAATAAGACAGAAAATCTCAGATGGAACTTGAGACAGCAAGGTTGCATTGTGGGTAATGCAAGTGGCCGTTTTGACCAGAAGTAGCAGTTGTTTCATCAAGGTGATATTTGAAGTTGTGCTGCACCAGTTCGGATCTTTTAGAGAAGAGCTCTGAGTCTGACGTTGTTAAAGAGTGATCAGCTGTGAGCTCTTCATAAACAGAGATGCTTCAATAACAGCTTTTTCCATTTGATACAGAGACTTAAGTACAGACTGACACTAATGTGATGCAAGAGCCATCAAACATTACTTTTCCATTTGCAGTTAATTGATAAATTTCACTCGCTCTGTGTGATGAATTGCATTTTTTAATCGCATTTTTAAAGTGTTATTTTTTAATAGTTCAAGATATTTTTTAACACCAGTATCAACAATATAAAGCAATTCAAGCCAATTAAGAATCAAATTAAAGTAATGAAATGTTCTTTATTATCTCGGCTGTCGGATTGTTTTGTTCAGAGAAATGCTGCACTAGTACACACCGGTGTGTTTTGGACCTATGACCTGCTTAATCTGCTTTGAAACACGAAGTTAATCTTTACGTTTTAAAGCCAAGAACTGTGTGCACTTATTAAGAGAGACGTTTGATTTGTCATTTTGGTGTTTGTACTCTTTAGGAGTTCCACTTCGATACGTGATATTATTGTTCCCTGCAAAAGTAAATTAAATCACAGCAGGTCAACTCAGACTGCACCTGTATGCTTGGCTTGTGGATGGTGTTAAAGTACAGTTAAAACCAGAGTTTACACTGATACCAATGCTCAAAAAATCTGTTTAGTTCATGCAAATAGAGGATACAAACTGACTACTTTAGTGTTTTTGGTTGTCTGATTTTTGATGAGCTTTTAAGATTTGTAATGCAGATGCTCGTCTCCCCCGGGAATCTTGTTTTACAAACTGCAAATCTCTAATCCTTTTCAGAGACTGTTCAATATTCCCACTTTACACTCATTTTTATTTATTTGTGTTTCATTATAATAAACCAGTAAGTCCAGCTGAGGGCTTGTTCAGTTTGGAGTAATTTTACCCGCATCTACATTTCTGTGTTCAGGATGCAGAGGACACAGATGAACATCAGCCTCTGACACTGATGCGTTATTAGTCAACAAGGCTGATATTTGCAGATACAGATGTCGGACGAACACGCGAGAGCGTCCCTGAGCACTTTGGTGCTCATCATTTAATTCCATTCAACACCAAAAACATCCATCTGGGAAATTTTAAAGTGAACTGCGCCGTTCTGGAGTGCAGCAGCGGTGGAGTTACTTTCCATCAAGGTTGCAGCTGGAGCTGAGGCTTAATTATGGTGCGCCTAAAGGGACAAAAAGGGCATTTCATTACGAAGAAACTGATGCGTTTATTTCAGACCTTAATTGCATCCTAATCCTGATTTACATGTCGACGCTGACACTCTGACATCCCTAATATTGAAATATATATACTGATGCAGCATTTTATACAGTTACTGGTGCCACCCTAGAGTCTAGACTGACCCTGACCTGTTTGTTGTGAAGGATTATAATCGTCTACACTTCTGCTTCTTCATATTTTCAAGTATCTAACATGCTATTAAAACAACAGCACTTACTCTTGAATGCTTAATATAATGTTAAATACATATTCATATCCACTTCAAACATCTTTAAGCTTTTGGGCTTTTAAAATAGTAAATACACGCTTCTTTCTCTCCACCTGTAGTCATCGTCGGGGTGTGTGACCACTAAGGGGTTTTCCTCCATGACTCCATCTGGGGTCTGTATTTAGAGCAATTTACAGGGAGGGTCAGAACACCAGGACCCCTCAATCCCCAAAAGAAAACAAGACACACTATCCTCCGTGGGAGCACTGAAAACAGAGGGGCAGGGCCAGGTGGAGGAGGGTGGGGGGGTTCAGTGCAGGAGTTAGGATGGTGCCTCTGTGTTGTGAGAAGGAAGTCCTTATTAGGAAGATTTTCCACAAATAGTTTCTTTAAAAATGTCTTTTTCTTTTTCTTTTCAGTCCATGAATTTTAAATAAGCAAATATTAATTTTAAAAAGTAAACGGCTGAAGGCACAAAGAGGAAAAACACTCCAACTGTACGTACAGTGGAGGCATCAGGTGTTGAGGAGACTCTCTGTCTAACAGCTCATGAATCATGGTCACATTTCCCTCCATCATCAGCTGAATGTGGAGTTTTTACTCTAAACTCTGCACAGTTTTTCTGCTTTGATTATTTATGAATCTGTATAATTACTACATTTACACCAGTTTACACCTCCTAACTCTCTCTCCATAAATCATAATAATGTTACGGCAGTGAGTGGACTGTCTTACAGTTGTAGCTCTATTGTGTCCTGTTCAGGGAACTACAGTCGTAAAAAGCCGGTACACTGCAGTCATCTTAAAAGAACTTCCTCTTCTCAAAATTGTGCAATAAATTGCGATTAAGTTTCCCACAAGAGGGCGGAGAACGGGTTGTTGGCATTGCAGGTGTTTTGAGCTGCATGTGTGCCTTAAAGCTCTCACAGGCTTTAATTTCTCTTAATGACTTAAAGAAGTAACTCAGACCACTGGGAGCAAGATCGGCTGTTCCTGTATACTGAAGGTTTTAATGCCTGCAGACTCTGTGAGGGGGTAGGAGTCGAATCATCAGACTGACAGCATGCTGTAGAAAAGCCTTTTTAGCTCTGTCCAAGGTAAATATTCAAAGTGAGTGATGCATTTAGCTGCTGAAAGAAAGCGAGGTGAGATTTTTCCTCTTATACCGGAAAAAAGAAAGCATCAGTGAAGAGATAAGAGGCCTCCTTTTGTTTACAGGAGGTGCCAAAGTGGAAGTTCTTCACAGGAGAAGTTTTTTTGAGCTGCAGCCTCCTTAGATTATAATCAGCTAATCTGTGTGTCACCATCTTGCACCGTCAAACCTTATTGCCTGCGGTGATGTACATGTTGACCTCGTCTGACTTGTTATGAACTGACCGGACGGCTCAGCGGGACGAACCTGAAGGTAGAAGACATCTGTGCTTTTCCTCTCTCTGATAAGGCCGTAGTAATTTTCTGTCTGTTAAATGTTGCAGCAGGGTCTTTAACCACACTTAAAAGATGAACCCTCTCTGGACTTAATTCTATCCCTTTTTCTACTATTAGCTTTGAACTTGAGAATTAAGTTTTTGATTTATGGGTAACCTATGAGGACTTCTTCGCTGGAGCACCGTTTAAGAGCTGCAGATCGTTTCTGGCTGTCTAGACAGCGGCAGACGAGAGGCAGAGGACTCCTCTGCTTTTGAAACGTCGTGCCTGAGGAGAGTTGGCTCCGAAACAGACATTAATAGACCTGCTTTTACCTAATGAGACACTGTACCTTTCCCTGCATTAGAAGCTCTTATAAATATGCTCCGATTCAAGTTTCAGGAGAGATCTCACATAATACGTCAGTGAATTATATCCAGCTGAAGACCTTTACAAATTCATTACATCATTTTTTCTTAATGGAAAACTTTGCTTTTAGTGTCGTTTTTACTCACAGGCTCTTCAGTTCGAGTGAAAGTGTCTGATTCGGTTTAACAAGAACCTCGGCGTCTGCCTCACATATTACTGTCTTCTCTATTATTTCATTTCTTTCATGTTGGAGGTAGAAAGTTATCAAAATGAATCCACTGAACCAGGCCGTCTGCATCAGTTTATTATCAGGGGTTTGGTGGCTCCGCTCCTGCGTCTTGCATCACTTTTGCATGTGAGAGTTTGTTAAATCTATTTCGAAGTTATAAGCGCTGTGTTTATGTTTGCCTCCTCAGCCCCTCACTGATGAGCGCATTAGATTCACATTTAATGGCGTTAAGTTTGACGAGCTGCCAGCGGCTGCAGGAACTACCCAGCCGTGGTGGTCTTTAATTGTTGGCTAATCCAGCTCCATTATAAATCATTTAAAGTGAATAAAGGCTGACTTTGATTTAGAATTAGTATGCGCATTAACGCGAACCTGCACGGAGAGACAAAGGCCTTTCTTAAATGTGCTACAGCAGCTCTGCGATGAGAGCTCCGGTTAGTTTAAGGGTTGTGAAGATATTGTGTCTGAGTTGTGTTGCCTTTAGTTCGGACAGTGTGGCATCACAACACGCTCAACTGGGTCCCTGCCTTTGGAAAATCGCCCCGCGGTTGCCGGGCCTGCACGCTGTGACAAGTTGGTGAATGGACTATTGTCAGTCTCAGCACGTCCCGAGGTCGATGTCATTTCTTTGGTGCATGTTTGATTCGATATTGTCGTGGCTGCTTCCTGGATGATGTTTGAATGCACTCTGAGGCCTCTCATGAAATTTCTCTGTGACATATCCTACAAACGGATATTTTCTCAGGGATGATGTAACACTCCTACACTGATGACTTTTCCTTCACGTGTGACGACAAACAAAAATATGAGAAGACGTAGGAGGAGAGAGAGATAACACGCACCAGATCTTGTCAGCGCCAGAAATAGATCCTGTGACCAGTGTGACGAGGATTAAAGCCTCTGTAGGTGATTTCTTCCACCCAGCGGGCAATAATTAGAGAGCAGGCTGGTTTAAGGCTGATGTCTGTTTGATAAAATAAACAACTTGAATTAAGATTTTGTTATTACTGGCCTTGGTGGTTTTAGCTCAGTTAGTCATTGCCAAAGGGGGACTTTGGGGTTTCTGTGGGTATAAAAACGGAGTAAACAACAGGGTAGATGCACGGGGTAGGAATGACTCGCAGCCCCACGGTATGATTTTAATCACGATACTTGGGTCATGATATGCTATTATCATGATATTTGGGCCACGATAAGATACTATAATGATACTTGGGCCACAATATGATATTATCATGATACTTGGGGCCATAATACAAAATTATCATGATACCTGGGGCCACGATACTTGGGCCACAATATGATATTATTACGATAGTTGGGCCACAATATGATATAATGATACTTGGGCCAGGATGCGATTTATTGCGATTCTAACATTTTGCAATACATTGAGTATTGCGATACAATGTATTGCAATTTATACAAAATCTTTTAACTGTTTAGATAATTTAGCATTTGTCTCTCCTTTACGTGTGTCTTATTTATGCTGCATTTCTTGTGTTGACTGTCTCCTACTCTAACCAACCTCACTGGACAACCAGTTGATTTTATTTTTCCATTATCATAGATTTGACTTTATAATAGCAATTAATTTGAAAAATCAATACTTGGTAAATGAGACGATACAATATATCACCAGACAAAATATCGTGATATTATGCTGTATCGATTTTTTTCTCCTACTCCTAGTAAATACTTGAGGGGGAAAGTCATAACAGTCATGCACATTAAAGCTCCTTCGAGGAACTTTTGGCCAAATCTGGTCTGTGTCAGATTTGGCGCCCCCTTGTGTTGACAGGCTGCAGTAGTGTGAATGTCTGATGTCAAAAATGTAAAAATAGGGCTTTTCCATCAGTGGTTCTTAAATCTGTTGCACAAACTGATGAATTTGTCTTTTATTTATTTATTTATCTTAGACATGTCACTGGCTTGCGTAATGACGTGTATAATTACATTTTAATGTGCATAGAAAACTGGAGTTATAGATGAGTGTCTTTGTGTCCCGCCCAGCTGATAGTTTCCTTTTTAGAGTCCTATCACTGTAACTCAACGCTGATTCAGAACCAGGCAATTCAGGCCACAACAATCACAGAGAAAGTATGCAAAATCCTGCCGGGACTCTTCACACATTTGGATTGAAAGAGACTGGGAAAGTATTTTGCTGCTGCTGCAGAGCTTCTGAACCCACGTTGGTTTGGCTCAGCTATTTGCTTTTTCCTTCTGATGCCCAGACTTCACAGGAAGGCGTCATTTACATAAACCTGCGCAGGTAAATTTCCGACAACATTAGCCAGCATGAGACCGACCTAATATTGAAAGAGCCCAAGGGCTGTTATACAAACACTGTCCAAGAATAAAAACAGATTCCCTGTGGTGATGTTTTGTCTGGGCAAATGTTTTCTTACGGAGAGCTGGAAGAATCTATCAGTGAGGAGGAAGTCATGGAGAGAGAAGGGTAGTCACATTCAGTCAAGTCAAGTTTTTGGTATTCAGACTGAGGTGCGATAAGCTGAGCCAGTTGAAGCGTGCTGTGAAATCTAGCCTCCAGCAACAAGCATTATCACCATGCAAGTCAGGGCAGAGCCCTGCTCATAGTTCCTCTATTTCCCTAAGAGAATGAGTGGCTGCGCTCTGCTGCAGCTCCCTCAAGTCATGACAAAGACCTCTGCTACAGTATTGTTTGCCAAGGTTTCTCTTTTGGAATGACTGCCTGCCTCTCTATGTGTGTGTGTGTGTGTGTGTGTGTACACGCATGTGTGTGTACTCTTGTGGGATTCCTCCCATACGTGTCCTGGTTTGAGAGTTGCGAAGAACAGACAGGAGTCTCCTCCAGGAAAGCTGTTAGGTTAATAAACTGAGTGAAGGCAGGGCCAGACCTCGCAGGTGAGCCAGCTGGCAGGAAAGAAACCCTGCAGAGTGTAACCACTGACCAAAGACCACGGTGGTGAGATAATATCTGAAAAATAGAGGGCGAGACGCCACCCTCTTCTGAGCTCTGCTGCCGACTTCTGACACTGCAGCGGTACAGTCCCATTTACTGCGGCGTTAAACACGGCCGCGGGGTATTTGTTTCAATTAGGAATCGTCAAAATGCACTAAAGGTTTGAGTCACACTGTTCTGCTGCACAAACACACCGCCTGCCGTTCGAAGGGATGAGGAATAAATCAAAGATCAAGCTCCTCAATGCTTGCGGGTCCAAGTTCAGGGACATGGGGGGTGATTTGGTTTCCTTTTTCTAGCCTCTGATCCAGAGCTTTCTTAAAAACAGGCCTGCTCCTGCGTGCAGAGAGTGATTTGAAAAGGGATTCGGGGTTTTACTTAATCCACTGGCCCTGGTGGAGGGAAAAAACTCCTCGGTCAAACTGTGCGCAGAAATCTTCTCTTTGTGTTCGGCTTTTGATGAATTTTGAGCGAGCCTTACTCCTAATGAGGTGTCCTCTGTTTTATCTTCCAGCGATCTACAATTATGATCCAAGCGGAGAGCAGGAGCTGTGTCTGCAGGTGGGGGACACGGTGCACATACTTGAGAAATTGGAAGGTGAGCGAGCTTGAACGCACGACAGGCCTCGACACGTCTCTCTATTCCGTCTCCAGAGCAAGCTTGCACAGGCTCTTAAATGAAACTCTGAACTAGGCTGCACTCAATAAGCTATGCATAATCATGTAAATGAGTCCACCACATTGTCCTCCTGACAGGCTGGACTGTCATCGCTCCTGTCTTGTCCACTGCCTCTCCCTCTCTCTCTCTCTCTAACACGTTCCTCTTTTGATTTCTCTTTCCTCAGGCTGGTACAGGGGCTACACGCTCCGTAAGAAATCGCACAAGGTAAGGGCATCATCAGCGTTTTCTCTTCTTCTTTTAACTAAAGCTGTGATGTATTTACGCTAATAGTGCCTCATTGCTTCCTTAGGGCATTTTCCCGGCATCCTACATCCACTTAAAGGAGGCTTCAGTGGAGGGAACAGGGTGAGAGCACGTATCAGTAAACAGAACATTGTGATGATTGCCCATTTTGCTTTTAGTGCTCCAAAAACATTTTCCAATAGCTTATCAGAGCGCTTGTAATTAGCACAAGTGAGGATTCAGTAGAGCTTGGCTTTGTAGGGAATCCGTCCAACTCTTCATCTCGTATAAAACTGCTCTTGAGCCTTTTTTTCAATGATGTGACATGACCAGTGAGTGATGGGCCACTTCCCCAGTATCTTATTATTGTCTTCTTGTGGCTGGTAGCCAGCAGGAAATAATTATTCCGGCAGATTTACCCCTGGTGCAGGAGCTGGGGGCGACTCTGAGGGAATGGGCACAGATATGGCAAAAGCTCTACGTGGTGAGTATGAATTGTGTGTCGTTCTTATCGGCCTCTTTGTCTGGAGTACACGCAGTACTGTCCTTTTGATTCACGGCACTTTGAGGTCTTTCTGACCGCTTCGCTACTCCCAAAGATTTGTTGTAACAAGTGTTTATCTGACAGGCGAACAAGACGACCCAGTTCAGGAGTGTTCAGCAGATGGCCTACAGCCTCATCGAGTATCGATCTCAGATAGTGTCGGGAACGCTGCCGAAGGATGACCTTGTGGAGCTCAAAAAGAAAGTCACAGCCAAGATTGATTACGGGAACAGGTGCGATTTCCTCCGCTTTATTGTGTCGCATTAACTCCCATGAAGTTTTATTTTTAAGTGATCATCTGTGCCGCGCAGGATTCTTGGGCTCGACCTGGTGGTCCGTGATGAAGCAGGAAACACGCTGGACCCCGATCACACCAGTACGGTCAGTCTGTTCCGGGCTCATGAAACCGCCTCCCGCAGCGTGGATGACAGGATACAAGAGGAGAAGGCACGGTCCAAAGTTTCCCCTCCTTTAGTCACATTTTTGCGAATATTTGTCATGAACTCAGGCTGGTGTTTTTAAAATGAAAGCAGTGCTGTGAGGTGGCTTCAAAAGACCAGAACCGTGTTAGCCTCCAGCTCACAGCACCTTTCACAATGAAGTGTCATTACAGTATGACACACTGTCGATTAGTGCTTTGTTTCTGCATGTCAGCTTTGGTGTCAAAGTACAAAGTGGATTAAACCAGAGTCAGAAAAATCGGCCCTGAGTGATCGTAAAATAATAATAAAGTCACTTTTCGACAAAATGAAAAATGATCAGCTGCAGCCAAATGTCTCTTTTCTCTATCTGAGACTTATTATTCCCCCTGATTGAATAAATTGTTGTATCATTGCAGACTCAACTGCACTGATTGAGTTTTCCTCCACAGACTGTAATTACAACTCTAGAAAATCATTCAAAACTTTAATTTCATCAGGAGTTCAAAAGCGTCATTAAATCACGCTGATAGTTACTGATGGCGGTCTTTTCCTTTTAGACGCGGCTCCAGAACCTGGAGATGAGGCGGCAGACTCTGTTCAACACGGTCCACACCTACAGTCTCCTCATGAACCTGAAAAACTTTGTGTGTAACATCGGAGAAGACGCCGAGCTGCTCATGTCCCTGTACGACCCTGACCAGTCCGAGTTCATCAGGTTTGCTCCTCTCTCTCTTTTGTTTGGACTTCAGTCATCAAGGATCAGCTCGAGTTATTTGTCACTTTGGGGCGGAAACTTGACGAGATTATTTGTGAAGGTCATGATGTGATGGCTTCTCCCGTGTTTTTCTGAACCGTTAAACTCAGAAAACAGAAGGTGTTCATACTGTGAGGGGACAAAAGGAGCAGAAGAGCTGCTCAGTTTTTGTTTCTGAGACAAAAAAAACACAATTAAAAAAATGAAATCTGCAACTTTCCCTCCAAGAAACAGTCTATTAAATTAAAACACCTTTACTTCACATGGAGAGTGCCCCGAAACAGCCAAAGGGCTTCAGAAAAGAAAGATTCATCCACAGATACAGATTTGTGATTCAGTCCAAACCGTCTACCTGTTTTCTGAGCTTTTTGGACAATATAAAAGTCTAACTGTGATTTTTATTCAAATTCTTGCAGTGAGAACTTCCTGGTGCGCTGGGACAGTATGGGGATGCCTAAAGAACTTGAAAAGATCAACAACTTGCCGGCACTTTTCACAGTGAGTGAATCCCGGCCCTCCGGCTGTATTCCCACCGCTTCGGATTTGAACAATCCAAACGCCGCCTGAAGTCTGTGACAAAGGAGACAATTTGCTCCTAATTTACTGAGGATTTCTCTGAATGGCTCACATTCACACCGGGTCTTTGGAAATCTGAATACATTTGCTCACATTAATTTCCAGCTGTTTATGCTGAAAAGGCAGACCGCGGTTCTCCAGAGACACGCCGGTGTGTTCACCTGCGGATGACCTGCATGTTTGCCGATAGGAGCTGGTGGTTTGGGGTTTTCTAACAGCTCATTCATCCGAGTAAAGAGCTGAAAACACGAAAGACTAATCCGATCTGCAGAAGATACAGAAAATACAAACTTTGAGTTGTATATTTGAGGTTTTTCTGGATGTATTTCTGCTGTAATTCCTGCCGTGTATCCCATGATAAATGATGTTTGTTCTGCCCAGGACCTAAGCAGCAGCGACTTGATGAGGCAGCGGCTCTTCCTGGTGTGTCAGATCATCAGAGTGGGCAGCATGGAGCTCAAAGAGGGCAAGAAACAAACCGGAGGGCTGAGGAGACCGTTCGGCGTGGCTGGTAAGCTGTTTTTCCCAAACATTCCCGATATTTTCAAGATTTGTTGTGAATCCATCATGGAAAATGCCACTTCTTTGTGGCTGCACAAAACAGTTCCGTCAAAGTGTAAAAAAATGAAGGATCCATGTGCCGAATGAAATGGGAACACCTGCTTCCTGACCTAGAAAATGCCTCCATCCCGCCTTGGCAAAGGAGCCAGTGGAAATTGGTTTAGCACTCGTCTTTTTGTTTTGGCCAGATGATTAGTGGATTTGATGAGAAATGCCTTCGTCTATGGTTCCAGCAAATGGAGTGAAACCAGAGACAGAAAGAAATAACATTATTCTTAGCCAGGAGAAAGAAAAACACTTTGGAGAAAGAGCCGGGTGGAATGAACATTTCAGAGGCATTTGCAAGCTGGAGATCAAGAGCCCTCAATCTGTTTTAGTTGGCTGGCTGTCTGCCGCGCACGGCAACAGGTGAGCCCGATCCGACATCCGGATCAGCTTTTTGTTTCAAAGTGGAAAATGTTAGTTTGCACAGTTACAGTGAGCAGATTCACTTTCAGAACAATCAAACAGGGGAAAATACGGCATCAGGGAATGGGTTTACCCGCTTTGACAGTCTGCTGCCTTTCAGTGATGTTGCCTTCGTTTTTTGCAGTGATGGACATTACAGATATTGCTCACGGCAAAATAGACGACGAGGACAAACAGCATTTCATCCCTTTTCAGCAGTGAGTAAATTGTTTTTTTTCACTCTTCTACATAGCTAACAGGCTCATCCTTTTGTTTTTTGTAGCTCTGCACAGTTCAGCAGAAATAATGGAAATAGTCAGAGTTCTATTTGCTTACTGTGTTCCATCAAGTCTTTTTCTACCGTGCAGCTCATTTTTCTCCTGTGTTGCATTTCAAGGACAAATACAAAAAAACTTTTTGCCATCCGAATGTTAGCTCTTTCCAAAGGCACGCTTCAAGGCCACCTTTTCACAGCACCTGCAAGATGGGCGGATGAGGCAATGGTGCGTTCACAGACATCCTAGATGGAGGTGCACCAAAAATATCTTGACTGATTCTTGACATCTAAACCAAATTTTCCCGAGGTTTAACCTCCGTTTGTCTCCTCTAAGTGTGTCACAGTTCACTGTGTCTTGTTAAAGAGCTACAGAGAAAAAAAAAACATGTTTTTGAGGGATTGAATAGATAACTTTAAAAAATTGGAGGGTTTTTGAAATAATGAATGTTGACTTAATGACTGTCTTTTGCATGTCTTTTCTGGAGGGGGATATGCTAATCCAGATTTAAGCAGAGCTTGTGTTTCCCTCAAAAGTGATGTCTCCTCATTAAAAAGTGAAGAAAAGCTTCCTGGACATGTCATTTTCTTGCTTCTTAAAAACGCATCTTCTCTAAGAGGGATTTTGACATAAGAAAAGATGTTAAGTGTTTGTGTTTTACTAACAATCAGGGGTTTAGTCTGCTGTTTTAGCCATGAAGTGGACATTTAGAGATGAATCATAAAAAGGTCAGACTAGGCTGAATCATTCGTGAACGATTTAAAAACAAATCCAGACTTTGAAATTATAGATCAGCCCTCTCTCTGATTAAATCTCACAGCAGCCTCCTGACTGTAAAAACCGATAGGAAACATAAACACTAATGCGACACGACACTGTAATAACTCGTATGTGTTGTAATATTTTGGCACAAATCAGGAGCCATTACTGGAACACTCCGGCTGGTTAGGTATTCGCTGGTAGAGGCAGGCTGTAATCGAGCGTTGGCCATTACAGGAAGGGAAACAAAATTCATTGATTTTTATTGGCTGTCTATTGATGGACCTTTTTGTCCTTCCCTGAACTGAGCTGAAGCGTCTGAACACAATAACTGAGTCTGTGTGGTGAATGTGGAGAGACACCTTATTATTTCTTAATTCAAATCTCTGAAAGGTCTGATTATGATCTTATTAAAGGTGATCTGCAGTGACGTGTCCAAAGAGGTGGCCTGAGGGGCAACAGCTCGCTTTTAAACCTGACTGGCCACTCCGAAATCCTTCACTGTAATTGGCTTTCAATGAACATATTGTATCGCTTTTGAACCTTAAAGGGATATTCTAGCGTAAATTTAAGTTTTGGTCAAACACACCACAATACCGAGTTAGACAACCCTCGAGAGATGAACGTTGTCGACTGCTCACCTATCCAGTTATACCAACTTTAGTAACGACCGCACGATAGCAAAACACAGCGGTCTACGTCTCCACACGCAAACCTCAACCAGAACGCCACTCTATAGCCACAAATAACGCTCAGAACAGCACCTAACTTCATCAACAGGACATAAAGGGTCACAGTCATAGTACTAGACACCAAACATCTTTTTAGCTGTGCCCCATTTCTTCCCCAACTCACCCACTCTCTTCCAGCAGCCGCTTGTTTGTGGGGGGAGCCCTGACGAGTCGATCACTGAGTGCAGCGGGGTTTCGCAGCTCAAGGAAGAACATTTATGATCATTTCTTCATGGAAATGCAATCAGACCGAGACGCTAAGGCAGAAAAACTTGTGCGTCCACAGTGCAAAATAATTATAATTATGATTATTACTTCATGGAAATGATACGCTGCATCAGGGGGGGGTCTAACTCTGTGTGACGGTGTGTTTGACCCCAAGTTAATTTTATGTCAAAATATCCCTTTAATGTCTGATGCTAACGTTAGCTGTGTTCTGGTGTTAGCTTAAGAGCAGTTACATGTGTTTTCATCTGAGCCGGTCTCTCCTAATCGTCTGAGTGTCGTCTGTGTGGCTGTTAGTCAAACAACTGTTCGTCCGAATATTAATGTTTTTACGACTTATGACCTGGTTGCCGTTCATTAACTCTAAAGTACAACATGATAAAGTTTGTACTTGCGTTTCAAACCAGCTTTGATGTCGCTGCAGTTCACGACCTGATTGATAAATTCACACAGAGAAAATCGGCGCTAATTAACTGTATAATAACAGAGACATTTATCACCATACAGGCTGTTGAGAGTGATCGTCTGCAGCATATCCTCTCTCTAGTTTCTGTATTGCGCTCACGGTGAAAAATAACTATTATAATAAATGAGAATATACTGTGAAGACTACAGCAGCTTTAGAGACTCTGCAGTGTTAAAATATTTCTGTACAGAGTTTGTATTTTTAAACAGATGTGAAAAGATGCATAAGGATCATTTCACATTCACAAAAGAAGCTAAAACTGTGTGTGTAATATTGGTGTGCTGGGGTTTGATTTCACAGCAGTGCACAGCAGGAGCTCCCTAAACACACACTACATGCACACACACTGACTGATACTGCACATCCTATAATGTGCACAATACAATTGAGATGATCAAACTTTATATCACACATGCTCCTGCCATATCAACCTAAGTCAGAGCACCATTCAGGCTGCTCCAGTCCAAAAGTCTGCAGACAGTTTTCAGTTGTATTAAAATATTTAGCTCGATTCCACTAAACGGGATCCTTTCTTCAACAGCGGCGCGCTAAAGACACTCGAACAGCCCAGATTGGGTTTGTAATTGTACTTCCTCTCTCTGGTAAGCTGAGGGTGCTGAAATAATCTTTGGAAATGCTGAAATCTTGTGTTTATAAATAGTTAAAGGCATGTAGGTAGTGTTCCTGCGCTTGGCTCCATTTTGTGGCACCGGCTCTTTTCCCCTCGGGTGGGTGTGGTTTTTAGAGTATGATGCGTTGTTGCACTCAGTCCCCTTTTAGCGCGCTAAAGCCTCCATCCTCATGTCTTCCTGCTGTATAAAAGTCTTCTCTCTCCAGGAGGATTTTTTCATCGATACTCAGAGAGCGGGAGAGAAAAAAACACGCCTGAGATTTTCCCGGAAACCGAATGGAAAACATGATCGAAACAAAAAAAGTTGACGTCTGTACAGTGTTAGAGTTTGAACATTAAGATGTGTCAAGATGATACTGGCAAATGTAAGCATGTAGACTATATTTAACACTTAATTAGCATCAGTATATTAGCAGACATTAGCATTTAACTTGGCGTGCCTGCAGGCTGGATCAACTCAAAACACCCATCCTTGTGCAGTGTCTGGTACTTGATATAAAAGCAGGAAGGTCTTTTGTAGTCTTTGGAGACCATGAACAAGGATTTGAAGATTTATAAAAGTATCCTGGGTCTTTATGAAGCTCTGTTTAGTTTTAGCACTCCATGTTACCTTTCTCTGTCGGAGCCAATGGAGGTAAGCGAGGTGTTTGGAGGGATAATGGCGCATCTTGTCAAGAGATCGAGAACACCTCACAGCGCCTCTGCAGCTCCTCTGTCCATTTGTTTGTCACCTGTCAGAGATGCTGGCAGCTGATTTTTCTTCGACTCACTCTGATGCTTCTCTCCCAGGATAGCTATGGAAACCTACATCCGTCAGAGGCAGCTCATCATGTCTCCGCTCATCCCCTCTAGAGTCATAGGAGAGAATGAGCCGCTCACCGCCGTCTTCAACAAAGTGATTGCCACGCGGGAGGTCAATCACAAAGGCCAGGGTAAAATGAAGTGCGCACAGACACTGTGTTCCCCTGTGATTTCCCAGGGTCACTCTAAATTGAACCTTATGTTTTGAACGGAATAAATGAAGTGTGAGGGGTCTTTGAGGTGTGTGCTTTTGGTGTCTGCCTCATTGAATTTCTTTACATGTTTGCTGGCAGGGCTGTTTGTGACCCTGAAGCTCCTCCCGGGGGATCTGGCCCAGGTGAGGAAGGACTACCCCCACTTTGTGGACCGCAGCACGGCCATCGTCAGGAAAATGGGCTTTCCAGAAATCATCCTCCCAGGTGGATTGAAGTCTTTGTTGCTGGGCTTTGCTCTACATATGCCATGGTCATGTTCATTTTAATTGCTTACAAAGCCGTGAGGAGGGTGCATAAAATCTTGGCACATCCACCTGATCCTCTGTTATCCTTTCTCCAGGAAACGTCAGGAATGATATTTACGTAACCTTGCTGCAGGGAGAGTTTGACCGCGGCAAAAAGAAGACCCCGAAAAATGTAGAGGTTATCCTGAGCGTGCACGATAAAGAAGGCAATCCGATGGAGGTAAAGAAGGACCGGTGTTAATTTTTCATAATTAAGCTTCTATGAATAATTTGCTGCCATCTTCTCATAATTAATTTGTATTCTGTTGTTAATATTTTACTTTTCAGCTGGATGGTCTGTCCACCAGTTTCCTGCAGGGATCCTTTGACTTGTCCTTTGGTTTTCCTGTGATGTTGATGACATTTGTGATTTATTGGTTAAATAACTTCCCAGCTGTTGGATAAATTACATTAAACTCAGGGAACTGATTTCTGCCTCTTTGAAATGTGATTTTCTCAATTTTTCTTCCACATTTGTTTATGGCGCCATACCTGCAAAGACTCCCAGAGTGTCACTTGCAAACATGCTGTACGGTAAAGTCAGTATGCACGTGTTACGAAGCTGAAAACGTGTGCATTTGCATCTTAATGCTGTTAGAAAACTAGTTTATCCTGCATTCCTGCCATTGTAAGCAAATATTCATAATTAACTGCTGTCGTGTTGTCAAGCTTGTTTGTTACGGGGTCGTCCGTGGCATCAAGGATTTTATCTTCTCTGGCATTTGAAGAGATCGGCGAGGGCCTTTCTTTGAAGCTCAGTTTCCAAAGAAACAAAGAGAAGAGCTGCTTTTTTCTGAATGCTGTTTGAATATCAAAAACTTGTTAACCCTGACGGTGAGCATATCAAAGCCTGAAGGGAAAAAAGAAAATTGTAGTAGCTGTAAAACTGAGCTCGTAGATTTAAAGGTGATGAACATTAGCACTCTGAGGTTAAGGTATTGACCAAAGAAAGCCTCCATTATGCACTTGACATTCACTAAAACATTTTGAGCACCAGAAAACATTTGTGAAATTCTCTTAATGCTCCAACACAAAGGTTTAAGTCTGCTAAGGAGGAAAATGGGAACATTTCTGCGGCGTGTTTGGCACTTCGTCCACCAGAGTAAACACATACAGGTGCTTCTCAGTTCAACAGAGTGAGAGTGAGTGAGCATTTCCCAGGATCAGTCAAAAACAGGATTTAAGATCGAAATTGTCCATCTTGTGTCAAGTAGGTTCCTCTTCAGGCTTCAGGTCAGGTGAGTAAGCCAGGCGATCGAGCACAGTGATCAGTCTGCAGGTGTGCTCAACGGTTTGTTGGTAGTTTTGGCACTGCAGGCAGGTGCAGAGTTCTGCTGGAAAAACCATGAAGGTCCTCTGTTAGACTTTAATCTGCTTTGACTGGACTTGATAAAACACAGCAGACCAACAGCAGCAGATGACATGGATGATTTCAAGCTCCTCTGATTTCCACATAAAACTAAAAAACTGACTTTCATCTGAAAACAGGACTTTAATCTTGAGCTGAGGTGAGACACTTCTGATGTCGTCTCTGGTTCAGGAGTGGTTTGATGTTGGTAATATTGAAGACACCTGTTGTGAAGCTCTTCAATGTTCTTAGATCCACTTTTCTTGACAAGCCGAACCTTTGAACATGTTCAATTTTCACTTCTCTTCGATATTTTTGCCCGTGGATTAGCAAAGTTATATTGTCCCTGTTGCATCTTCTGATCTCTTCCCTTTGTGTCTATAGAAAGCTATATTTCCTGGGGCCGGTTATGATGGCATCACAGAGTACAAGTCTGTCATCTACTACCAGGTGAAGCAGCCGTGTTGGAATGAGACGGTCAAGGTAAGCTTAATGTCAACAGTCACATGTGCAGCTCTGCGTCCAAGGAAGAGATATCCGTTATGTTCTTTAATTAGTGTTTCAAATGGATTTACTTAAGCTGTAGACAATGAAGTAATCTCCTATATAGAATATTGTCCCAGGATGTCCTATTCATACAAATCCCCCGCAGATAGCGTCCTTTCTATATGTATAATCTTGTATTCACAGTCTGACTTCTCTCTCCTTCCCGCAAGGTGACAATCCCCATCGAAGACGTCTGCCGCTGTCACCTGAGGGTGATGTTTCGTCACAGATCTTCCCAGGACTGTGAGTGACTGTGCCTTATTTGTATGACAAACAACGGCAACGTAATCCCACTACCGCGTTAAATGCTAAACACGCTCCTTTGTCTCCTTCAGCTCGGGACAAATCGGAGAAGCCCTTCGGTATGGCCTTCGTCCCGCTCATGAGGGCAGACGGGACCACGCTGAAAGACGGCAGGCATGAGCCGATTGTCTATAAGGTAGTCCTGCCGGCTGCGGCTTTGTATTTACATTGAGTGCCTAATTCAATTTACCGCCACTTGTCTGTGGAATAAGCAGGAGGTGGTTTTGATGTAATAACACCAAAACAGGTGTCTTGAATAGCTGACAGTGGGTAGATGGATTATTCATGAATCTCGACTCAATCAATAAATATGAAATTACATCTCTGCAGATCAATATGCTTCATGATGCATTCCCTTCTTTCGGATTCCTCAGGTTGACGTGAAGAAGGCAGACGATGCGAAGGTTTATCTCACCCTGCCAGCGACTTGGGCTGAAGTGGAGGAGCAGGAAAAGCAAACAGGGAAGCAGTTCCACCATTCAGGAGTGATTCCTGTGACCAAAGATAGCTTCCAGATCGCCACGCTCACCTGCTCCACCAAACTCACTCAGAATGGTGAGTGTGAGGCGGCGTCTCCTCTCCTCCGTGAAAAGGAAATCCTGTTTAAACGAATCGTGTTTCTCTCCTGTGCCGCCATCATTTCCTTCAAACTGATGAGTTGATGTTGATTGATGGAGATGTAATGGAGTTTGTATTAAAATTCGAGGCTGTAAACACAGTTATCACGGTGAGGTACTGCTGCTTGGATCCTCATGTGCATCCTTCATAAATTTTTATATTTTCAGTGGACTTACTCGGCCTGCTGAATTGGAGGTCTAACCCTGAAGCTCTGGACCAGAATCTGCAGAGGCTGATGGAGGTAGAGGGAGGAGAGATCGTCAAAGTGAGTGTCCTTATTCCTAAGTATGGATTATGTTGTTCAACGATGGTGTCTTTATTAAATGTCTCTATTTTGTGCACAGTTTCTCCAGGACACTCTGGACGCTTTATTCAACATCATGATGGAGACCTCAGAGAAGGACACCTATGATACCCTGGTCTTCAATGCCTTGGTTAGTGGTTTCAACACGCGCTTTTCAAACCTGACACTGACAACATCCTGTTCATTTAACTGTTTTCTTTCAGATCAGAAGTAGTGCCCTTCAAAATAAAAGCGTAGTTTGACCATGAAGGGAATAAAGCGACCGAATATCAAAACAGAAGCGTGACGTAGATGAATCAAGTCAATGAGGTTATTTTTGACCTTGCATTTCCTCTATTTGACTATATCCAAAAATATCTCATGGCCACATTAGCTGGAAAAAATGCAGTTTACTGTCATTAGTATTCAAGTGTTCAGCTGTCACAGGCTGCTATGCCAACATCAAACCACAGGGAGCTGCAGGCCTTCACCACCAAACCCAGATGAGACAAACGTATTCAATTTATCTTTAACTCCCATTTGCACCAGTTTGATGTCGACTGTTATGTTAAAAAGCTTTGCATTTAGGAGAGTAAAGGTCTAATCGTCAAAAACTGCAACTCCCCCTAATACAGTGAACAACAGTGCCGGACAGAGGCAGACCTAATGCCTCTGAAGTGCACCTTCTGTCTGTTACTAAAACACTTCTGTGTAAACTGTCAATTCATGCGCATAATTAAAGTATCACCTTCGTGGCTGCTAATTAAATCTGCAGAAATCAACAGATAATTTTCAGGTGAGAAGATGAAGAAAGAAAGAAAGACAGGGAACAAAAGAAGAACATTAAAGATGGATGATAAATAAAGAGAGTGGTTGTAGTTTAATACGTGAGAATGCAGAATGATCCACTTTATTTCCTTTTACAAATGCTGCCAGAGAGATATTTTACTTATTGATTTCCATTAGCGTTATAATTGCAGCTGCTTATTACCTCCACAGCTAACGCCGGGAGAGCGGAGGAGAAATTAAAAGAGGATGCCTGTAATGATAACAGAATCATTCTCCACATCATCTCCATCATATTAGAAACATAATATCACTGACAGGGACTGATGGTGGATACGTGCAGCAATAAAAGCAGGGAGGGCTGCACAGTATATCGCAGGATTGAGGGCACTTGTAATCAACACACAGCAAAAGTCAAAAAGTAAGAGTGAATAAACATTGAATGCAAACATGTAAACAGCAGGATGGATACCCGAGAATCATGCTATAAGGCTTTCACACTGTAATGGTTAGAGCTGTAATCAAACAAAGAAATTCTTGGTCGACTAAAACCCTCAAATCTTTGACCATAACTCGACTAACTGGGGGAAGGGAATTTTTTCAACTGACAGCAAACCCTTCTGCGACGGGGGACGACGCGGCTCGGCAGAGCGCGGCAAAAATATACTGGTATCAGCACAAGGAGGTAATTTAACACGATGGAAGTTGAAACGCTCTAAATAAAAATAAATATTCAGCAAACCACCGGACGTTGATTAATGTGGATGCTCTAAACCACAGATGGTAACTTGACATGTAAAAAATCAAGTCAACCAATCAGGTTGGCCAATTAGGTCAACTAGGACTTTACAGCCCTTGTAATGGTGCAGTCAGATGAAGTTTGAGCAGTGGTCCTCAGATTAAATTATGCTGTTGGAGGAGTAAATATCATCATTTAAAGGTTGTGTTTTGGACTCTGCATCTATTGCAGTAATAAGGTATAAACTTTTGTTTTCAAAGATCTCGCAGCCCCTAATTCAAAGTATAATTACTGTTATATTGTTTTGACAGAAGCTAGAATAAAACCACCGCTCAGATTTCTGCCGTCTTGATAATGTTAATGACGCTCACAGATAAAACATGATTGCTCGCCGATCGTAATCAAACTAAATGAAAATTTCTCTGTGACAGTGGAGTGTTTTTATTCCCAGCTCTCATCATTTGTGAGCTAATGATAAGACAGAGCCGCAGCAGTCTACAATAATATTAATGATAGAAGTTTCAAGATTAAAATAGCTTTCAAAGATGATATACGGTCAAATAAAGGACAAAAACTGAACATTTATTCTCTCGTTTGGAGATCTGAAACTTTGCAGGTGCTCTCACATCTTAAAGACGATGACAGCAGCTGAAGACAGAGTCGTCCCGAGGGGCTGTCCTGCCTCATAACCTTTAAAAGCCTAAATGAGGTCATGTTTATCATCGCGGTTTCACATTTTAACAGGCGACATGGAACACGTGGGTCAGATGGCACCATGTTTTTATACGGTCCCTGTGTGACAGATAGCAGTTTTAACACAGCAGCAGACATCTGCAGCATCCACTTTGTGTAGGAGCGGTTATATTTTCTACTCTGGAGAAGATTTAGGCAGGTAATCTTTTGGACTGGACGCTCAGTACCTTTAAGTGCCAGTAGTTAATGACTTGTGCAGAAGTATTGGTGCATACATGAGTCATGGTTCGGGGAGGAAAAAACCTCAACAACGGCCTCATTTGTCTCGCATGTCCACAAAATCCTTGCAGCATTAACACACACTTTCCACTGCGACTGGCCAGGTGTGCAGAGGCGAGGAGCTCTGCTTAGTTTCTGCAACTTGCTCCTTTTTTTTTTTGTTTTAATCCTGCACAAACTCTCCGCTTCAGTCTTCATGTTAACAACCGAAGATGACAGCGTCCACGCCTCTAAAGAGAGGATTTTAAACACTTTTGGCTTCAGCTGCTGAAGACACCTACGGATGCTCTGTTCAGGGTCAAATAGAGACGCATTGTGGCTTGACGTGAAGCAGCAGCTGTATCATGAACAGTGTGTTTAAAGGGAAACCCTGTGAAGGTAGCTGAGGCGTGTTTTCTGCAGCCTAATGATTTTATCACGCTAAGAAATGAGACCCGAAAACGAGAGTTTAATTTCAGAAGCTTCAAAGGAGTCGAAACTTAAAAGCAGCGGAGCAGATTTTCAAATTCGACTCGGTTATAATTTTTGTTTTCATCTCCAGGTATTTATAATCACTCTTATTGGCGACATCAAGTTCCAGCACTTCAACCCGGTCCTGGAAACCTACATCAACAAGCACTTCAGCGCCACTCTGGCGTACATGTGAGTCCCCGTTCTGTGTTTACCTACTCTGATTGCCTACGCCCCTTCACGCTGTCTATTTTTAGGCCATCTTTTGCTCTTCTCTTCCACCCACACCCAAATCACCATGAGTCCTTCATGCCTGACTCGTTCACTGTCACAGGAAGCTAACCCGCGTCCTGAACTACTATGTGGGCCACGCCGAGGAGCCCGTCCTGACTGAGAGGCTCTACGCAGCACTCAAAGCTCTCAAATACCTGTTCAGGTTCATCGTACAGTCTCGAGTCCTCTATCTCAGGTATGAGAGGAAGCACTACCACACAAGAATATGCTTTCAGCCTCATGTTTTAAAGATGAACCCCCGTGACGCGTTTCATTCTCAGATTTTATGGGAACAGCGAGGACGGGGACGCTTTCTTCAACTCCATTCGCACCCTGTTCCTGTCTTTCAACACGCTGATGGACAGACCGCTGGATGAGGGAGTGAAGATAAAGGTGAGCTGCTGAGTGTTTCAGGGGGTTTTATCTCGTATTATCCAGCTGAGAAACACGTTTTCAATACAATCACTCAGGCCTCCATTAATTAGATTGAGTGTTTTCAGTGTTGCATGAGAAATGACTGCGGTACCCCCGCTGTGAAACCGTTTTACGCGGTCCGGGACAATCTATTGAAAAGTTTAACAAATTAACTGCAAAATAAACAGGGACTCCCTGATGGGGAGTCTCAGTGCGGCGAGAAAAGCCCGGGTAAAAAGCGTGTTTCACTAGAGAGCAAAAAACCACTCTATGCTTCTTCTGTGTGATGATGAGACCTGATTCTTTGCTTTTTCAGGGAGCGATATTGAAATACCTCCCCAGCATCATTAATGACATCCAGACTGTGTTTGATCCCGTGGAGCTCAGGTAACTCTCCCGAGGGTTTCTACGGCAGGAGAAGATAATTGGCTGTCTCAGTGCAAATTATCATATTTACTTCTGTGTAAACGAGGCGAGATTCTCAATTCTTGCAGCTGTAAAATCAGCCTGTCGTGTGTTCTGCTCATTAACCCCCCGTGACAATAATTAATAGATGTGAAAATGTGAATGGCGTTAATGTTGTCACAGCCGCTCTCTCTTTGCTTCTCTTTCAGCGTCCTCTTAGCAAAGTTCATTGAGAGCATTCCCGACTCTCAGCTCGTGCGTCAGAAGCTGGGCTGCATGTGTAAAATGGTGGAGAGTGACCTTTTCAGGCAGCCAGGTAGGAGTGCTCCGGGCTCAAAAACCACATAATGACTTTTCACACAAGATGAAGGGGAAGAAAAAGCTCTGCTCGGCGTTACACCAACATATGAGTTTTCTCAGGTCAGCCCCGTGAAAAGGAAATGTGCTGTGTGATCCAATGAGCTCATTTTTTGCTCTGCCCTGCTCCCCCTGCAGATTGTCGAGACGTGCTCCTGCCACTTGTTACCGACCAGCTGAGCGGGCAGTTAGACGACCACTCGAGTAAACCTGACCATGAAGCCTGCGCTCAGCTGCTCAGCACCGTGTTGGACAACCTGGACCGCAAGGACGTGGTGAGAGACAGGAGCCGGTTCACCTTAAACATGCAGAGTTTGGAGGTCCAAAGGGCCGGTTCATGTGAATTATAGAGAGGAACATCTAGACGCAGCAGAAATGAGTTTCATCCACAGGGTTCAAGGTGGGAGTTAGGGGGTGAGGAGACAGTTCAGAGCTCAGACACGTGGACCTCTGAGTCAAGATGCTGCTGTTTTGCATTGAAAAGAGCTGGTTTAGGTGGTTTAGTCCGCTCTTCAGAGGTTTTCTGGGCATATCCAACTGGAAGGAGGCCCCGAGGCGGACCCAGAGCACGCTGGAGGGATTACATATCCCATCTGGCCTGTTAGCATCTCGTCGTCCCCCTGGAGGAGCTGGAGAGCTGAAGAGAGGAGCTGTCTGAGCCACCCTGCTTAGCATGCTGCCACTGTGCCCCAGACCCACACTAGTGTTATAAAATGAATGGATAGAGTTGGAACATCTGGTCACGCAGAAAGTCTGGGGTTTTATTTACCGCGGTTTTGAGAGATCTGTCTCTGAGATTTCCGTGGAGGAGGTGTGTGAGACTTTATTTGTGAGCGCTGAAAAATGGCAGCGACGTGTTTTTCCACGACAGTCGCCCCGTTGACCGCGGATAACCCGACATCCTCACTGACATCAGCTCTCCAGGTTTTACCAGATCTAGTCTGAGATTAAATCTTTCAATGACTGGTTTGTCGGAAACAAAAAGAAACTAATTTGAATTTATTTCAGGGTAAAACAAAAGCCGAAAATCTGGATTACCTTTAAGCTAGCAGCTGAAATGTGGGGCCTTATTTTGCATGAAAAAAACACTAAAATGTCTAATTAATTACCAAGGTCGGATGAATCACCCTTTCACTGACCACTTCTTTCAGCTCTTTGTCAGCGTTTTGTTTCTTTCTTCCTGAAGGAGTTGTCATAAAGGACACCGAATGAGTAATAGAGACGATTATGTAACTGGAAAAGCCTCTGCTGCTGAATTTTTCAACTCTAGTTTTTCAATGCTGCGAGCAACACAAAAGGAAGAAAGGAGGGGAAGGAAAAAAAAGGAGAAATCTCAGAGAAGAGTTTCAAACAGAACCGGAGTGATCTCTATAAGGCCGAGAAAGTTTCCCCCTCAGTTTTTCATAATTGAGGTGAAGTGACCCTTTGCAGCTCGTCTGTCTGGCCGTGTTTGTGCTGATAATTGTACCTGCTGCGTGTGTTCTGTCTGTGCAGGGTCCCACCAGAGGGCACGTTCAGCTGATAATGGAGCGACTTCTTCGCAGGGTTAATCGCACTGTCATCAGCATGGACAGATCCTCGCCGCTCATCGTAAGACAGACACTCTGACGTTACAGCTGAACTCTGTCCTTGACGCTCTGATTTCATTATAGAAAAAAAAGAGAAACTAACAGAGACAATACGGGGGGATTATGAAGCCGTAACAAAACACAACAATAACACAAAGATGTGAAAGAAATGTGCTGTTTGAGACTTGTGAGTAACAGCGGATCTCTCTGCGGCAGGGCCACTATCTCGCCTGCATGACGGCTATCCTGAAGCAAATGGATGACATGCATTACGCCCACTACATCAGCACCTTCAAAACCAGACAGGACATCATTGTAAGTGTCCTGGTTCCTCCTCCCCGACGGCTACATCTTGTCTTGAAAACGTACCATCAATAACAGGCATTAACCCTCCCCGGCTACTTACCGCTCCTTAAGAGAATATTGATTGTAGACATTTCATGCAGTGGATCAGGCTGACATGATGAGGATGTCAGTGGGGCTCCATTAAGCTGTGGGGGAATCACATGTGTCTGACATGCAGAAAAGGTTGTTGATTCATGCACTGCTGCTCCTCTGGATTTGCTTAGTTTGCTTGTAAAGACGCGGTTCCTCTGCTGCCCTCAGGACTTCCTCATGGAGACGTTCATCATGTTTAAGGACCTCATGGGGAACGTCTTCCCTGCAGACTGGATGATCATGAACCTGGTGCAGATGCAGGTCTTCCTCAGGGCCATCAACCAGTACTCAGACGTCCTCAACATGTACTTTCTGGATCAGGCTCATTTTCAACTACAGGTGTGTGTGTCTCTCTCTCTCTCTTTCTGCAGAGGTCACATTTCTTGTTAAACACAAAGAAATCAAAAGCCGGAGTTATGAGAAGGTAATTATGATATTAATATTTGAAAACCTCGCTTCTCCTCCCTCCCCCTCTCCTCGCAGCTGTGGAATAACTACTTTCATTTGACGGTGGCGTTCCTCACACACAAGACTCTGCAGCTGGAGTCGTTCTCTCAAGAGAAACGAAATAAGATCCTGAACAAGTGAGATCATTTCAAGTTCATCAGAAGATTATTTAAAAGCGACAGAAAGTTAATTTAACAGTTTGATTATGAAACTTCCCGCAGATACGGGGACATGAGGAAGACAATTGGATTCAAGATGAGAGATATGTGGTACAATCTAGGTGAGTATTTCTGCGATTATCATAGCGTGTGACGGAGGATTGTTTATCCTCTGCCGAAGAATAACAAGACAATATTTTTGATGGTCCGGTTTCACAGTGTGTTGTTGTTTTATTTACCGGGTTATTAGATTTGTCTTCTGTTTGTAGAGGAATGAAGGCGCAGCTTATTGCCTTCTAAAATCATACTCTGATATTTCTCTGTGATAATGTTTTGTTGTCCCTCAGGCCCACACAAAATGAGGTTCATCCCCGCCATGGTCGGGCCCATTCTGGAGGTCACTCTGGTGCCGGAGCCGGAGCTGAGGAAAGCCACCATCCCAATCTTTTTTGATATGATGCAGTGCGAGCACAACTTCAACCCGGGTCGCACCTTTGAAACGGTAAAAAGACTTCAGAAGTTCGGCACTTTGATGTTTTTTTGTTTCATCTGAAGGAGCTCCCGGCTAAATATGACATTTGTGATATGAGTGGTGGTGTGTTTTTTTTAATTCGCCTCTTATCTCTGCAGTTCGAGAACGAACTGATAACAAAATTGGATCAAGAGGTAGAAGGAGGCCGAGGGGATGAGCAGTACAAAGTCCTGCTGGAGAAAATGTAAGGCAGAGGAGCAGATCAAACAAAACATTTTCTCTGAAAACTTAAAAAATCCTTCATTGCTGTGTGATAGGGAATCCACATAGGATTACTGCTAAGATACAACAGAGGCCTGTGCAATTGCCTTTTTGGAAAAGTCCTCAAGGAGCCAGAAGGACAAGATAGTCTATGAGAATTGTAAGTAGCTGCTAATCAATAGAAAGCCCTTGAGGACCGAGCCAGCGATTCACAACAATTGCAAAAACATATTTTAATATGCTCGTCAGGAGGACAGGCGGCCCGCAGCAGAGGGAGAGAGCCCAGAAATAGCCGTTTACCACTTCAGAGAGGCGTGTGAAGATGATTTGTTTGTATTTGCAGTTTACTGGAGCACTGCAGACGCCACAGATACCTGTCGCAGTCAGGAGAGGAGCTGGCTCTGCTGCTCAGCAGCCTGCTGGAGAACCTGCTGGCCTATCGCACCATCACGCACGACGAAAGTCCTGAGCACCGCATGAGCTGCACCGTCAATGTGCTGGTACGCCCTGAGCTTCTGTTTATCAAACGGGTTAAGGCTGTTTGTGCACGTAGGGAAAACAACACAGTCTGTGCTAGTCTGCAAAGTGTGTGAGAGAAAATGAACCAATAAGAACGAAGGCTCGCTCTCTCTTGCAGAACTTCTACAAAGAGAAAAAGAGGGAGGACATTTACATCCGGTGAGTCACGCAGACACACGGAGGAGCGTCCGCTTTTCGGACCAAAGAGGTAACTGTGACTAATCGCTGCGCCCTTGTAATCAGGTACTTGTACAAGCTGAGAGATTTGCACCTGGACTGTGAAAACTACACAGAGGCAGCCTACACCCTGCTGCTCCACGCTGAATTACTGGAGGTCCGTGACTCTTTGAGCCCTTTTCTTCAGATGAAACCAGATCAAATATTTATGCTCTAAGCTTATATGGCTCTGCTTCTGCCTAAATGTCATACTTGTTTGCTCCCTCAGTGGTCGGATAAAGCCTGTGCTCCTCACCTCATACCCAGAGATGGAGATCATGTGTGGACTCAACAGGAGCTGAAGGAGAGGCTCATCCAGGAAATCATTTGCTATTTGGACAAAGGGAAGGTGAGCGTCGTCTGCGCTCCATGTGAGCTGGGGTCTGAAGTTCAGATTGTGTCTTTTGCAGAATAACCACATCGATTGTCTGAGCCGCACGCTCTGTGCTGGCATTGTGTAAGTATTGGAGGAAGTTGCACGAGCTCGCACAGCAGCCGCAGGTTTCTTTGTCTTGTCAGTGTTTAGATCTGCGGCTGCTACATGACAACAACCGTTTCCCCTCAAAGCAGCGCGGTGGGCGCAGTAGTGACAGCCAGATGGCTAGCCGGTGCTCCTGTGTTTTTATGTGTTGTGTCCTCTTGAAACTGACTGACGCACATGTCTTCTCAGATGTGGGAGAAAGCCATTGAGCTGGGGAAGCAGCTCGCCAAGATGCACGAGAGCCACATGTTTGACTTCATGGAGCTGAGCCAGCTGCTGGTGAGAGGACCCAGCCACTCCAACACCAACACACTCTCTCTCTCTCTGTCTGTCTTTCCTGAAATCTCTTTAAAAAGCAGCTCTATAAATAATATTGTTACTGCTTCATTAAGACTATTGACATTAGTCTGCAGAGTGATAGTCTGCAGAGTGATAGTCTGCAAGAATTCGCTCCAGCTCTCCCAAGGCAGTGGGCAGAAAACAACTTAAAGAGAGAATAAAAGTGTGTTAACCTGTTTACTGTTACTTCTTTCACCTCAGACTGTGTCTGCTCATGCAGTCGAGTGTTAATGTGCCATAAAGAATTTATAAAGTCTCTCTGCCCGAGTGGGTTAGTTTGATTGTGCTTTCAGAAACTTTTCTCATATGGCTGCACGATTACTCGATTTTAAATCGTAATCGGATTATTTGATCATGACGATGTTAAAAAAATCAAAATCATCAAATCGATTTTTCTCTCCATCATGTCTCGTGCCTCCAGACCACCGTAGGCTCCTCCTTCCTGCGAGAGCGCTCCCCAGTTCCCACACACACCAGTGTAAACAAACATGGCGTTTGCAAAAGAAGGCGATAATTTTGTGGTTAAATAGGACAAGAGCGAGTCAGTCATGTTGAATTGGTACGATTTCGCAGTTTCAGATGAAGAGTAAACCACTCCCCGCTGTAAAGTCTGTCTGAAGGCGGTATTCACCCGTCCACACGGGAACAAATTTAGGAGTATTTTGTCGTATCAGTGATCCCTCCACACAGAAACTGCGTTTCAGGTGACTGTAGACGGCACTTTTTGAAAACGGGTCAGAGAGCGAATAAATCTGTAAACGACGACCATTTCATCTCCGTGTGGATGTCTATCTGCATCTCTAGAAACGATCATGTGACATGCAACTAGTGTGACCATTAGGGCTGGGACGATATGCTTTTCTCCCGATTCGAATCTCCCTCGATTTTTTGGATGCTGATTTGATTTAAATTGCGATTCTATGATATTTTCTCTACTTTTAGTCTGCATTTTTCACACCAGTGAAACAGTTGATGATGATTATGATTGTCGACTGATTATTCCAGGAACCATATTTTCCCCAAAAAATACACATCACATGTAAGACAGTTTTTAAGATTTATTCTTAAATTTGAAAACAACAACAAAAAACAATTTTTGAACATAAAAATCGATTTTAAAATTATAAAACAAAAAAATCGCGATACTTAGGGGAATCGATTTTTTCTTCCACCCCTAGTGACCGTATTTTGAATCCCCAAAAGGAGGACACTATTTCGCGGGGCGGAGTCACAGTGTAGTAAATTCTGAGTATTTTTCAGGTCGGGTCGAGCGTTTTTTGCATGCTTCTAACTCAGTTAGTCCACGTGACACAAACTCAAAACTTCGGCTGGACATCCCCCCAAAAACAGGACATGTCCGGGTAAAAGAGGACGTATGGTCACCTTAGCGTAACTCTTTTATGGAGGTTTTGTGTGTCCTACCAAAACAGCCGTTATACACATGCTCTGTACTCTTCTTCTGTCTTTTGTGCATTTCCTGTGCAGCGTTACAGCGCCACTTACCGGCTCGGCATATGCACTACATCGTTTTCAGTGGTTTCGTTTTGAGAAATGATAGAAAAACTTATTTTTAAAGTGAAGTTTGGTGAAGTTGTCACTGAATAAAACCTTGAAAATTGAGTTTTCTGAGAAAAAAATCAGGATTTTATTTTCGACCAAAATCATGCAGCCCTATTTTCTCATAATTTCATGAACAGAAGCACAATTGAAATCATTCCTCTGAGGCAGATGTTATTTGAAAAACGTTCATATGAGGCACTGAATCGTACATTACAAGACGCCGTACATGTTCTGCATACTTACTCCCTTGTGTGTCCTTGTCACAGAAAAAACAAGCCAAGTTTTATGAAAACATCATGCATGCGATGCGGCCACAGCCGGAGTACTTTGCTGTGGGATATTATGGTCTCGGATTCCCTTCATTTCTCAGGGTAAGGAAATCATCACCTTCAGTATTTCAATAAAAGGAAATTTAGTGAGGCCATCATGCACCTTGCTTATGCAACAAGTTTGCTTTCTCTAACATTTCTGGAGGCAATGTGTGAGAGTGTCGATAAAGGTTATTGGCTTTTTGATGGCACAGGATAATAATGGAGTGAAAACAGTCCAGTCACCGGCACGGCTCTCATAAATTACGTCAAATTGGTCTCATCAGAGCCAATCGCTTTTTATTGGATTCAATTTCTTGGGTTTCTCTCCTGAAAATATCTGCTGCAGAACAAGATGTTCATCCACAGAGGCAAAGAGTACGAGTGGCTGGAAGAATTCACCTTAAAGCAGCTCTCTCAGTTCCCAAACGCAGTCCGGATGACGAGCACAGCGCCCCCCGGAGACAACATCTGCAACTCCCCCGGACAGCGTATCCTTACATAATAAACAACAGAGCGGCTCTTTGTCCAGCAGGGTATCAGCCGTGTTGGCAGGATAGCTCAAGGGGAGGCCATGGGAAGAAATGTGCAGTTTAATAAAAAACACCACAACAAGCGTTGGAGCAAATGTTTGAAGGTTTTGAACAGATATTCAAACCGCCTGAGGTTGGAATCATGCAAACCTTTGTGATTGTGGGACTTTGCATTCAAGAAGAAGCTCGTTTTAATATGCATGCGTCAGAGTCTTCGGACTACTTCCTGCAGAGCTAATGTGTCCCCACTCGCCTCCGATGTACTTTGTTTATGGCTGTTTTTGCAAACGTTATTATAAATGCTAAACGTGGTGAATGTCACTGTTTAACGTCAGCTTATTAGCAAGTTAATTTTGAGCGTTTTAGCTGAAAGCATGAACACGGTTTGTTGTTGAAGTATCACCATAAAAAAAAAACGTTTCGGCTCCTTTTCTGTTTTTTCTCCTGAACTGAACTTCCGCAGACATCCAGAGCTTCACAGTGAAGCCGGTTCTGACCGTGCCACAGCAGTTTAAAGACAAGGGGGTTCCAGAGCAGATATTAAAGTGCGTAACCGAACACTTAAAGGCTGATTTATTTTGTCATGAATACCCCAAAGATTTATAGATCTCTGGTCAAAGCTCTAACTCACGGCTGTCCTTCTCTCTGCTTTTGCAGCTATTACAGAACCAATGAAGTGGAGCAGTTCCAGTATTCCAGGCCCTTCAGGAAAGGTGAAAAGGACCCAGACAATGAATTTGCGGTGAGTACTTTTCAAAATTTCCATCAAAGCACAGAGCTAATATGCATGAAAATCCAAAATGGGTGAAAACATGCCTGTCCTTTTAGATATTTCCCTCTGAAAACTAATGAAGACACTTGGACAGGGGAGGATGAATAAACAGCGTTATTGATATGATGCACGCCATGTTGGGACGTGATTTTCAGTTAGAATAAAGCAAAGATGAACGAGATGAAAAGGAATATCTTCATCTGGAGTGGAGGCTCAAAGCTGAGAGGGCTGGTTAGAGACCAAAGTTGTAGATTTGAATGAAAGAACTTCTTTCAGAGCTGGATTTGATGTGAATTGGAGGTGAGCGCATTAAAGGAGGGTTACACTGATCGCCTAAAATTACAACTGACAGCCGCAGAGAGAAGAACAGCTTCAAACTCTGACAGCAATGAGATTATTGGCTCTCAAGAACTGATGCCAAATGCGATTGGTTGGAAGAAGGAACGAAACATCCAGAGTCCGCTGATGAATCTGAAGCAAAAAGAGAAAGAAAGAAAGAGAGAAAGAGAATGAGCGGAAGGATCTAAATACAGAGGGAGCGTGAAGATAAGGCCCCCGGGATCATAGTAGGTTTTTAAGCCAATTAGACAGAGTGGCCGACTTCCAGGTCTGCCACGTGACGCACAGTGGCCTTAACAGACCTTTTCCCAAGTGCCCACTGTGATCCTATCTGAGGTCTATCCTTCGCTGAGCAAAGACAGAATTCACTTCAGACTGTCAGAAAAAAAGGGGATTTTTGCTCTTTATTTGCTGGATATTAGGATGTCTGTAATTATTTCTGAAAAGCTGTTTCCGCTCTAATTTGCAAACTCATCTTTCGAGGATAAATTTCCCCCATTGATTGCAGAAGCTGACACAGAAGTGAGTAACTTCAAAATAAGGTCAAAGATGCAGTTTCTTTTGAGTAATTTAACAAATTTATTACATCTACCGTGGCGTCAAGTTTTTTCATCCATTTTTCAGAGAAGATCGGAGATTTAGTGAGGCTGTTTACATAACCCTCAGCATCAGAACATTTTGGTGAATTATAGGCTTAATTATTGATTGTTTGTCAAGAACATCTCATAATCAATCTTTATTTATTATGATGAAATCCAATTCTGTCTTAATCCACTATGAGCTGAGCGCTGTGCAGTATTCAGCAAGTTCATTCACGCTGTGAAGGGAGACCATCAGCACTCATATACTGATATCACCAGGAGCACTGCTCAAGGACTGGGGAAGAAGGAGTTGCACCAACAACCTCCAAATCCAGACCCCTGAGTAGGGATGGGAATTGTTCAGAATTTAGCGATTCTGATTACTTTATCGATATGATTCCTTATCGTTTCTCATTGAGTGAGAAATAAGTTAATCCAAATAGGTTTGTTTGCCTTAACTCTTTAATATTGTCACCTTTGGACAGAGGATATGGCGCATCCATGCACTAATAATTTGTTATGTGACCTACCCTTTGACCACAAATCTGCTCACAGCTCGGTGACATTCGTTTATCTTCGCCTCTCTCATTTTACTCTTCTCTTCCTCAATGAAAGGGGCCACCAAAGGTGCGTGAGAGCTACCCGCTGCAGCCTCTGAGCTAGCATCATTGTCATCTAAATGTAACTTAAGGAGATGAAGAGTATTTATATCGTGAAAAGGGGGTTAACATGGCGCTAACAGCTACATAGCAGACAGGACCTGGAAAAGTTAAACGTTACCTTGATGACACCGAGACGTTAGCTCTGCTCCTGCTTTTGCTTGTACCAGTCTAGCCTTTGCTACGTAGCGTATCAAACACGTTACACTTTCGCAAATTAGTTGAATGCTGGGTGGACAAATGTTTCAGCATATCGGAAGTATTTCCCCCGTTCGATGAAATTAAAGCTTTGCAAGTGCTGCAAGTAGCCCCGGTCGTTTAAAGTGAACTACAGCCAAACTCTGGAGTGCTTTTGCCTCGAAAGTTCTGAACAAAACACACTTCTCGCGTTCTACGTCATCACGCATGGAGACGTAAGAGGAACCGATAAGCAGAATCGTTCAGGAGGCAGACAAACAATTCTTAGGAATCGAATCACTGGGAACCGGATCTAACAAAGAACCGGTTATCGATTCTCTCTCGTCCTCTCAGACTGCATCTGTGAATCAGTCCAGCCTACGATCCACTCCGCCTCATCTCTGTTTCAGTACCAAGTTTGAGACTTAAGAAGGTTGCTGTCATGCCAACATCGGGACTGTTATCCTTTCAAGCCAGATAAGAAATTTGGCTTAGGACTGAAGTAAACTCCAAATCCACTCATCGCAGGCTCACCGCAGACACTGCATTTTCATCTGTAGAGCTTTTGATCCATTGATTGCAGCAGAAGTGTGAAAGAAAAGTATAAGAACAAATACATCAGACTGAAAATGAATCACTCACTGAGTCATAGTGTCCTCAGAGTTGTGTTAATGTTTTTTCTTCAACATAACGATCACAGAGGATCAGAGCTGACGTCACAGCGCTCTCGGAGGATGAGGATAAGTTTTATCAGAACATTTTCATGAGAATATGTGAATGGGACTCTTCCTCCTTCAGTGCTGAAGGAGGAAGGTTGTTGTTGTTGTTAAAATGGTATCCTCATGTATCTTCTGCCTCACAGACCATGTGGATCGAGAGAACTACCTACATCACGGCGTACCGCTTCCCCGGGATCCTGAAATGGTTTGAAGTCAAGTCTGCCTCAGTGGTAAGCAGCGGTCGTGACGTCCAAACTGTGCTGTGATCATTTAAAACTTCCTCTCATTAACCACACTCTTCATGGCCGACAGGTGGAGATCAGCCCTCTGGAGAACGCCGTAGAGACGATGGAGATGGCCAATGAGAAGCTGAGTAACCTGGTGCAGCAGCAGGCCTGCGACCGCTCGCTGTCCATCAACCCGCTGTCCATGATGCTCAGCGGGATTGTTGACCCTGCTGTCATGGGCGGCTTCTCCAACTATGAGAAGGTTTGATTTCTGTATAATAACTCAGTTTTGTCGGTGTGTTGCACATCAAGATTGCATGATTTAATCACTTCTAAATAGACAAACAACAACAACATAACAGCAGATTGTTAAACACGCACAACCTGCAGAAAGCTGGGTATTCACTCCTCATCTGCAGTGTGTACTGTGCAGAGACAAGGTCAGTCCCTCCACCTCTGATCCTCCCGTGGAAGCAGTATCAGAGGCAGGACAGGGCAGAGATGGTGGTACTGTGTAGCATCAGAACCAGCGGGTCAGAACGGGTCGTGCCTCTCACACTCACGTGCTAATACAGGGTCTAAAATCACACCAGGACACTAATATTGTGTCATTTTGTGGTGCAGTGTGTAGGTTTAAAGGTGTAGTGATGCTGCAGTGTGTACAAGAGTTTCTAAGACTCATACAGAGGTCCATGATCACTGAAAAACAAGCAGAAACTGGACGCTGAGATTCAGACGTAATGTTACAGTACAGGCTGAACCTCAATATAGAACTAAGCTAAGAGTGTTAGACTGTCTAAACTGATCAGGTTTGAGCTCTGTGCTAATGTCTTTGGTGCAGGAATTGTAACCATGGCAACCATTTTAGTTTGCATAAGATAAGGTGACATAATACTTGATAGTTGTTAAGAATTAGGGGTGGGAATCACCTGTGGCACCACGATACAATATTATCACAATACTTGGGCCAAAATACTATATTGTCACGATACGATATTATCACGATACTTGGGCCACACTATCATATTATCACAATACAATATTATCACGATATTTGGGCCATGATATGATATTATAGAGATACTTGGGCCAGGAGATGATATTGTTGTGATTTTTCACATTTTGCAATACAGTGAGTATTGTGATACAATATATTGGGATTTATAATTTTTTTTTCCAACTGTTTAGCTAATTTAGCATTTGTCTTTCTTTATGTTTCTTTTTTTACACAGTATTTTAGTTTCCTGTATATTTGTTGCACTAACTTTCTCCTAATGTCACCTCTGCCAACCTCACAAACAGTTGATTTATTTTTTCCATTATCATAGATTTGACTTCATATTAGCAATTAATTTGAAAAAAATGAGACGATACGATACGATATATCACCAGACAAAATATTGTGATAATATGCTGCATTGATTTTTTTCTTCCACCCCTATCAAGTGAGTCAAAACTCATGTGAGAAACTTTGCACTTTAATGATTTTGGCGCCCCCTGTGGACGAAGCAGCATCTGTTTGCTTTCCTCAGAAAAGTTATCCTGATTTCTTTGGACAGTCAAATGTAGAAATAACTTTCACATGATCATTCTTGTTGCTGATGGGGTCATTTATAAGTCATATAAAAAAATTCCTCACCGGAGCTTTAAAGTTATAATGTACAAATAACCTGAATGATGATGGTGTGTAATGGCCATGTATACCCAGAATGCATTAAAAATCGGAGAATTGCTCTGACCCACAGCCCGAGTTAAGCTTCCTAAAAAGCCTTTTGATGTTTCAAATGACACGCAGACATCATGAGCACATCATAAGTTTGATGTAGATAGAAAAATCAAATCAATAAACGAGGTCTCTACAGGCTTACTGTGTCGCTAAATGGCGTGCAATCCATAAAGAAACGATGCTGTCTGGCTGAAACACTGCCCGCTGGTTGCTACTTAGGGTCATGTTGTAAATTATCTGAATGGTCATGAGGCATTATTTGTAGTAGGGGAAGTAGGACACCAAAATGTAATCCTGCCTGAGGTGCCAATTTGGCCGGATCTGGCCCCGGTCTCACAGATGATCATTTCTATCTCAAAAAACATAATGATTGTACGGTCGGTGCTGAGTGGTCGAAACCAGCCCTGAAATCCAATATTTAAGATCAGAGAGCTCCGGTTGAAAAGTGTCACTGCTTCCAGGCTGCTCTGTGTTGTTGGACTTTAGCTCTCTTCAGACCGGGTCCAGGTTGTGTGCACAGTTGGCTCTGAGGTGGCTGATTTGAAAAAGAGAAAAACTGCTCTCTAACATGAAACTAACTTCAAATACCGATGCAGGCTTTCTAAGAGTATTTCATCCACATAATGTCCTGCTGGCCTCGTGCCTGAAATGAGCTAAAAAGATGAATTCAGAAGGGGGGTCTCTGCGGCCTCTTTGTCATGCTGTGGACACCTGTTTGTTGTCGCTCACAGCTACATTTGCGTTTAAAAGCTGCCCGGCGCTCACTCCGTTTTCATCCCGTTTAGGCTTTCTTCACAGACACCTACATCCAGGAGCACCCCGAGGACCACGAGCGAATCGAGGTCCTGAAACACCTCATCGCCCTGCAGGTAAATCCTCGCACCGCTGCTGTCATTGACGGGCTTTAAAAGGGGGAAATGTTTTGTTTCACTGAAGTGCCCCTTTTCCCCTCTAGATCCCCGTCTTGGCAGATGGGATTCGCATCCACGGGGAGAAAGCGACGGAGCAGCTGAAGCCCTTACACAACCGTCTGGTTACTTGTTTCCAAGACCTTCGGGAGAAAGTAGAGAAGCATTACGGCGTCATAACCTTGGTGCGTTGCCAGCCTCAAACTCGATTTAACCTAAGAGGGTGCCAACTTAAGCTATTGGCCCTCTTGCCTTCCTATCAAACGCCTCTCATTCAAAGCAGTGTACATTATATTAGCGCAGGACCGTAAATCCTCCTCCAGCCGGTGCATTGCAACCTCCGAGTTTTGCTTGTCATTGTGCTCCTCCTCTGCCAAGATTCCCTGATGACGCTTAATCCCATTTGTGTGTCCCAGCCCTGCTCGCTCACTGAGAGGAAGAAGGGTCGCGTGGGCTCCGTGGTGATGCCCTACATCCTGTCCTCCACTCTGCGTCGCATGTCCACCATCTCAACCCTCTCCAACGCCTCCTCGGGCCTCTCCAGCGGCTCTGCGTCCTCAGACGGACCCTCCCACGTTTCCTCCCACGAGTCAGTCCCCGTCTCCTGTCCTTGTTTCCTTCGCTTTGTCCCTGAATGTCTCCTTCTGAAGATATTGTGTTTACTCTGAATTCATCTGTTCAAATCATAAAGAAATATCCGTCTGTCTGTCTTTACGTCTCTTTTCTTTGTCTCTGATTGTTCACACGCAGTTCCTTGTTGTCCCGTCCCAGTGATCGCAGGGCGTCTGTCTTGGAAGACAACAGGATCGCTCGAAAGAACAGGAAGGAGTGGAGTGTGAGCAAATCCCAGGTCCTGCTGGAGAGGCAGTCGGACGTAGATGAGGCATGAGCATGTTTTTATACACAGATATGTTTTGTGGTTTTCATTTCCGCGTCCAGGAATCTTCGAGCCATATCATCCCGATATTAAGCTGCTGTTATTCAGCTGTGAATTGGGACTCCATCATGCTTCACCGTCTCACGCAGAGGCTTATGTTTTTGTGTCCTGATTTTCATCAGACTCCTCCGGAGAGACAGCCGAGGCCCAAGAGTTTACAATTAGGAGACCGGCGGCTCACCCTCTCCTTGTTTCAGGGCGTTTCATCCCAGCTGGGCCTGTCGAACCCCCTCAGCCCGTTACCTGCCTCCCCACACACGCCACGCACGCCCCGCAGCTCCAGTATGTAACAAATATCTTTGACAAACACGGCGCTGCATGTCATCTCTTTTATTTCCTCTTTAACGTCTTTCCTTTCTCTCACGTCTGCCAACTCTGTGAAAGCACTCTCAGTTTATTCACCTAATCAGGTCACACACACTCACACACACACACACACTCAGACGAACACACACACTTATCCACATATGCTTGCAGTCTGAAAGGCTTTATTTCCTCTCCCCTGTGGTAGGTTATTCATCACTTCTCAGTGACAATGATGTCAATACCATTGACACCCCAGGGACCCCCCCACCCATGCCTCCGAAGAAGCACCCTCATGAGATTGACAACCCCGGGTTCCCTTCAGAGGTATGGCTGCTCGAAGGAAATAAGCGCCCGCTCTCTAATGCATATTTAATGGCGTGTAAACGTTAAAATATTCAGTTTTTTTATTTCATTTGAAGCCCTGAACTTTCTTCTTCTCTTTCCCCGCAGTTCACTCCTCCTTTACCGATGAAAATCGAGAGTAAGCCTCCTCCCCCGCCTCCAAAAACGCGAAAGTCAATGTTCCCCTCGTACGAGCACCCACCACACTAAAGCTGCACCCACACGCAGGGGCCTTAAGGTTTCACTAAATCCTCAGTCTGGCTGAGCGCAGTTTCATTTGTGGCGCTCTGGAAACGCCACAGTCGGGCACAGATGCAGGACCGTCTACGTGGGATGTTTGCAAAAAATAATCCGGGGAGGAGAGAGAGAAATTTTTCTGATGCAAGTCACTAATAATTCCAGCAGGCCTTTGTTCTCCAGTTTTATCTGTTGTTTTGCAATTAAGCTGCAAGAAAGAGTCCATGTGGGGTTATTGTTGTTGGAGGGTACCACTGTGCAGAAATGAAATATGAGTGTGCGTGTGTGAGGTCACCCCTGCCTTGGATTCAGCAGCGTGCCTTTTTCAGCCGTAATGATGAAACCCTGATTAGATGCTTGTTTTTTTTTTGTCTTGAGTCAGTTTTTTGTACAGATTTTATCTCTCGCAGGGAAAAGAATGACCAATGCTGCAACGATATATTTTTAGCTTTTATCCTATAATGGAGTGACACTGGATGACTTGTTTCCCTTTAGCTGTTTAAAGGCATTCCTAACCGACGTGTCCGAGCTGCATTAGAAACACGACAAACTTGATTCAGAGCAGGGAAAACAGTGTAGAGAATGTAAGTGTGACGATGACGATGGTTTTTAATTTTACTTTGATCAAACCGGTTTTTACTCGGAGAGACACTGGATGGCATTACTGAATGTGTACTTATTTAACCTTTTTCCTGATGATTATAATGATACTGTAACTGCTGCTCTCAGACTGATCACACTGATGCAGGTGTTCATCTGGAGCGAGTTTGATTTAAAGGAACAGTCCAACATTTTTGGGGAGGTGTGCTGTTTTCGCAGGGAGTCAGCGGAGGAGGTTGAGCCTGCTCTCATGTCTGCATTGTAAATACAGTACGCGGCGGGAGTAAGCTAACCGCTAACTCAAAAGGTAACAATATTTGCCTCCCAGCTCAGAGGCTCGCTAATTAACATTCTTTATCTTATGTAATTAAAATGGTAAAAACACGTGTGTAATAATTACAGTTTGTGTTTTAACAAGGGGGGATTTGAGCAGCTGCTAGGCAACCAGTCCAGACGACTAATTAACGCTCCTGGCCGCATCAGAGTGCGGCAAGAAACGGCGTGCATGTGTGTAATTTAGATGCTGGATGGTGGATTTTAATGCACTCAGTCAGATCACAGGTGGACATACAGGTGTCCCGATTGTATCATGCAGGCCTCATATGAAGTTGGTGGTATGAGATGCCTTTGTCCACTCTGGTCGGGCTCATATGTCAAGTACCTCCCACTCTCCCTGTATCCGCGGCAACCTTCAGGCAGAGTAATCGCCCGCCCTCCTCCCATACATGACAGATTCAATATTACTCCTCTGTCCTGTGAAAACCTCATTTTTAATCATCTCCTCAGTCACTCCTGCATGTGAGGATGTCGTTGGACAAAGAATATACGAGATGCAGCGTCCACATTCATTATGTAAAGGACAGTATTTCATTTACTCCACACACAGGATGATTTTTGCAGAGGAGTGACGACCCATCAACAATAATCCATCATAATTTAGCTCGTATCGTAGCTCTCACTTTGTCTCGAATACGACTTGAAACCATTTGTTATCATCAGTGTTTGAAAGTCTAATGAAGTCGATTGAGACGCCGCGATAATTTACATGCGAAGAGGGAACGCGAGATCAGATCGTAAGTAGTCGCTGGAGACGCGTTTAGAGACACACGACGATGAAAAAGTGAACACTTGTACTTGATTATGTCTACTTGTGATCTGATCATTCATTTGGGAAATTAATATCCAAATCCTGTATTAATTGAAAACAGTGCAATGAAAACATATCGTAGACAAAGACAAGGAAAAGCTTTTCATTTGAAATCTGATGTCACCAACACGTCTGCAAAAGTTTGGACAGGGACATGCTGACCTTTGAGTTTTATCCCCTCTCCTGTAAACAACACTGTAAAGTTTGAGGTCCTAAGGAGACCCGTTTCTGGAGTTTTAAAAGTGAAATACGGTCCCATTCTAGCCTGATACAGGATTTCAGGTGCTCATCAGTTCTGGGTCTCCTTTGTTGTATCTTTTCTTTTATGACCGCCTCGTATTTTTCAGCGGGTGACAGGTCTGGACTGCAGGCACCCTGGACTGTCTCCTACAGAGGATGTGGTTTGGCATTGTCTTCTGGAATATCATGGCAGCACATGTCGCTCCTAAAGTTTTACCTTTTGTTCTGTATTAGTGGAGCCCAGATGTGTCCCTGCCTTTTAAACTGAGCACTGATAACAAACCAGGGGTCCCTCCTCTAGCATCCATGACTTTGACTGGTCAGACCTGTTTTTGCAATTTAACACTGAAGAAGATGAAATTGAACTATTAGCTCACACAATCTGCTGCAAATTAACCTAATCAGCTGGTAGAAGTTCCTCCAGGTGTTTTATCAGTGTTACAGCATTTCTTTAAACATGTTGCTGGCATCAAATTTAAAATGAAAAAAATATTCTTCATGAAATATTCCAAGTTTTATATGTCTTAAAAGTTGAATCTGCACTTTTGACAACTGCTGAAAGGGTTAAAATGATTTGCAAACCATCACATGTAGTTTTTATTGAGAATTTAGACAGCTTCCCGACTTCTTCATATGTCAAAACTAGCAAACAGGCCACTTGCAGAAGTTTTGATTCCCTCTTATAACTCCCACCTGGAAAGTAAAACAAACACCCTTCCCAATTTTCCGGACTGTTCCTTTAAAGACCTTTTTTTAAACTCTGTACGGTACAAGCATTAAAGCCTTGAAGTTCACTTTAGTTAATAATTCAGGTGTTGGTAGATTAGCTTTTTATTTTTGCGGTTAATTAACTGAATTTAAATTATTGTTATTGGTTGAATATCTCCATTGTTTTGCACACTAGCTGTGTACAGAGATGGTTTACTTTAATGCAGCAGAAACAAGTCTAATATCGGTATAGCCTTACTTTTTTAATTGTAGAAAAACTATATTTGCACCTCCAATCTATGCATGTAAGCTGTTTTTACAAGATCAAAATGAGATGCTTATTAGGTGTCGATATTCAGATTTATTTTTACATTTCTATGTTAATTTTTTTTACAAGGGATTCACGTTTTTGTACAGTACACATTTCCTAACAAGCATCAGAGACATTTTCTACAAACATTGCCTCAAGAGGTGTATAATGATCTTTTTTATGAACAAGCTGTTGTTGACTGAACACAAATAAAAACTTTATGAAAGCGCCGACTCTCATTATGTGGTGACATTGATTATTTCAGAAAGGCATCTTCATCTCTTAACTACGATCCTGTCAGCTGAGTGAATACAGATTACTCTCCGTGCCCTCGCTGGAGAACTCGCTGACATTTGGATGCTGCTGATAGCCAGAAAAATTACCCATGCAAGCTCAAAACATCCAACAAACTGGCATGAAGCTGGTGATTTATGCATTTCAAACTCAATTAGAGTAGGAGTAAGAAAAGAGATGCCTCTGACGCCTGAGCTTTCTGTGGAGGGGAGGAGTTTAGGAGATGTTTACAGGAGTTATGTGAAGGGTGCTGGTCTTGCTAATCTGGATTGTTAATGGCTTGTTCCTTCCTGTCAGGCAGAGCAGCCCAGGATATCACTCTGCTTCCAAGTCTCAGGAGCAATAACTATCTGAAGTGCGCGGCTGCCTCCATGGAAACGCTCTCCATACTGTGGAGATGTTTACAGCCTCCTGATGTAAAGAAGCAGAGGACATCAATCACAGCCCTCTCCCTCCTTTCAGCCTGCATCCTCCACTGACAATAGATGCTTGACACATCTGTGTCTAAATTTAAATTGTTACACAGTTGGAGGCTGTAAACACACACAGGGTTTCCATACCTTTACACTAGATGCTACAGCACTGGGGTGTTTTCTGCAACACTAAAATAGACATATGGTTGTTTACATACAGTTTTACTGCAAGATTTTAGGGGCAACTTTGTTTTTTCTGCCACTTTAATTGATCGCAGACACACTTTTCATATCACTGCACTAATGAGACATAACTTTATGGCAGTATTTGCTTTCTGCTTTAAAATATGAGACAAAATGTGCAGAATTGCTCCGTATAAGTAGTTCTGAGTGAGTTTGGCTCGTGATATTTGGCAAAGAAAACACTGTCTGGTTATGTGAATGTCTTTGTGTTGTTATTAGCTCCACTAAAGAGACATTTACTCACTAAACCTCTCAGTTGGCTGGGTCTAATAACTGCTTAAAGCCTAAATATGTAACGTTTTTAAAGCTTTTACCAAAGAAAAACAAACGTGAAATATTAGAGAAAGGCCAAAAAAGAAGAAAGTTTGTGCGTCTTCATCATTTTTGTTGCTACATTAGGAAATTTGTGACCCCTGAGATGAATGTGGTGACCCCTTTTGCGGGGTCAGGGCCCTATGTTTGGAGCCAGGGGACTGAACTACCCGGCTGTTTACTCAGTAGTGACAGTTAATTAGCTCCACATGGATGAGCTGCAGACAAAAACTGCTGCTTTTACATGAATGCAGAAGAGCTTACAACCAGAGCTTAATTTGGAAATCGTAAAGGTGCCAGAACGCAGAGTACATATGACCACTCAGGGATGACGAGACGGGCACAGGTCGCAGAACATATATAGAAAAAGAGCTGAAAACAACATGCAAATGCCCACTTTCCACGCTGTGGGACTTACAAAACTCAATTTCAAATATCCATGGTATAAATGTTTCGGAGACAATTTACAATTATTTAAGGTAGGGCTGGGGGATAAAACAACAACTATATCGAAAATCAATTTCCCTCAATATCAATTTAAAAAATGGTCAATATGCTTTTCAATAGTCGCCCTTCTACCATGTTTTGGTAGACTATACGAATAGCCAATGAAAAGGGGAGTTGATCCAGGTCCGCTTCACGCTGAACCAATCATGTGCTGAATTAGAACCAAGTAGCAAAAAAACTACGTAGTAGCAGACAGCAGCCACACGCAAACATAGAACTTTAACAGGTGAAGCCGACAGCACTGTTGGTGAGAAAAAAGAAAATAAGTGCTACCCCCGTCAGAAATGATTATGAAGGCTCAACAGATGAAGACATCGTCGACAACACTGTTACGAAAGCGTCAGTGGTGTGGTGGTATTTTGGTTTCTTGAGGTCGGACATGAAGCAGAGTAATGTGTACTGTAAATTATGTCGAGTACATGTTCTCGCAAAGTTGGCGAGTATCACGCAGCAGAGCATGAGCAATACAAAAGGTTACAAACGAGAGGAGCAAGAAGCCCATGGCGCCTGTGCGGCCGAAACAGCCGATCATTCAGTCCACTTTCTCTAGAGCAACGCCTTACGACAAAGCGTTGAAGAGACACAAAGACCTCACAGATGCAGTAGATTATTGTATTGCAAAAGACGTGCTCCCAATAAGCACTGTTAAATTTAATCTTTTATATCGTGATATATATTGATATCGACTGATATGAAAAAAATTATCATGTTAAACTTTTTCCCATATCGCCCAGTCCTAAATTAAGGCTCTACTATAAATTACTCAAATCTTCCATTATAATTGTTATTCAAAGATTTGCACGGCGGCCTCTTGATAGACATACAACAGTACTCACATCACAAGCATGTCCGGATTCTCCTCCTCCTCTTTTTTCGGGTTTTACTCCGTGTGTCTGTGGAAGTTCTGTGTCCTTTAACCACCCACGTCCCACAGTCCTCTGCTCCTCCTCAGTCCGCTCTCCTCTCCCTCTCAATCTTCCTGCTGTAAACCTGCTCATGTCGCGGTTATCGCCTGTTGCTGGTCCACCTGACTGACTGCTAGCCCTGTAGCCGGCTCCTGCTCCGGCTGGCGGTGAACCTAACCAGCTGCTGCCGCGGTACCCGCCTCCTGCCCCGGCTTGTCTAGCTGTCGGTGAACCCGGTTAGCTGTTGCGGCGCGAGCCTCCTGCTGCAGCCGGTTTTGACCGGTAACGTGACCACCGCAGCTTATGAACGCTTTTCAGACTTGTTCTGAAGTGTTAAGAAACTCCTTTTAAAAAAAAGACAGTAAAGTTAACTGTCTTTTTGACATGTTTTTGTAAAATTTTAACCGTTTTTCCTCTCTGTTTCCCCCTCAGGTGTGTGTGGCGAATTTCAAATATTTTTTTTCTGCGGAAGGGGGCGTGGTTCGTTTGCCCGTCTTTTCATAAATCTTACTGAACAACATGAAATTCTTGGATTTTTTTCTGTATATTAATATATGCATGTTATTATTTCATTTTAAACATTTTTATATGTTTATTGTTTTTCTTTTATGAGAGGTACCGGATCGCGATATTTTTTTTCCGTAGGATGGTAGGGGGAAGGTCCCGCCTTCTCCACCTCTGATTGGCTAGATTCCGCCTTTTTCGCCTCTGATTGGTTATTCCTTGTGGCTGTGAAACGTCACGACACGCTCGATTTGAGCGCGGGCTACGGCGGCCATCTTACTCCAGTACACCATTCTGGTACGCTCCATGATAGCTGACAGAGGTGAGTAATCTGCATGATCAAAAATATTCTTAACTCGCTGAAATCTTAACAGATTTACAAACGGTTTTATTTATTACAGACCTCAATAATGTGGCTATGAGTGAGGATGCTTGGACATATTAAAATGGCAGATTTACTTAAAAAAAAAAAAAACACAGTTGTTTCACAGCTATTTGCGCGCAAGGGCTAACTTTGAGTCACAATGCATGAGTTGTTAGGGCTGAGACCACAATCGATATTTTAATTTCTTGTATGACAGCCTATTCTTTAACTTTTCAATTTTGTCCAAGTGACCATCTTTGTGGATGTGCTTGTGTTTATCAGCTGTCTAACTTGGCTAACAGACTCGCTGTGACCAAGTACATGTTGCAATGTTGACCCAGCAGTTTTACATCAGTTAAAGAGGCAGAAATGCTCTTTTGATTCAACATAACTTACGTTGCACATGATTCCCAAGCTGTTTGGTTTGTTAAAAACATCTAAAATCGCAACATGAGGTCATTTATTTATTTATGTTATTATAGTTATCCCTATAATAGAAATATTACAAATATAACATACATGGAATGATTAAATGTTTTATATATAAATGATTTAATATAACTGCCTTGTGTGTGTAGGCCTATAGCTATTGCTCTGAATATCTGCTTAATGTTTATTTATGAAAATCCATGGTTGAAATTATTCTTGAGTATGCAGAAACATAACTAAAACTCTGAGGTTTGTTACAATTGGTTTAAAATCAAGCAATCTATGGTTATTTAAATGCTACATGCACCATAGACTGTAATGTTATAAGTGGGCGAGTGTCCTGTAGCTAAATGGCCGCCAAGTGTTTATATATTTTTATGCTGAATCTGCCCAAATAAGTACCAGAACACAGGGAGGCCAACATTAAGGGGTGCCGGATCTTGTTCCAGCAGGATCCGGCTCAAATTAACCCCTGCGTACAACCACAAAATATCATACGGGGATCATGCTGTGTGTCGGGCTGTGAGGAGAAATGTTCCTGCAGTATTTTCACTTGTTGTTTGTACTTTTACTCAAAGTTTTAGTGCCCCTTTAGTTGTTTGAGGAGCACCCTCTGTCAGGACATCAAACTCTCCCCACAGGGTTACCATGGCGATAAAATATCACACTTCTATTACTGCCATACTTCTGAGTAACTGGGAAATAAAACACCACCACCAGTCAAATAGAGGAAACTAGGCTTTTATTTTGAAGTATTCTGTTTCTGGTAGCTTATAAATAATGTAAGTGAATAAAAGCATTTTAAAGAACTGTTAGACAGTAAAAATGTTTAATTGATAAGAAACATGAAGAGGCACAAGCTCGAATGGGTTTAAATTCACAACAAATCTTAAGATGTCAGTTTTTAAGAGTATCAAATATTCTGCTGAAGCTACAGCTGCTTCTTCTTCTTCATCTCTCCTTCATTTTTGTGAGTGTGACATCCGGCGTAAATAGACTCACAATATTCCTAGATGGTCAACACTATTATCTGTACATTACAGCTCTTGAAGCATTTCTGCACAGGATCAGGAAGAGGCAGATATCAGATTTGTCAACAGCGAGCAACACAGATGAGAGTCGCTTTGAAACTGAGGTTGTCGGGGCTGTAAGAGCAAAACATGAAAATCTGTGAGTCGACACAGCTTTAAAAACATCGCGTTTTCACCTCTTCTTCTTTATTCATAAAGGCTGCACAGGAGTGAACTTTTTAGCACTCTTCTGTCTTGTTTTTAGTAACACAAAGGGCTACAGCATGCATAATTAGTTAACTTTGGGGCTCAGGTGGGCGAGTTTGAGAAAACCAGAGACACTCAGCCACAGCAGCTTCTTTTTACCTGAATTTAAATAAGTCTACGGTTATGAGGAGTCAACATTTCAAGTGTGGCTCCCACGAATCTTTGGGCTTTTTAAGTATCTTTTAAGAGTCTGTATCCATATTTAAGAGTTTCAGGAATTAAAAACTGTTGGAGGTGGTCCGTCTTTGTCTGTTTCATCTTCAGCAGCTCAAAGATACGATGAAAAACCTTCCTCCCTGCTGTCGCCCCCTCAACAAAAATGCATAATATTCCATAGTGAGGATTTTCACTGACACTGGCCACTATTTTACAATATTCAGCCATCATGTCACACCCTGCTCCCTCAGCTGGAATGAGAAGTACAGTGGGGATGGAAATCGAAGCCTCGGTACGGCTTAATTCCCCTGCATCAAAGGAAGTTCTGGCCTTTCCTACTTTGTCCATTTAGCAGCCGGAGGGAGTGACTCTGTGTGTGGAGAGGGATTAGCTGCTCTATTGTATCTCTGCTTTGAACCTCACTAGGTGGTGCCAGAGGGTGTGAACTGATGGAGCATTGCAAAGAGGTCCAGTGCACTTCTGTAAACCTCTATTTACTCAGGGAAGGTTTGCTCGGCCTGAGTGCACTCTGGCGGGAACACGCACACACACGTACACAAACACACAGCGCTGCAATTACACACAAAAACACCTGGGAGATGTCGAGTACAGGTCTGCACACCTCCGTTAGGGACAGATGAACACATCCAGGGGAGAAAAGTTGTGATTTTAAGCGCCTTTTCCCTCCAAGTGTATAGTTTTCCTCCTCAGACCGCTGCAGGAGTTTTGACTGGCAAGCGTCCAGTTTTCGCAGCCACTTTTGTCCTCCTGTGCAGCTTAAATCTCTGCAAACCTGGCTGAGAAAATTCTCATAAAACCTCTGTGATGCTAACAAAAAAAGGATTCAGGTTGTGAGTACTTTCTTGTTTTATTAATATGTTCTGTACTCTCACCAGTCACATGTATTTTTTAAGCATTTTTAGATGGGGGTGCAGAGTTGCATCACATCCAGGCAGCCATGCTGGAGGATCTATCTTACAGGCCTGACTATTATTTGTTTCACTAAAATATTAATATTGGTCGGAAAGGTCTGATGAGTGTGTGATTGGGATGGAAAGCAGGTTACCTGACCGCTCTTATCTGTCTAACAGCTCCTGAACCGCTCTTTCATCTGCCGCATTGATGTAAGACGTTGTAATTTATGGTGATACAGCAGGACAGCAGTCATTACCGAAATTGCTAGCACAAAAGATAAAAGAAAAGTTTCTGCAGAGTTTTTAATAAGTCTAGACAATGACAAATTGATTTCAGCTCAGAGAAACTCCAGCGTGAGCAAATTGTGCTCTCAGTTTTTTACTTTTGCAGGAGAGCTGGATTTGGCCTTTTGTTCTGGCACCTTCAGACACGACAAACACGGGAATACGTCCATGCTGATGTTGAACTCGTGGATGAGAGCCTTCCAGAAAGGCTTCTTCCCGTAGATCAGCACCATGGCGGTGACGGTGGTGTAAACTGACGTGAAGAAGAACGTGAGCATGATGATGTTCTCGTGTTCAACTGCGATCTGGTAGTTGACGTACAGGTCGATGATGAGGAAGAGGATGAAGACAGCCACGAGGGACAGAGCCATCCGGATCACCCTCATTTGTGAGCCCAGTTTAGGGGCGTGGGCTCCGTTGGTGCTGGCTTTCATGTGGCGCAGGTGGATGGCCAAGTGGGTGGAGATGGAGATGCAGCATTTTATCATGATGAGCCCCGGCAGGACATCAGAGACGATCAGGTAGAGGACTTCGTAGACCTTACCGGGGAGGGTGTCAGGCATTATCACGCCGCAGTCCTGGTTGGCTGTGGTGTGGTTATCAGGGTGGAACACCACCATCATGGGCATGCACGTACCCAGGCCGCTCAGAGGGATGAGAAACACGGCTAAAGTGACGTGTTTGAGGATGACGGCCTGGATGTTGGTGTAGCAGTTGTTGGGGGTGGTGACCAGCTTGGTGCTGTAGTAAAACGTCAGGAAGCTGCTGTCCCACATGATAGTGAACTTAAGACTGAAGACCAGCAGCACCATGATGGTGTAAGGGATCTGGACGATGCGGCACTTATGGTCCAGTTCGTCCATGGTCATCCAGAAGTAGCAGATCAGCTGGTGGGCAATGCTGGCGATGGACAGAGCCACGATGATGGTTTCACTGGGACTCCACTTGTTGTTCTTTTTGTAGTTCCACAGACTCATCAGCAGGATGTAGCCGTTAAAGAAGACGGTGGTGACGCCCAGGAGACCCGTCAACGCCCAGAGCCCCACCTCAGCTCCACTGTACATGATTCCAGCTTCACTAAAAGCACATCTGCACCATCAGACTTCCTGGGAATACGTTCAAACCGTTCCCTCAGTCGTCTGCGTGGGGTTCTGGAGTGTTTTGTTGATGCCGTGTTCAAAGAGATGACAAAAAGGCAAAAAAAAGGATGAACACACACTCCCAAACAGATGATTCCTCTTTTCTGACTCAGAATAGATTCAGTCACTCTTTGTCAGCGGATCCTGAGGGGGGAGATTCACATAATTAGCTTTTAGAGGTACAAAAACAGACAAAAATACGCTCTTTTGAAATCTTGTATCATGGTTAAATACATGTGAAATCTTCAATTTGGGTGGCTGAGCACAAAAACATGCAAAGGTATGAAGGTTACAGGGAGACGCAAGTTTCAATTTTACCTCAGAGGGAGTTCTTGTACGGAGGAGGAAGAGGCTCTTCATCTCTCTGAACCTGACTGACAATCTCTGCCTGCGAGTCGTCACAATTGGATGTCTGACTCGACACCTTTGGCTGCAGTCGCAGAAATCCTTTTGTTTTCTTCTCGTTTGTTTATCTTACCATTAATCCTCCCCTGAAGTTGCGTGCTGGATCACACACCAAGGTAAAGTCCTGGGATTTGTTCCTGGGCTGGGATTTATATACCGCCGTTATGGGTTTGATTTGCATCAGTTATGACCACAGGTTGTGGTGTTGGGAGTATTTGCACGCACACACACGCAGGATATGTCCTGGTGCTGTGACTTTACTGTGTGTCAGTCAATGCAGCGTGGCAGCTCAGGCCACACGCAGCCAAACTCTGCATGCAAATGCTTATTCCTGTTGCTTGGCCACAAATTTGAAAACCTCAGACCATACACACACTCACACAAACACAAACACACACACCTATTTACCTGATAAGAAAAGCAAATAACCTCTGAATCACCTTCAGGAGGTTTGCTAATGCAACAGCTTATCACTGTAGTCTGAGCTGAGGAGGACACCGACTTTGTACACAGACTCTTAACAAGATGACTTGACCGATGTTTTAATTTCCCATCATTCAGACGCTTTTGTTTGCTTGTTTAAAGTCAATGTTGTTACAAACACTTGATGTATCCAAGGGTGTGATAGCACATTATCATATTAAAAATCTGGCATTTTATGGGTTTTTTCTTGCTACCAAATCAGTGACATGACCTCTGAAATCTGTATTTAAAGGATTAAAAAATTCAAAGTTTTGATATATTCAGTATTTTTGATCTGGACCAATCTTGATGAAGAGATTTAAGCAAAAAAAAAGAAAAAAATATTTATCGGATATGTTTTTACAGCAGCGAAAGTTAGTTGCTGCTTGAGAGCAAAAGAGAGTAGAAAAAAATTAAATCCAATGTTGTGCAAAAAATAATTACAGAATTACAGTTCCTCACCAAAAATGATTTCACTCCTTCTCAAAAAAGTTGAAGTTTAGATTCAAAATGTTGCGAATAGCGTCCCCTACTGGTCAAAAAAGCCACAACACGACACAAGGGTTAACCTCCAATCATGCAGCGCCACAGATCCTTATTACATCACGGAAAATTATCGCTCTGATCTCATGCGTATCATGTTGCACAGTTGGGTGTCCATGTTTAACCTTCACGTAACATCCGATGTTAATTGCTGTCCTTCCTTCCTGCAGTTCCTTTCAGCAGTCGAGTTGAAAGTATGAGCGTCGTTCCCTTTGTTCAGCACTTTGTTGATTCAGAACAGCTTGGAAAGTTTCTCCTGTGGGTCTGTGTTCAGTCCAGATAGGTTTTCACTTTAATGAGTGCTTCCAGTGGATCTGCTGCATTGAGTTTCTAATCCGTCTCTGCTCCAGCAACCCGGCGCCCTCTGCAGCAGACACGCACAGCTTCTGTTTTTGCCAGACGCCGGAGAACGATGCATCCATCAATACAGAGCAGGTCGAGAGGGACTGAAAGTCAGACAACGGAGCAACATCTGCTTGAATTTCAAAATGAAATGCTGAGTTGATGCCAGATCATGATTTTCTTTAACGATGTCACCAAAGTGTCAGCGTCAGTGCGCCCCGCTGTCAGGTCAGAGGTCGTCAGAGCTCATCATGGACGTAGAAATTTGTTGATTCTGCATTTAACCCAGGAAACCCCACAGACCGGTGGTTCTGCCTTCTAAAAATGTATCTGTTAGGCGGTGATGGAAGAGGGGGCACGCAGCCAAACAAGATTGGCATGCAGACAGACCAAAAGACGGATCTGGAAGTTTGGCACAAGTCTTCTTTTGGCTGTGGCGATAAGTCAAAGCTAGAAAACTCTTTCCAAAGATGAAGGCACCAGATAATGGTAGAAAGATTTTATGTTTTTGGGTCAGCAACAGCCACAGTCAGTGCGCGCACAAATACAAGCACCAGGCAAGAATCGACTCATTGACAACAGCTTTTGACAGCCGGTTGACCTGTCACGTACCGAACATGTTTGTAAACGGTGAGTTGTACATCAAACAATGAAAACATCGTCACCTTTTACAGCTCTGTACCTTTTTCACTTTTTCTATGACAGCTTCCTCTATTTTTAGGTCTGGAGGTTTTGTTTACCACTCGACTCCTTAACAACACATTTATGCCGTTTAACTTATGTATCAGAGCTCTGTATCGAAGAAGAACTTTTAGGCCAGTTTCTGGTTGGATTGAGCCGTAAACATCAAAGGGAAAACCGTTCTCCAAACACATGATCCAGGTATGTTAGTCCGACCATGTGAAGCTCAATTTAATGCCACCCCTGTATTTAAGAGTCCAGATCCTGCCGCTTCAGTCTGATCTCGATTTGAGTCCCAACTGTTACTGAAACCTGGAGCTGTTTACCCATTAAAACCTTCATGATGGTCTTTAAGGTTGTTCAGTCCCACTCCGAATTGTTTTTTTACTACTTAAAGTGTTCTCAGTGGTCTTTAAACTGTTATTATTCTGCCAGAGTCTCCGGTAGTCTTCGTTCAAGTCTTCATTTGGCAGTCGTGGCCAGAAGAGGATTCAGACAATTTTCCGTACTTTCTGGTTGGTTTCTACTGTCCGATATTGTAGCATGCTAACTTTGTTTGGACTCGTGAATGTTATTCGAGGGCGTGGAGCTTCCCTCACAATACAAGGGAGCAGCGTCTGCCTCTCAACCAATCAGGTCGGGGAGGTGGAGAACGGAGTGGACCGCTCAAAAAATCAAAAATGTTGACCACACAGGCGTAAGGGAACACAGCGATATTGTGATGTTCCCAAATGTCATCAATAACTAATAGCTATTGACTGAAAAAAAGGATGCTTCTCTAATGGATTCCTGCCTACCCCACCTTTAATGACTTCAGAACTGTGTAAAATGAAGCACCCACAAGTTGTGTAACAGCCAAAATGAGGTACGTCAGGCTGAAAGTAGTGTTTCCATGGATGCCAGTATTAGAAGTTTCTCTGTAGACGTCTCAGACTGACATGATTAAGGCTGAAGAGAGAGTATAATAGGTCTCCTGTAAACAAACCTACTGTTAGCCTGTCCTCCCTTCATGAAAAGCTGATTTAAATGTATCTGTACTAATTAATTCTACACTAAATAACACAAAACAATCCAGGGCCACATTTCTAGGACAGATTCGGCCTTATTGCACAACAGCACAAAAACACGCCGAGGCTTTCTGAATTCAGTGTGAGAGGACGCTGCAGTGCATTTTTAAAAATAATTACCAACCCTGTTAGAAGCTCTGCACACCAAGAAAGTTATTATTAAAAGAGGAGATTATGTGGTTTCACAGAGAAGTTGCCAAAAAAAATATTTGTAATTAATTAATGTTGCTGTTCCCTCATGTTCAGGCACAGATCAAAAGACAGACTCTTGTACTTACATAAAAAAGCATGGAGGAAGTGTCCCTGTGATGGATGTGCAACAGAGAGATAAAGGCACAGACACAACAAATGACAAGTTTTCAATTTGTTCATCGAAGAAGGACAAGAAACAAAGACTGCAGATGCAAATACTTCATGTTTTTGGTGTTTGTGTGTCGGCGGTTAAATTTTCATGAAAGTCTTGTCTCAGAAATGATGACCTAAAGAGGAAAATCCGGTTTTTATTTGATATTTTCTCTTCCCTTCAGACAGACATATTGTTTCTATCCACAGGTCAGTCATTACAGATGAGTGCAGGGCAGCGCCGGCCCTTTAAGGGAGCATACTGTAGGATTTATTACAAAGGGAACTACAAACAGACACCACGTCCTGCAGCTCTTCCAATTCAACATCCACCTTTCAAAGACAGACTGAGGTCACGGCAGACAGGAGGTGGGGCTGTGGGCATGTTTGTGACTCTGCAGGTTAGTGCCTCAGCCACAAGCTGTTTGACTAATAACTAGTTTACTGGCTGCTTTTCAAAAACTAGGGAGAAGTACGAGAGAGAAATAGGCAATTTTGCAGCGCTTTGTTCTGCAAATGAAAAATGTTCCAGGAGGCAAATACACACCGAGGATCTGAAGCAAAAACAACTTCACTGTCTCCCAATTTTCTGACTCATGAGCAGCTCAAACTTTCTGTTTGTATTTACCAGTTACAGCCGTGAAAACAGCCAGCAGGCTGTGAAAACTGACACTGTTTAAACATGTTAATGCTCAAAGGTCAGAATTTGAACATCCAATATTTGCAAGATTGTCATTCCTTCATACACCCTTCCACATTTCTGCCACTAAATCCTCTATACAATGTTTGTGCACCTTTTTTCATCATCAATCATGAAGTCTGAGTTTGTTTTTTCTTTTTATACTGAAAGGAAATTGACGTCTAGTTTTTTTAGACCTGATTTTAACTGTCTAGATTCTGGATATTTTTATACGGAATGTAGATGTTGCACTTTAACCCAGTATTCAATAACTATTTATTTCAAAAATTTCAAAACTGTGAGTTGCATAACTGATCTCCAAGTACTTAACCAAGATAGTTATGATAGCCGTTGAGCAATATACAGTATAGTATAGATAAAGCCCAGGTTTAGACTTGGTCTAAATGTAGACATCTAAAAAACTTTAATTCTTAGACCTGTGGTAGCAGGATTTTAGACCAGTCGTCTCGGCTACATTTAGGTTGCGTTCACACCACCCTCGTTTAGTCCGGTTGAACCAAACCCTGGAGTGTTTACCCCCTTGGTGCGGTTCGTTTGGGTCGGTGTGAACGCTGACCTCGAACTGTGGTGCGGACCAAATAAACGAACTCTGGTGCGGACCTGAAGAGGTGGTCTCAGACCGCTATCAAGCGAACTCTGGATCGGTTCATTTCTGGTGTAAACGTCATTCCACACTAATCATAGGAAACGCACCACACACGTCATTAATGCCTGTCGCCGTCTCGTCTTTATCCGTCTGTTGTTTGCAGCACATCTACTCCGGAAGGTATTAATCAATGCCGCAGTTTGTGCTCGCTGGCTAACAAGCCGTTCATACGCGCGATCGTCTTTTGATACGCGCTCCAGATGAGTAGCAAAAGCAAAATCAGCCTACGATGCTCCATGACAGGCGAAGACAGCAGAGCGGGGTTTGTATTCCCTCATAAACTAATGACCAATAACTGAACGATATTCGTGGTCACGTGACTTCCAGTTCCATTTTCTGTAGCGATTGAATTTTTCCTTTGTGAACGCAAACCGGACCAGTTAAACAATCAAAAGAAATGTTTCGTCTTGCCTTGGATTCAAATCAGGAAACAGACCTTTAGGTGTGAACATGACCCTGGACGTCTAATAGACCAAATAATGCTCAGTGAGGTTACATCCTTGGTCATGTTTTAAATGTTATTCTTGTCTTATTGTTCTTACAAATCCAGGACACAAAGCTTGAATTTGCTTGAATTTTCCCCCCTGATGGGTCATGTGACACTATCCCTGCAGCTCATTCTCCGTTCAAACATCCCTCCGTCTCTCTCCTGACTCTCTTTGGCTTGACCTTTGCAGTAAAGAGAAAAACAAATCCCTGCGAAAAACAACCTAAAAACAAAAACAAGTTTTATTTTACACTCACAAATATCCATGATTTCACAGAGCTACATATGCATCTTTAAAAAAACATTTATATATATTTACATTCTGTACCTTTACAAACACTTAAAAGGAAATCTGTGTCAGAGAGATTTACATTGTGAGAACCTGTTCTTGTTTCCAGCAGTAATGAAAGAGCTACAGTGCATTAAGAAAAGTCATGTTTGTCCAAAGGGCAGAGGTCAGAGGTCAGGTTTGGTAAGAGTCCCCAGTAGTCAAAGACCAGCGCTCCCATTATTCTCCACTTTAAAAAACAGCATATTGAACTGCATCACTCATCAGATATATTATATATTTATATTAAACGGAGTATTTGTACAAAAGTCTTGTGAGGATAAAAACACTGTCATAGAGTCGGTTTGTTGTTACACGGGGTATCCGTATCTGGGGTCGTATTTGAGATCAGCAGGTTTCCCTCCTGCAGTAATAGACGATCCTGCGATACTCCCTCCTGTGTAGACGGCGCTGCGGCCTGACCCCCTGTTCGGCAGGTGGCTCCTCACAGAGCTGTAGATCACCCCTGGGTGGGTGCGGTACCCCATCACCGAGCGTAGGCTGGAGTTCCTGCTGGTGGGTCTGCTCTCCGGGGCGGCGGCATCCTCCCTGAGGAGACAAGTCAATCAATAACAGGGTCTCCAGGTCTTATTAGGAGTGAGTTTCTTTGTTTTTTTTCTGGATGGGGGGTTTGTTCGCCTTTTTGAGACAGAGGCAGAAAAGAGCTGGGGTGGAGAGCAGGGAGAGACGAGCAGCGAAGAAGAGGACCAGGGAAACACAATTTAGCTGCTGGAAGATCTTGGTTTGAAAATTTAAGACTCTGAGATCTCTCCAAATCTCTCGTAGTTAAAAATGTTTGAAGAGCGAACAAACATGGTGAACGGCGGGCTGGCTCTTGAGTATTTCCGACTCCTCCCTTTGTCACTTACACAGCTGTATGTTTCACTCTCGTGTTGCTGCCACCTGTCAAAAAAGCCGGTTTCTGTTTCCGACAACCATCACCTTTGTGTTTACTACTGTTGCCATGGCTACAGTTGCTCTCTTCTTGACTCGGGCAGATTCGCCCCTGATACTCAGCTCTTCCTCTCTGTTTGGACAATGTTGAAGGACACACACTCACAGTGGCTCCGTACAGCGCTCTCATAGACACACCCTCAAATCATCCCTCTCATTGAAAAGTCCATTTCGGCGCTCAGCAGCGTCTCTTCACTTCTATTTATTCAGTAAGTCCTCAGAAGTTCCTCATAAATATTCTTTTACTCGTGAAGGAGAGTCACAGATATTTTTCTTCCAAAGACAAAAGAAAAAAAGTGGAAAGACTGAGAGTCTGTGCGCACCACTTCACTGATACTCCTTTGTAAACAGAAACCAGAGCCGGCTGGATTTGCATCCCAACTGTTACTAAACCTGGGGCTGTTCTGTCAATTAAGACCGTCCCTGAAATCTCAGAACCACAGGCTGTAAGTCAGACTATGAGAGCGGGCGACGTCACGAGAGCGAGAATAAAAGCTAATGGAGCTAAAGTGGGAGCCAAATGTGGGCTGACCTAAGGGGTCACTTTCAGGGCGTTTTGTGGCTACTAAGCTGTGTAAAAGGTAACACCCACATGTGTGCATTAGGGCTGTTAAAACTGCTTCGAATATTCGTTCTAAAAACAACACAAAGGTTTAAACATATTTTAATATCTGGCTTAGACAGCTTGCATATAACTTTATCTCGCTCAGCATTTTTCCGTCTACCGTGTCTGCCCAAAATCTGAAGAATTTCCAAACGAAGCTTCTCAAGTTCGTTGGAGTACAGACCACTTTCTCCCAGTTTGGCTCTGAACATCACGCCATCTTTCTCTGCATGTGCCACGGATGGTTTTTGTCGAGTCTCACTGCAGGTGCAGCTCCTGTGACCTGTCCCCGACCCGTCATTACCGTGCGCTCACTCGCAGAGCAGACCTTTTTTTTTTTTAAAGTTTTTTGTTTCTTTCTTTTATTCAAATTTAGAATATTTGTCAGCTCTATTTGAAATTGTACAAAGCAGCTGTAATGAAACCTTGTTGGGCAGCGCCTGAGGAACTGAAATCAGGTTTTTTTTGGGCATCAAATCCTCAAAAAATATTGAGTATTCATCGCAGGCTGGTATGTTAAAAGGTTAAAATGAGTCAAACGGGTCTCCTTTAATATTTGCGTTTTCTTTCAGAGGGCGGCCCCAGATCAGGGAGGTTAAAATCGCTTTAAACAAATGTCAGACCACATGGGAATCTGCTGTTTTGCAGGCAGGAGGATATTCGCCCAAAATCTGTCTGATTGTTTTGTAGTGTGTACCATATTTTAACCAAACTAGAGTCAAATTCATATAAATGTTTGAGGTGTTTGTTCATTACTTGATTTCGTTTGCGACTTCTTTCTGATAGCGGCGTTTGTGGCAGCAGCAGATCAGGAGCCAGATGAGGAGCAGGAGGAGGAGCAGCAGCAGGAGAGCACCGATCACCGCGCCGACGATGACGCCCGCCTTGTTGGTAGCTGGAGGAGAGGGACAATGAGGTTAAACCAGTGCAAATTTATTCCTCTGCAGACACACGAGGCTGAGATTCTGCAAATTACTTTTCAAACTTTGTGACTATGCATTGATCAAATCCTCTCGGATAAAATCATCTTGGGAGTTTTGGAGTAAATAGATCACATCATGGACTCACGGTTGTAAGCGTGTAGTGCATATCTACACTCTCCTTTTCCGACGGCGTTTTTGGCCTCACAAACGTACGTTCCGATGTTGCTGTCTGTGTGGTTCTTTATCAAAAGCTCCCCGGTCTGCGGGTCTTAATGAAAGAAGACAGAATTCAATCTGAGCACGTGATACTAATTCAGCAGCATGAATGCACAACATCCCGTCTTTTCTCCTCACCTTGGGTCGCAGTGGCTGGAATCGTCCCTCCACTCTCCCTCCTCCATATATAGGTCATAGGATTGGACCCCTGAGAGGATTTACAACGCATGGAGACGGATCCGCCCCTCTCCTCTCCACCTTCAACCCAGCACTTTGGCGCTGACGGGCGAACTGGTGGTGAAAAGGAATAAATGAACACATGGCACAAAGGCTGCTTTTAGAGGTTTGCTTCTGCGCTTTAGAAGAAGGTGTGAAAGAGGGGCAGAGTGCTGCGAGAGGTGTGATAACCGTCTAAAAGAGCTCTGACAGGCCAGGTGAGTGAGAGCAACATTTAAAAGAAGAACAGGGTGGAGGAAACTAACCGGTAAAACCGGAAAAAAGGAATTTCTCCTCACCCATCACCACCACGGTGACTTTTCGAACATCCACACCGGGCGCCTTCTTGACTTTGCACTGGTAGGTGGCTGTGTCTGACAGTCGCAGGTCCGAGAGGGAGATGGAGGCGTCTCCCAGCTTAGGGTTACCAATGAAATTCATCCTGCTGGAGATGCTGGGGTTTCCATAACGATGCATCAGACCCCCTGTGAAGGATAAGATCTGAGACGCAGACATGACAGTGAGTGATGGGATTCTTTAAGAGCAGGTTTCTCTGCTAACAGAGCCTGAAGGTAACAACCCCCTCCTCTTGTGTGCAATTAATGCAGAGCCTGTCAGAGCCTCCTCCGTCTCCAAACAAACACTCACCAGTTGGTCCTTCTGTGTCATGTCTGGGCTGACGTTGGACCACTCGATGTCCAGCTCCCCGATGTCCTCAGGAGCAGGAGTGAAAGTGCATCCAAGGTTGACTTTCTCCCCCTGAGCTATCTGGACGGTCTGTGGCCCCGAAGAGGTCACCTGCATCGCCTTCGAAACATCTGAGGGGCAGAAAAATACAAGTCAGGCGTGTCTCTGTCTGAAACGAACCCTTATTTCCCTCTGAGACTCCAATAAGCGAGGCCAAAAGGCCAAGAATCGGACAAAAAAAGAGACAGGAGCACAATCCCCTCCTGAAATACATCCATATTTTCCTCACTCCCTCCGTCTGAGCTCTGTGTGTGCTCGCAAACATCTCGGGGAAGAGGAAAAAGAGGCTGATCTGAGACTAATTGGCCTCTTAAGTCGAAGCGAGAATCATTTGGTTGCGGAAATAAAAGTATAAGTGTTCGGCCTATATTTGCGAAAATGGAGTAACGTTTGAATCTAAACCTCTCGAGGCTCATTAGCTGTCAGAAAAATGTTGGTAAATGATGATGAAAAGTGAACGCGTGAGCAAACATGAAAAATGAACCTGACAAGTGGCAGTTAGAAGCTGTCCCTGAGTTGTAACACACCCCGCTGACTCATTGTTTATGGCCCTGGATTTTAATTATCCCTGATGGCCTGACGTTTATAGAAAAAGCTCAATGCAACCTCACAGATTTGACTTATTTGTGTAGCTGATGCCGCAGCCTCTCAGACGTATAGAGGAGCGTTTTCTCGTTGAGATGTTTAACCTCCTCTAATAGACCGTGTAGATAAATCAAATCAGCCTCTCTTTGACTCATTAAATCCACTATAGCACTTCAATGCCGCTGAAACAAAGCTGCGAATGTCAGAGGTATTTAGGAAAGCATTTCAAAGGCAGACATGATGAAGGAGGTCGTGAAAAAAAAAGCTCAAATTAGTCAGTCAAATGTTTACACTGTGAAGCCCCCTTGGGCAAAAACGGCTGTGATCCAAACGAGACGTGTTTTCCGTGTGGAGAGGCAGCTGAAGCTAACTTGCCAGTGAAGCACAGTCACTAAGCTCGACACAAAGAGCCGCCGCATATATTTAAATCCCACAAACCTCCTCGCTGGCCCAGACGACGAGCTGTAAGCTTTTTCCTTCTCCGTTTGCTACGAAGGACTCAAACTGGAACTTGAGGAATCAATCAAGGCTTTCACAGCAGGCAGTAAACTACAGCTTTAATGAGGTGCTGCAGCATCAGGGTTTGAAAGGCTGGAGGGTTTTTTTCATTCATTTTTCATTTGGTTTGTTTTATTCATAAAGCATGTTTAAAACCGCTGCAGCTGACCAAAATTCTGTACCAGACCAAAAAACTACACAGAAGATCAGAGGAGTCTGCAGGAATCCCAACGTGAGATGAAGAGAGCGTTCATAAACAGTGAGTGTTCACTGTCAGGATATTTACCACAGACTTCATTTATGTTTAAAAACACAGAAAGCTGAGAGACTCGGCTTCACAGTACTCTGTGCACTAGTCATGAAACAATAATGGATCGATTCCTGTAGCTACACCGACACAAATCCTCCCCGAGTCAGTCAGCATGAATTTCAAACTCGAGTACTTTACATTTCCAAACTGTACTTCAGGCCTCCGATACGAAAACTGTTCTCCTGTCAGTCTGAGAAACCGCAAAACTTTTCTGCCGGAAAGTTCTTCGCCTTCTTTCGATGGAGGAGCCGGTTGTTCCTCTACACCAGGAGAGTGAAGCTGCCTGAAGCCTGAAACATGTCTGCGGTTTTTGGTGAGGAAAACGGGAAAAGACATGGACCCATCTTTGACGGAGTTTGGGCATCAGAAACACTCGCGTAAAAAGGGGACCGAGTTTTAGGAGGAGATATAAGACTTTAAATTATGCAGGGAAGCAGAGAAACAAAAGTCTTTGCCTTTTTGGTCTCTAATGACTGCAAAGACTGTGACTGAGAACAGAATCAAAATCTGACTCCTTATTGATGAAGTTTGGGCTCCACGGTGATCCAAAGTAAACATTAAACAGATCTGAATTATGTGTTGATGTTAAAGAAACTATGAGGAGGTTTTTTTTTTATTGAAACTGAAACTGAAGCTTCTGTATGATCTTCAAAAGCAAACAAGACCATGAACAATAACTCTGATAATTTCACTACAAAAACATCGTGAGAGGGGGGTGGGTGTCAGACCTGATGACTGACAGCAGACTGAATAAACAGCCTTATTGACTCTTCACTCATCAAACACTCACACACACTGAGAGATATATTTTACTGTTATAAAACAAAGTGATGAGGTTTCTGTCTCATTTTACATAGACGACAAATAACAGGTGTCAGTTTGTCTAGAGGAGGGGCGCCAGTGTCAACACAGACCAACAGGAGCTTTAAAGTTTGAGGTTTTTGTGTAGAAGGAACAAAACTATTTCAAACTATTTGGAAACGGTGCGGTCTACAGGGAAATATCATCTAATTTGGAATAATAGTCACAGTTTCACGAGTCTAAGTAAACTTTTGGGAGGCCTACAAAGAAAGAGAGAGGTGTGAAGTCCAACTTATTCAGCAATGTGAAGTTTCTATGCAGCTGTGTAGCTAGGTTTAGTCCCATCTGTTAACACCTACCTGAAACAGCCGTTAAAGTCCGACTCGGATTATATGATTATTTAAAGTGTTCTCAGTGGTCTTTAGATTGTGATTATAGAGTTCCAGCATGCTAGCTCGTAGCCTAATGTTGCCGGTGTAGTAGAAGAAGCAGGTAACAGCTCTCAGAGACTAATGTCTTCACGGCATTGATGAAAGTTGAAATCATAATTAGGTTTCTTACGCTAACGCACACGCTTGTTCCGCGACCGTCCTCTCTATTTCTTCGAGTCTGGCCTACATTGTGGGGTTCCGGGGGCGGAGCTTGGATTTGTGATGTAAGAAATCACACTGTATCTGAGCCTGCAGTTTGGGTCTGCTAGAGATTCGCTGCGATTTGAATTCAGAAATACTCAGAAATGCAATTTCACACTTATCTTTCTGATATGTCCTATAGTGTCAGAAAAATGCCGTATGCACATGTAGACAACAAGAAAAACAGGATTTTCACTGGAGTGGGTATTTCAGCGACATCAAGGTAAAACTTATATCCTTTCTTCTGACCTTTAAAGCTCCTCATGGAGAGCTTGACTCTTCCCTTTGAATGCATAACTTTGATCTAATGAAGGAGAAAAGTGTCTAAAGTTTGAAGTACAGGACACAGCTCACCTTTTAGAGAACAAAAAAACTTCCAAAAGTGCTTCTTACACACTGAATTTGACAGTTTTTGCCCATGTATATGAGTATTTTACAAACTCCAGCTAACACTTGAAGGAGTCTGCAGTCTTTAAAAGCACAGCTGACTCAGAGTCAGTGTCGACTGAAGTGAGGCCTGGAGCCCTTTTTTTTCTTTTAACATTGTTTTTTTTTAGACATGATCAAAGTTTTGCATGTGTTTTCTTCCTCGTATGTGTTGTACGTGTTTGAATGTTCATGATCTGCTCTATTTTCATGCCTACTCTGAATCCAAAAGGACGGCTTGGATGACGGCCCATCTCTCTTCTTTTTTAATAAAGCCTCTCAGGGTCTTATTTTTAAACCGTACAGTTGGACCCCTCGCTCGGAGCGCATATGGAAACAGCTTTGAATGCCATGCGGGGTACCTGACAGACACCCACATCATCAGAGCACAGTCCATTGATTGTCTGCTATGCTATTCACTCTGCGGTATTACTGTTGGATCTCTTGCTAACAGCATGGCAGGCCGGCCAGTGTGAATCACAGATCAGACTGAAAAAACACCTGCTGTTAGTAATCACACAGCCTCCCCTCTCCATGATCAGAGAGTATAAGCCTTCTTGTAAACAGGACAGTCAATGGACAGAAAAAGAGGCGTTCAAAGACATCAAATGTTGTATTTGCTTTGACTGTACTTATCAGCAGCTTCAAACTCACTCCCAAGATAAAAAGCACTCACCTGTTCGGAGCTGGATTGTTAGCAGAAGCAGCACGGCCACCTTTACTCTCCTGTTTGTGGATTCCATTATAACCCTGAGAGGAACATAAAGGCGACGCATTAGGCTGTAATTTCAGAGTCTGCCATCTTTGAATGCTTGTTTTTATCTCTAATATAATTTCACGGAGTGAAAGGTTTCTGCCGTGAAGTCATTGTTCACCTCCCTCACGCAAATGTTTATCTTAAATCTAACACACACACCTTGAAATGGAAGAATTGCTACCCTTATTTTTCTCTCTTTGTAAAGCAAGTGCGGTCTAGAGGAAATTTGAATATCAATGAAAAAACACACGCAGAGAGGCGAAATGTGTCATTCTTAAGCACTGGAGGAAATAAAGTAGCTCTGACTCACCTTTAAAGAAGTAATAATCCAAAGTTAGAGCGGATCCTGTGAGGCCTGCTTCTGTGTGTCAGTACCTGTGGAGCTGGCTTATTTAGTTCTCAGGTGAAACTAAGCAGCAGTCAGTGTGGCCACACCCTCTGTCCATAGTGCAACTCTTGGCCACTCCTAGAACCTGCAACTTTCACACCTCCTCACTCAGATACAGTTATATTTTATATTTTTGTTTCTTTTTTAAGACTTAAGGAGCGGGAAAGTGTCAAATAATGTAAAAGACAACTTAAAAAATCTGAATTTAAAGGAAGAAACTGTTTATATTTACTGTAAAGTTAGTTTCACAGACCAGCAGTTGATGACACAGATTGATTACCCATCAGGGTTGAGTAGTCCGACAACTATGCTGCCACGCCGCTTTTTACACTGGACAGCATACCTATCAGATTACATAATAATATACTGTTTATCACATCCATCTAGAGGTGCCTGAATATAAACAGAGTTTCTGTATGCGGTCTATAGGGACATAAACTTCCACTGGAGTTGTTTTCTCTGTCAGCATTTCCTCTTCAGGTTAGAAATTGTGACGTAGCGTCTCGTTATTTGACTGTAGCAACAAGTTGTTGTTCAATCTTCCCCAACCCTTCCCTGACACACCCTCCTCACACACCCATGAACACACACTCTTTGTTGTTTACAGACGGATGTTGCACAGTGATACCTGTGTCGATTTGTATGTTTGTGCCAACAACACAGCGGCGTTTGAGCTACAAGCTGCAGTGCAACTCCTGCTTCTCCTCCCGTCTGCTGCAGTGGCTGTAAATAAAGCTTTTAATAGATTATGAATCTTATCACAGGACCCATAAACACTCAGAACCGTGTGAACGAGCAGGCAGAGCTACAACTTCTTATCAGCTGTAAATTAGTTATGCAAATGCGGGGTTATGATGTGGTGTTTAACAGCTCTAAATGATCCGTCATTTTAGGTCATCGCAGTAGTTTTAATGTCGAAAATCTCAGTGTGGCTGATGACCCAAAAATTCTAAAGACAGACGTTTCTAATGAAGCCGGATGTGGCGGTGAAATCATCCTGCATTGATTGTGTGAGAGTCTACAGTATGGGATGTGTGCACGGAGCATGACGTTAGCCATTAGCAAACTTAAGTGCTGGGTTAATGCAATCCTGCCAATAATGTTCATTAAGGAGATGAACGAATTAGTAACGCTCAGGATGAAACATGATCGGAGAGCAAATCAGAGAGCAACCTCAGAGCGCCCTCCGTTCACGCACGCTGGGTGTTTGCAGAACGGGTAGCTGAGGTGTGTTCAGTGTGTGACTGACACCAATCTATAAATCTGTGAATAAATCTGTTCATGACTGATGCAGCTACGGTCGAGGTGTGTGTGTGTGTGTGTGTGAGATAGAGGCTTCTTCCCCAGCAGGTGGTTAATTGCCCCTCTCCCTCCCCCTGGTGTAGGAGGAGGTTCTGGCACCGGAGCTGAACAGACTGTGTGACAGGACAGGGCGGGACCGCACAGACAGTGCCGGGACGCTGCACAGTATCACTATTAACGCTGCAGGAGTCGAGTGTGAACAAGGCTGATAAAAACATCTATGACCTCTGTATCACAGCGCCCTCTCTGTCGCCCAATGATCTCTTAATTATCCCTCTAAACTAAAGAGATGTGAAGCGAAGCCAAAGTCAGGCTTTGCATTCGGAGCCAAGATTTGGTATAACCCCATCCGTCTTCACAGATTTGGCAAAGGTAGCCTAATCACACCACAGGGTTGCAAACAAAACACCTTGACAGATGTCCAAATTACAAGTAAACAGCCAAGCAGGGGAGGCAAACAAACGACCGAAGCAGGGAAGGGAGAGGCTACAGAAAGGCTGGGCTTGCCAGCAGCAGCCACACTGAAATAGCACGGCAGCGTGAGTCACGGCGTGTCAATGTCAGGCAGCCAGTTGGGCACATATATTCATCTTTTTTAAGGTGGAACGCCACTGGGACGAGGATGGCGCTTCTGGCAGAGGGAGGCAGTCACTCAGCTCCTGGAAAAGCTTCTGTATGTGGGTGGAACAAAGCCAGCACTTCACATTCATGACCCCGGCATCTCTGCAATTAAACATCCACATCGACAGAGAAAATTGATTTTGTATTCTTTACAACAATCACTTGTAAATCAAAGACATCCTGCACATCAAAACATCAGCTCCGCAGCCGCCCTGTATGCTGCTACATACACCTAACAGTGAGGAGAACACAGGCAGCATCATTAGAAGTGCTCAGGCAATAACAGTTTGCTTGTTTCGCTGTTGAAACCAGTACGATTACTCCCTCTCTCCCGGCAGGGAGCATTTTGAGCTGCTCCGGCCCGGCATGCTTTCAATATGTCATGCTGCAGAATAAATAATAAAGAGGCGAATGCAAGGATTCCTCGCAGCCTCTGTGATTCTTTATCTCAGTGAGTAACCTGTTAGGGAAAGGGCACATCCACAATCAGAGTGTGTCCGACTGATGCAGAACGCAGCAGGACAGAGGCTCATTTATTGCCCACCGCTGCTGAGAGCGGTGCAGCGAAAGAAAAGGTCTAATTGTGGTTTTAGCTTTTGTAAATACTGTATTAAAGGAAAAAGAGATGAGTGTGCAAAGAGGAAAACAGAGAGAAAGATTAGAGTGCTAAACAGAACATCCCACACTGCCGGGGCTGAAATCTGTGAAAGGGTGAGGAAGGTTATGATATCCAATGGGCACCGAGGACGCGTACACTCACGCGCACACTGTGTGTTTTTGTTCATCACTCCGCTGTGAGTCTCTGTTCGTTTGTGGACAATTACGGAGAGTTATGTCATCAGCAGAGAGTCCATCTAACCAAGGATTTGTGCCAAAACCTTATCCTGTCCATGCAGATGTACTTCCAGCGGATTGAAATTAAACAGGTGCGGTTAAATCCACGTGAAACAAGAGACGCTTTCACAGTCCTGCCGCATTTCCAGGAGGCTGCCCCACTGGCCCGCTTCAACTTCCAACCTCCGAACATGAAAAGACACAGCTCCATTAGAAATTCTGCATATCAAACAGGACACTTAATGTGACTTCATCATGTATTTACTACGCCAACCCTTCCTCGGTTCACCAGCTGCCCACCCACGTATACCCCCGCACACACCGCCCCCAGCAAAACGAGCACGGTGGACCCCGTAATCCAATAAGTTGTGCTTCTTGTGCTAAACCCAGTGAAGTCTGGCACAGTGAGAGAGTCCATAGAGAGCGCCGTCCCCTAAGCCTCGCTTGCAGGAGCGGGATAGAAACTGTATTCAGTGAAAAAGAACTTCAGATCTCTCTCCCCCTCTCTGCTGCTTTCTATGAGAGCTGGCGTTTCACACACACACATACACGCACGCACACTTGCACGCACGCACACACACACACACACTCAAGCGTTATGATATAATGATGTAATCAAACGCTGACTTCTCTTTTTTAAAACATAAATTAAGAGAATAATAGCCTGGTGTGCAGTGTGCCTGGAAAAAGGCCGGTTGTTTATTGTCTGATTTATCCACAGTCAATAAAAAAACACTCATTCATTTGGAAAGGAAATTATTTCTGCAGAATTGAGGCTCCGTTGAATGGATTCAGGCATGCCCGGACACGCTTGAAAGCAAAATAATTCATAGAGTAACGCGGCAATCTCGTCCAAACTCTAACAATAGTTTGTGGAGTAGAATTTGCATTCTTTTGATGCGGTTTGTCTTTGTTGTCTGTCACCGCTACAAATGAGCAAACTCCACTTTGTTGTAGTCGGAGTTATATAAGCGGAGGCTCTAATAAAAACATAAACTCTTGTAAAAACAAACACCCTCGCACAGCAATTACACAAGCACTCATGCCAGTACACAATTTGGCAGGATGTCTCTTAAAATGTAACCCCAAAAGTTAAAGGGAGAGTTCAGCATTTTTTGGAGAGAAGCCAACTCTGCGTTTCTCAAACATAAAAATAGTCATCAGGCTGTTATATAATCAACTTCTGGAAGTGCAGACGTTTTGGTTCATTTGCTATAGTCTGCTAGTTCTGATAACCTGACGTCCCCATGGTGCAGCCAAACAAAGAGACGACTTAAAGGTGGGGTTGGCAGGAATCCGTTAAAGAAACATCTTTTTTGTGGTGTTTATACAAAAAAACGTTTGTTATGCTTTTATTTTGATGTTTTTGTTGTTGCTTTATTTCCTGAATTATAAACCAGAGCTTTTATTTTGAAATACAAGCCACCTTAGATAGAAATGTTTGATTAAGAGGTAGAGATGGAGGCTTGAGTTTGATACTTGGACTTGGTTTGTTGTTCTGTTTTGACACTTGATATCGCTGCGTTTTGTTATGTCTGTGTAGTCAACATTTTAAAATTTCAGAGCGGTCCGCTCTTTCTGACTGTAAACAAAGCTGTTCCCTGCCTCCCCCATCCTGATTGGTTGTGAGGCAGACGCTGCTCCCCCGTGTCGTTCAGGAGCCCAAACAAAGTTAGCGTGCTACAATATCGGACAGTAGAAACCAACCAGAAAGTTCGGAAAATTGTCTGAATCCTCCTTTAGCCACAACTGCCGACACAAGAAAGACAACGAACTAAATACCACTAAATAAGAGCTAAAAAGCCGGGTCAACATAAACGATGGGGGACGCTTGGGGATCTTGGTGACCCTGTAACCTTTCTGCTGGACAGGTAAACCGCTTTAACAAAGTAAGACAAGTGTCTGTAACAGAAGTGTTTCTTGTCAAACGGACCTGCTGTAGCGTGTTGTAGCGCCATCGCTAAACTGTTGACCTCGGGTCCTGGACTATGTCACTTTATCCTCGTTGTAGAAGTCCTGCAAACATTGTGTTTGCTGGTAGTCTGTTGGCATCTACAGTAGCACCAGTGCTTTTGACTTTCACCTTGACTGGGCCCCATTTGTAATTATCTGAGGAGGAGCTGAGGGGAAAACTGGTCGGGAGGGGTAAAGTTTACATTCAAGATTTCTCCTAAAAACTGGCACTACCTCAGATCCTGAAGACCCCACCTTTAAGTTGCGTCTTAACTAGTTGAAATGTAGTTTACACTCTAACCTCCTCACTGCATTGTGCTCAGCGTGTGTCAGCCCACCTCTGGCTCCCCTCTGGCTCTTAATCACCTCCTCCTACGCACTCAGGTGTACAGCAATCAGAGAAAGGACGGATGAGAGACAAACAGTGACAAAGAGAGAGAGAGACCTACACTTATAGTCAGATCTGACCTTGGACTGGTCCCTTACTCTGCTGCTGTAAGCCCAGGCTCAGTGTTGGGCGTGAAGTCATTCATTGATTGCGCTCATATTTTGGTTGAAAGATGAACCGAGCGCCCCCGTTTGCAAATCATGTACAGGAACGTGAGTGTAGATCACTCTGGAGATGTTTAAAGATCCCGGGAGGATCCCAGAGCTGCTGTGAGTCACTGAACACGGGGAACGACGACAGGCTCAGCACTGAGGTTAGTTTTGCTGATGAACATGTGAAGGAGCTTCATGAACAGATCAGGACTGATTCCACGGGGATAAAAAACTCAGGAAGGTGTAGCTTTTTGAGAGTGAAGAATAATTCACTTTTTGTGTTTGTTTGGTCTATGGTGTATTTATGGGATTGTGAAAACCATCTCATCAATTATGAAGCAGATTTTTACTGAGTGTTGGGATGTTAAAGTCAGAGCCTTAAACCAAATATTCTGCCGGTGAATTATAGGTTTTTGTGTGTTTATGAGTTTTCAAAGAAGTGGATTTTTCTTCAGTGTTTTACTGGTGAGACATCATCAAATTTTCTTGGCTTTTAAACTTGATTTCTGTCCATGATTCAACAGCAGATTTCAGTAATTCATCGAGTTTAGGAACCATCAGATTTGAAGCAGATGGGCTGTACGAAGATTATTACATTAAAGGTGGAAAAGTGATGAAAGCTTAGTCGAAAGTTAAAAAAAATGAAGTGTGAACACGAACTAGCTCATTTTAATCTGTGTGAACTGAACTTGGAGTGGGCTCATTTTTAGTGTGAACTTGCACAGCACTGCTCAGATAGCTGAGGACTCACCACACAGAGGTCTTGTCTCTCCTCTCTCTGAATCTGTACACGTTCATCCTCCTTTAATGCTCGTTTCCCTGGATCTTCTGGGGGTTTTTGAGCCTCCGTGTCTCAAAGGTTCTGGTGGATTTTTGCTGCACACCATCTGCTGCCATGGCTCTGCTTAACCCCAACAGCAACAATTATTATTAGTCATATTTATGTGATAAATTATTACTTAGTATATTTTTTATATGCAGATGTCATTTCTGTAAAGGTTGGCTCAGAGGAGACATTGCAATATAAGTAAAATTTGTTAAAGGCGCCTTTGAGGAGCTTTTGGGGCTAAAACTTTGGAATACAGATCTGAATAAGGGCTTTACCAACTTACTAGTACAGACAATAACTGTCTTTTTGGGAGAATATAATACTGATATTTGTTATAGATCAGTAAACAGTGACAACGTGAGTTTTAAGTCTTTACTAACCTCGCTGCCTCCTCGCTGGGTGACGCCACTCTGAGAACAGCACCCTCTGGTGACAGGCTGCAGTATAGGTCATAAATTCCGCCTCTGCCAGCAAAAGCGTATGGAGCTGTGGACGAACTTAAATAGCCAATATAGATTTTCCTCCCTCCTGGTTGTGATGTTGACATGTAGTTCCTGTCAGACTGGTTTGTTTTCAAGTCCTCTTTTTTCTGTACAGCTCCGTTTTTAAAAGTTATTAGGGGGTTCATGTTTTCTATGATTGATGCTTCATACAGCCTATGAGCGTACGAAGATTGCGTAGCTCACCAGGGGGATACGCTGTTTGAACCGAGCGTCATTACAGCGACTCTCCCGCCGAATACGTACAACGCTACTGCGCAATGTTGGTTTCAGGAAATGGGAAAAGAAACACGGAATTACCGAGAACTTTTTGGCTTCAAATCTGGCGGAAGGCGGGACCAAGTTGTCCATAGTAAATACAGTCTATGCTCAGAAACAACTGCAGTTAGCAAGCTAGCTTGTAGCAGCTCTCTGAGGGATGACTCGGGACTTTTTCAAAACTGAAATTCAAAGATTAATTGTGACTGTAAAAACAATATCAGAATATATTCTCCTCTAATCAAGCAATAATTTACATGTTCTTACCGTTCTTTTAAATCGTTTTCACTCAGATTCGCGACTGTCGGCTTACCGGAAGTAGCATGTCCTTCAAAAGAAAAGCACGATTTCACCATACTAGAAATAAACCAGAAAAGAGATCAAAATAAAAGCATGATAAACAAATGTTTAACGGGACAATATTTTCTTCAAACAAGTTTCAGTCACAGGACTAGTGATGTGGATACACTATAAATTTGAACATCGTTAAAAAAGGATGATGACATGTCAGTTAATTGTTCTTATTGGTAAAGTCTATGAAGTCTATGGTTGCTCTGCTCTTGTCTTGCCTTTCCTAAATTTGAAAGATGTTGGTTATTACACCTACACATAATTGTTTGGTGCATATGTATATCCTTTGTTGAATGATTCTGCAGGAATACAAAGAAAGTAAGCGCTCAAAAGTTGTTCTTAAAGTAGACTATTTATTAATTTACTCCCTCTGTAGCTGCTCAGGGCATCATGGGTTATGTTCCTGGATCAATAAAGAGACAATGTGAAATTATCAGACTGTGGAATCAAATACTAAATATGTCAGAAGAAAGGATTAAAAAGAAGAGTGAACTGCAGACCTCTCCCTGGGCTATAGAGCTCTATTCTACTTTGAAGAAAACAGAATTCTCTTTATGTACTGAAATAATTTACTCTGCAGAGTGAACACAGTCAGGAGGAAGTTACCTGCTAGGTTTGAGGAAAACTAGTTAAACGAGATTTTGTTCAGATTCAAATGAAGAGGATATATTCAAATCAGGCACAGCGATGGCACTGAGGCTTATGTAAGAGCAAATCTAACCAAAAGTCAGAGGTCTTCAGCTGCTCGGTTGAGAACAGAAATCCTTCCTCTTGCTCTTAAAGTCAGCAGATTTTGAAACACAGAGGAGGAACACAGACTGAAGATGAGGATGAATCACATTTTCTTTTCCATTGTTCTTTCTCTGATGAGCTGAGAACTCAGTCGTACAAAATGTCTGTTAAAAGTACTGATATGTGCAGGTGCACTGATGACAAAGGGTTAAAATGGCCATTTACTTACAATACTTACAAGCCAGCCTCCTTCTGATTGGTGGTCAGCCTCCCTGCTGTCTGTCTGAAAAAACACAGCTGAAGTGGACTCTTGAATGCTCTAATAATGACAACATTATGAAATACCCCCTCTGGAGCTCTTTGCATGGAAAATACATGACAAATGGCTCTCTTTATGGCATTGAAACATAACAGAGTGCCCTATAGAAGCCCTTCCAGTGGATATAATATAAAGATTTGACCCTTCAGATGCCCTCTTAGTACATAAAAGGTAAACACTGAATATTGAAGAGAGGCTTCTGGGTGTTTTTTTCAGCAGGATTTATACTCCCTGAATGCCCTTCCTGTGGATCTTATATGGTTAATCTCCTATTAGTAAATATAAAGGATACATTTAGCTGATCTTACCAGAATGCAAGCATCATTCAGGAGGTAGCGTTCATTTCTAGAGTTATAAATCAATTATTTTGCGTTAATATTTAAAAATCTTACCACTTTATGTTGCATAAAAATTCACCAGACTGTGGGGAATTAAGGGAAAGGTGCTCATAATTTTCTGTAGGTGCCTGTGCTTCAAAAACTTTCCCAGTTCTCTCACCTCTGGCTTACTTTCGGTCAAGGGTTTGTAAAACAACATTTTTACCAGCCCATTATTTTTGACAGGCTCCAAACAGTTCTGTTGAGCAACTACCCTGTGAACACAAAACACCAAAGAGAGTCGGGAAAGTAGAGGGCTTCAAAACGCAGCGAGAGGCACAGCTCGGGTGCCTCAGATTAGTTTGTTTTTATAATTTATACGTCTTCTTTGCTCTCTGGTCTTTGTGTGTGAACAGCCTGCTGGGCTGGGTGTATTGTTTATGCATGACACAATAATAAAAATCAAATCGATCAATACTGTCCTCACTGAGTCTACAATAGGTAACGGTAACAGATCGGTCTGGTTCGGCTCATCGATTTTTTTCTGCGCCACTGTTGCCAAATGGAGCGTGCTAATGGTGGGTTAATGTGGATCTTTCCGGTCTCAACCTGCTCTGATCAGGCCTCAGAACTGCAGCAGCGGCTCCAGGATATCACACAACAGAAGTTAGCAGCTAAGTCAGTCAAACTGAGGCTGGGTTTGTGATCTAACATCGAGCTCGTCCACAGAAAAGGGCTGTGGGTGGGTGCTGCTATGACCAATTGCAAACACGAACAAGTCAAATGGCAAAGGATTAGTAGATTTCACAAATAAATATGAGAGGAATTAAACTCGTAATCTTGGCAGTGACCAACAACACTGTAGGGACAACAGGCATATATTTACACATGAGGAGATAGATGGATTTCTTTATCAAACCCGGAGGGTAATTAGATTCTTATAGCGGCTAATGACATTTAAAATTACTATATAAGAAAAGGACACAAAGACTTACCTTAGAACGTGAGCAGCTGTACACAGACTATAATTATAAAGCGAAAGTTAAGATTATAATATCAGTCTTCATCAGGACACACGTAGTTCTGGCTATAATTAGTGCTGTATAATACATCTGATTAATGGGCTGCTTAAATGGATTCTTATGTCTTGTCTGGCAGCTTGTTTCAGCCGCAGCCCCGGTGTCGTCAAACAGAGTTTAGAGCCGATAAAAAATTCATATGAAAAGTTCATTTCAAAGAGCGGAGAAGGCTAACTTTGAATCTTAAAAGAACAAGAACAAGGTTGTGGTGCTTCAATCAGTCTGTGTTGTGTTATGATAGCAACACAAGTGGAAAGTAGTTTTATTTTTTAAATCAGAGCCTTTTCATTTTCATGTTGTTATTGTCTGTGAAAAGGATTTTATTAAATCCCTTTGACGGCAAAAACTCGTCTCATTTCGAGTCAAAATATCTCCATAAACTCACATGAATCCTGACTAATAAAATATGAATGTTTTTTGAGGTATTGAAAGCCAGAATTAGCGCTTTACATTTGACATATTACAGTTAATGATAGCAATCCTCTCTGCACAGCTAACTCTGACTGAAGAGAGCAGGGACCGTCTGCAAAGTGTAATCCTGATACAAGATGCTGCAAAAATATTGAGTTACTGCACGCTGCATTCCAACCACCTCATACATTAATGCTGTTGGTTATAGTTCAAGGATGAGTTTGGTTATATATGTTTTCACATGGTTTCAGGGTCATATCTGACTCCCCACTCGGCACTCTGAGTGCATTACAAATACTGTACTGTTAGGTTTTATTTCAGTAGATTTACAGACAGGTTTTTTTTTTACTTGTATTTGGACATTTTTAAGTAAGTTTAGTTTGCTTCCCACCTTTGGAAAGGGCACAACAAATACATCTTTTAATTTTAATCTGAGGAAGTCGTACGGTATTCTAGTCAGGACTTAAAATCCTAGACTCATACATCAAGACTATTTTCCCCCAGATAGTGTTTAAATACAGATTTATTTCTTATCTTAAATCAAAGCATTCTCTATACTCGGTTAGGTATCTGCAGTGTTATGAATACAGAGTAAGGCTACTGCAAGAAATATCCAGTACTGTGGAAAGGTAGCTTTGCTTTGTTCGACCCACGAGCTCTCTCAGTTGAAGACAAAGGAGCGCTGCTTCAGTCTATTCATGAGAAACCAAGGTGGCATCTTTCTTCACTTGAAGGCCGATTGAATCAGTTATTATTGCAGCTGTTTTCAAGACGCACTTTTAAGAAAATCCTGTTTTTCTTGTTGTCTACATGTTCATACGGCATTTTTCTGATGCTACAGGATATATGAGTATTTCTTTGTTCAAATCGCCGTAAATCTATAGCAGACCCAAATGGTAGGTTCGGAAACAGCGAGATTTCCTATGTCACAAATCCAAGCTCCGCCTCTTGAGCCCTGCTATGAAGGCCAGACTCAAAGAAGTACAGAGGGCGATCACGGAACAAGCGTGTGTGTTAGCGGATTGCAATGATCATAAGAAAGCTAATTATGATATTAACTTTCATTGTGTCCCTAAAAACATTAGTGTCCCAGAGCTGAATAGCTTCTATGTTACCTGCCACTTCCACTACACCGACAATGTTGGGCTGCAAGCTAATGTGAAGACGAGTGTGCAGAGCAGCGCTGTCTCCGCCCACGACTCAGAGGTGAATTGTTAATAAACTACTGGAGCTCTGCAGAAGAAAAGCCCTTGAAAATGACACAAATAACGTGATTGTGGTGAAAAACTTCATAATTACGACTTAAAGACCACTGAGAACATTTAAAGTAGTAAAAATAACAATCGGAGTGGGACTGTAAATGAAACGGGAGATGCATTTTCATTAAAACAAGAACAAACCACCACCACACATTAAGTGACGTCTTTCTTTCCTCTTCATGCCTCGGTCTGTTTACATTTCTACCGCTCTGTGTTAAATCCCATACTTTGTTAAAGTGCTCAGTTATTAGTCTATACTGTTTAATCGCTTCTAAAGTATTATCTGCAAACACTACCCTAAAAAACAAACTAAATCGAATGTTTCAGACACATGAACCAAGGTGAACTCGTCTGACAGCGACTGGAATACGATCAACGCAGTGACTTTATGTTACAAAAGAGGCAATAACTTTAGTTAAAGTTGGAAACAATTAGCAGGCCATTCGCTGACACGGGACAGCCAAGTGGGTTTTGTCATTCTGTGCGACCTCTCTCATGACACATTTGGTCATTTGATCGATTGTAAATGTAAAAATATTGATTAGATCAGCTTTGACTTATTATTTCCTGAGCCTTGTAATAACAAATCAGACTTTAAATCAATCTGTGAATCATAAAGTAGCCCGTTAAGAAGCAAGGACGAGCGGGAGGCATCATTCAATGACCTCGCATAATATCTGAAGGTCTTAGATTTATCTGTGTCTCTCACCCCGAGAGAGAGAGAGACACACACACACACATGCACACACACACGCCCACAGCCTCCATCCAGATGAATGGGCGGTGTGGGTGGACTGCCAGCTCTGAATCGAGCCGGCCGTTTGAACTGGAGAGAAAAGAGATTCTGGAATCCGGTGGGCTAAAAAGACTGAGATACTTGGTGCTTTACATTTGTGATTCTGCTGAACTGTGAACTTCAGGCACAGAAGCTCCTGTGAAGACAAACACAGACACACAAGAACTCTCAGCACAGCGAGCGAGGCTTAGGTGGGCTACACTTTCCCACCTGTGCAGTCTATCTCCAACATTCGGATGAACATTTGGAAAAGCAGGGTGGATTTGGAGAACTGGTTACACAACCAAAATACTGTTTTTTCTGTCCAGATAGTTGGGTAACTGAAGAGTCCTTTTTTCACGGAGAAAAAAAAAGTAATAACAGGAGATAAAACCCAGTCACAAAAATGCACTCATGGGAGACGGCACAATATAGCGAATATGATATTCATAGATTTTTACCGCTCTGTTTTTCCTTATCATTCTCATCCTGCTATAGATTCTCTTTCACCTCTGAGCCAATGTTTTCCCAGATGAAAAATAAACCCGTGTGTTGAGTTTGGTCATGAGTAAAGACGAAGAAGCTCGGTATTGAGGAGAGCGCGCGGTCTCATTTGTTATGTTGCAGCTGGAGCGTTGTTGTTGTGGAGGAGTTCGATATCCAGTGTGTATGTGTGATAAGGTGCTGGATGCTCGAGCAGTTTGCACGGGTCAATCCTCATCAAGATGTTTAATGAGAGTTTTAATGACCCGCTGCACAAAATTAGCCGAGGGGATTGAACGAGGCTGCAGACTTTCAGAGAAGTCCAGTTGTTCGAACCTGCTCAGAGTTACAAAAGAGCCGTTTTATCGACAACGCTTCGGTCTCAGACTTCAGGTTTTATTATAAAGGAGCCCCACGTGGTTTAGATTAACTCACTCTTGATACCTGTTGGAGAGAAGACGTCGAAGATCTTCTTATAAATCAAGTATAAATTATTCAAAGTCCAAATCAAGTTGTAAAAACGTGTTTACGGTTTTTCCAGGTGAATTAAGACTTGGAGAATAAGTCGTTTTAAACGTGGTGACGGCAGCAGATGAATTCAGTTGGGGTTTTTTTTCAGGATGCAGAGGACATGCATGTTCATTATCACTCAGTCAGTGTGTTTACATGCACAGCTTCATCGGACTAAGGTCGTATTTTTTTTTTTTTTTTTCGCCAAATCAGACTTCTCTCCTTGGCCGCAGCTGAGAAAATTGAATTATTGACGTGAACATGTCCTCCTACCCAAAACTAGGGGGCAATATACCCAACAACAACAGCAGGTCCGTGTCAGACGTCAGAAGTGTCTACAACTGCTGCTGGGCATTTTGATCCTCTTTATCACCTCAGTCTGACCATCCCCCACTCTACCTGAGGCCTGATGAGACAAACTTCTGCAACATAAACTTAAACAGACACAAAAATGCTAATAAAGGATTTCTCAAGATTGTCCCGACATGCATGGAGAACAAATCTTCATCGTTGAAGACTGTTTTCAGCAGGTGACGTGTTCATTTGTGGAATAATTAAGTGTAACAAGACAGTGATGAAACCGGGGCTGACAGCTGACATTTAACCAGCTCACCTTTTGTATCCAAACCTATGAAGCTTTCCTGGTAAATGAATTCAAACAACAAAGGAGGACCAGACCTACAGAGTCCCAGAGACCTCAATAAAGTAAATAGCCACACACTTAAGCTCGTAAGTCCTAAAAGCGCACAGTGGATAGAGTAGGACATGGAGAGAGAGCGAGGGTGACATGTGCCGCGAGCTGGAGAGTCACTTTGAACTAAAAAAAAACAGCCAACTGGGAAGTAGGCTGACCGAAGAGGGAAGCACAACAAACGCAGCCGTGACGAAGTTGGCAAACAAACATGAAGCATAAAGTCCGACAGAAACCAGAAATAGAAAAAGTAACTTGTTGATTTGTGTCAACACGTCCCGGAAACGTCCTGTACCTCAGAGATAATCTTGTATATTACTCAGAACTTCAGCCAAGCTGTTGTGTGATATTATCCCTGCTTTCTTAAGAGATGAGTGTATCCACTTGTGAGCATTTTATAAATATTTACGCCGCCAGAATGATCAACAAAGCGGTGGCTTTGGTTTCCCCTCGGAGAGAAAGAAGAAGGGGAATCTACGTCCTCACTCTTCAAATGTTTATGAGTATCAACGAACAGCAGCTCCGTCTGCAAATATGGAGATCTGTGCAGCTTTTAATGTATGACCTCTAAACATGAGCATGTTTTATGGATTTATACGCTGGTTAAGAGCTCGTTTTGCATGTCATGTACACATAATAGCATGTTAAAATATTACTGTAATGATTAAACAAAGCCCAGACTACATGGAGAGGTTAGAGCCGCACTTACTTTCAAATGACCAAATCAAGACCTGGCTTTCATTTTTGAGTCTACCTGCTCATCAGGTATGCATGCATGCATTTATCCGGGCATGGTGTAAGGTTGATAAATAAATAAAAGCTGTTTAAAATGTTAAAACGTCTTTCTAGTCTAACCAGGCAAAGCAATTTGCAATGACAACAGTGGCTCCACATGACTACACAAATTATCATATCATTATTGAGATGACTGCATTAAGGGCAGAGTGCATGGAAATGTGTTTTAATGAAAATATTTACATATTACCTACGGTATGAAAATTAAAAAGTAATAATGATAAAATAAGTGAATGAAAAACCAAACAGTGGTGATTTTTTCCCTCTTCCTTTAAATTCTCCTCAGCTAGCGGCTAATTAATCCGCTCACTTCTGCTTTGCTGCAGTAATCAGTAATCATGACTGTGTGCAGAGACTCACCGCGTCTCATGAGGAACACTGAATGCAAAGGGTATTTCACAGGCGGGCCCTTGTTCATAAATGTCACAGGTTATAGATTAGGCTGGGAAATTGTAGAGAAATCATTACCTGAAGTGATGAGGGTGTAATTGATGTTAATATTGCATTGAATTGTGGAGGAGTAATTGTAGTCGGCGGTCAGCGGCTCGTCTCTCTTTCTTTTTTAAAACACGACCATCATCTCTAAAGACGTATTTGTCACATTTCACCAAAAACCATCAGGAGCTGGCTCTCGAATCAGGAGGCTTGGAAACAACAATGAAGCCTGATTGTGAGTCCTCCAGCAGTCACACCTACCCCGGTCTGAACAATACACCATCGCACAGTTTGTCAACTGAGATGACTCGTCCATAGGTGAAAGTTTTACCGCCTCATTGGCCAAAATGAGCGACAGCCAAAGGAGAGGAAATTGAATTCTCGAGCCAGGGCCGCGCCGAAAGTGAAAACAGCATTAAAACGAGGCTCGCAAATGTGACACCGTGAAGGCGCTTGTGCTGACGGATCTTTGTTCTGATTAGCGAAACAAGCCCTGCAGAAAATGGGTTTGTATTATTTATGCCACAGAGTCAGCGGCTGCCAGTAGACGCCATGGATTACTGAACACTTTACACCACTTTACAAACAAGTGAAGAAGAAACTGCTTTAAGAGAGAGATCAGAGCGGGGAAATCCCAGCCCAGCTCCGAGCCTTGACTTCTTAAACCCCTGTGATCCGGCTGCATTTTTACTGGCCTCTAACAACATTCAGCGCGGAGTCTCACTGGTAATAAAAGTGGGTTCGGTACTTTTTATCTTTATTAGGATGTTTCAGAGGACTGTGGCGCTGCATGTCTGCGCCGCGCTAATGCCGTCATCGCTCATGTGGTAACAAAGGAGCTGAGGGATGTGAGCCTGAGGGACCTGTGTCAGGAGAAGTCCCAGAGCAGTAAACACTTAATAAGAGCTCTCTATATTACAGCTCTTTATGCTGGCAGGATCTGTGGTTGCTGCATGTTGGAATCGAAGCATTTGGAGGTGCGAATATCAAAGTCGAGTTTAAGATGATGAGTTATTTTGCATTTTCTATCAGCTCCACTAAATACAAACATCAGAGCTGCAGAGAACCTGGATGAAATGTACCTTTTCTCGCATGTTTTATTCATTATTTCTTTGTTCCAGATTCGTCAACTCAACCTGTCTGTCTGTCACGCAGGCAGCTGTCAAATCAAAAAGAGTGTATTTGGAAAAAGAGGAGAAGTCTGTGTGTGTGTGTGTGTGTGTGTACTTCTGTCTGAGGCGACCAAACAGAGAAGTGGATAACTTTCCTCTTTCTGCCTGAAAAGCGGATCCTCTTGTGGACACAGGCTGGTCGTCTTTATCATAGCGACCGCGCTGACGCTTTATTACCCAGGAAGCAACAATATGACGGGCCGCCCTGCTTATAAATCTTATAGGTTTAATTGTTGTTGGTTTTTACTTGATTTCCCCGGTGTGGGGCGCAGAGCCGGAGAAGAAGAAGCGGGGGAAATAAATCAAAGTAACAATGAGCCCCCCTCTCTAAAGAAAGCTCCATATTACTGTTACATCATCATCATCATACTGTGAGCATGCACCGCGTGCGTTAGATCCCAGACAACTTCATCTAACTTCAAATCTGTGGCTACAACATCCATAAATATTACAGCGAGCTCTGAATGATGCAGACATCTCGTCAGAAGGGTGTAAAAACGCAGCGTTAAAGGTCAGGCTGTTAACCGGGTTTAAGCTGCAAATGATTTCTTGATGTTGAGTAAACCGAAGCCGCTCTGGGATCAGTGTTAATGGACGAGAAAGTAAATCATAAAATGTGATAAATTAGAGGAGATGTCAGGGGCAACCTTTCCAGGCCTGGGTCTCGTATTATACAACATTTCTGCGAGGATTTCACGCTTATAGAAAAGATGTTTTATTGTGAGAAACCTCCTGACCAGCAGAATCGTAGCAGACGCAGAAATCACGGCTGAGTGAAAGATACACTCTGACTAGACAGACCACACAATGAATATATTTGTTGACTGATGGAGGTTCCTGCCTCCCCCTGGAGCAAAAAGACATCCAGACAAATTTAAATTCTTGCTTTCATTAAAGCGTCCCGTAGATGTCGGAGTCTCGGGTGAGTAATGAATTGGAAAGATGAATATGAATGAGAATAAATGAATAAGTTACAGTACAGAATCATTTCTTCAAAACTATTTCCAAACGCTTTGTGTCGTCTCGATAGAACAAGGATGTTATTCACGCTGAGAGGTCTTTTTGACCACCGCACTTTGACGCGAACAAAGCCGCCCGGACTCTCCCTCCTCCTGGGACGTGTGACAAAAGCTGTAGAGCATTAATATTCAAATGAATTTCACAGGTGGCGTCCGGCGCATAAAAGGTGGAGTAACAGAGAAATCCTGCTTCAGAGCGGGACAACTTCTCCAGCCCTCCCGAACTGAAAACACCGTCTTTGAACGCTTTCATACTTGGCTGACTCGATTTCCAAGACAGGTTAATCTTTTAAATGTAATTACCTGAAACTTCTTTTAACAAGCAAGCTCATGGGGACAACATGTGCTGCTTAAAACCGCATAAGAGCAGATGTGATGCTGCTTCTTGTTAAGACAAGGAAGGAATAAGCTCCTTTTTCCGTCTCTGGATCCTTCAGGCTCGATCATCCATGAAGAGAGGATGGTCGATGGGAAGAGAAAATGAAATTTGGAGTGCAACTTCCAACAAAACGAGCTCATGTTTCATCTTTCTTTGCACACTCAAACATGACTGAAGCCTCCTTAAATCAACCTCCTCATGACCAGTCTGGAAAAGAGACGTTTTCATCTTCTCACGTACATTTCCTAACAGTTTTGGCGCTGGGTGTCAAAGGTCCATGACTCAAAGTGGGCATGTCGCCACCTACCTTTGCAGAGGCCGACACGTTTCGGTCGATAGTTCGATTCCTGCCCGGTGCTTGTAAACCGGGACAAGGACAGTCGAACAGTTTTACTGCAAACTCGAGCAATAACCGTAGTTCAACTTAACTGTGCATGTCTGACATCGAGGGGCGGGAGAGAGACACGGCGAGCAAATATGCAGTACAGTAAGAAAAGTTGGACAACAACTGAGGCAGTGATACGACGACTTTCTTAAAGCCCCAGTGAGGAGTTTTTAGCTGGTTACGAAACAGACTGAAACCAGTTTAGATGTTTTTTTACCACCTACAAGAGTAAACAAGACTGATAACTAATTTAAAGTTTTCTAACTTTGGGGGTAGGTTTCAGATTAATAGATCAAATTAATAGTAGAAACTTAAGAGTTAAAATCAAACATCTTTATTGGAAGTGCTTTATTTACATGCGTCAATTTGTGTAGCTCCAATTTACAATAAATGTCATTTCAAGAGGTTTTATAAAAAGAGCTGGAGTAGACCACAGTCCTCATTATATTTACAAAGACCAACATCAATATGGGAGAAGATTCAGTCCAGAACTGTAGGATCAGACTCACTCTGATCCGTCTTAATCCACCACTTAGCAGCATTTAACACAGTCCAGCGAACATGATCACATTTGGTTCTATTTGAATTAAACGAGTTAATTTCAAATGATTTATCATTATTGTCATTTAAGGTTGTTTTTACTTCAGATAAACAAGATTTCAGAGCGAGTCCGTCTTTAAAACAAAAAGGTTTGGTGGTCCCATTATCAGGGTCGTCTCATATTTAAACTGGGGTCGGTGAAGGTACCAGATGAGCTCGGTTAAAAGACCCTTGTGGTTTCCTTCTGTTCATTCAGTTGACCTCAAAGCTTTTCTTTTGAGGCTTCAATTGTAAATGTTCACTTTTCTCAAGGAAGAAAAAAGTTCACAGGATATGATAGATAGTTTTGATTTTATCTGCATAAAAGAGGTGGTAGTCCGGCTGTCGTAAGTCTCCTTCGATAGATTTCTTCATATAATTCGTCCATGTTTTCGCAGAAGAACTACAATCCCATGAAACCTTATCGTAATGTCCAGACCAATCACAATCTTCTACATCATCCAAACCAACTTCCAGCCAATCATATAGCATGACATCATCAATAGGAATCTCTGGCAGGTTCAGACACAGTGAGATTTCCTACATCACAAATCCAAGCTCCGCCCCCTGAGCCCCGCTATGCAGGTCAGACTCAGAGAAGTAGAGAGGACTATCATGGATTGCAATGCTCATGAGAAAGCTAATTAAGATATTAACTTTCATTATGTCCCTAAAGACATTAGTCACTTCTACTACACCGACAATGTTAGGCTGCAAGCTAGCTTGAGTGTGCAGAGCAGCGCTGTCTCCGCCCACGACCCAGAGGCGAAAAGGTAATGAGTTACTGGAGCTCTGCAGAAGAAAAGTCCTTGAAAATGACACAGGTAACATGATTTTGGCTGAAAACTTCATAATCACAATTTAAAGACCACTGAGACACTTTAAGTAGTAAAAAAATATGATGGGACTTTAACCTCCTCTCTGATCAGCTGGTTTCTCTGTTAAACTGTAAACCAGCTGATGTTGTAAAGGTGTCCTGATGAGACTCTAACTCCTGAGACTCTTATAAAAACACCCAAAAGCGTCCTGTAATATGGCGGCTGGTACAGCAGCTCCTGTGGCGTCCTCAATGAACTGAATCCACCCATGAGCGCCTTCAAAGCTCACTAATTACAAAGTTTTAATCAAGGATTTAATCAGGACAGAAAAACCTGAGCTGAAAAGTCCTGCAGTGTTTTGGTCACTCTGCGGTTGCCAGGCAACCAGCAAAGACTTCAGGGAAGTTATCAGTCCAGTAGCAAAACAGTCCAGGACATAATCCACCTGGTTTTTACACTACAGCGAACTATCCTCGATTTCATCCAGTTACGAGTCCTCACGCTAATGTGGGCTAACAGCTCCTGTCTGCAGCTCCGACGAGAGAGGACAGACCAAAGAACAGGCTCTCAATCTTCTCCTGTAACTCCCAGTAAGAGACACACACACACACAATCAGGAGAGTCTGGATCTGTTTCATCACATTATCTCCCCCGCAACTGAATCCAAGCCACCAGATGAAGATTAAATGTTTATTTGAGATAAATTGTCGATAAAATCCATTTACTTTATTGTTCCTGGCTCCCGAATCCCAAGAGTAACCTCTGGCAAAGATATCAAAACATTGCACACGTCTTACGTTAGAAAAGATCCCCTGTGAGAGATGTAAATCAAAATTTCATGCCTGCCAGAGAGGACTAAGCAGCTCACCCCTCACAGAGAAATCCCTCTGCGTTCCTCCGTGTTTTCAGGCCTGCTTTCTGTTTTTGGTCTTGCTCGTCTGCTCCGAGCACCGTGTGGTTGGAGGAACCTTTAGAAACATGTTTTTTTTCCTTTCTCTCATTCTGCAGGTAGAGTGCGGTTTTATTTGTGCATTGTTATACTGAGTCAATACTGTGCACTCCCACATTTCTCATACAAACAAATACGCTCGCTTTAATGATCTGCAGGAGCAGCTCTGTAATCAGCATCCTTCTCTTAGCCACACACACCGCAAGATTTCCAAAACACCGGCTTTTCATCAGTCACGACATGACAAATCAAACACTAATTACAATATACCGACAAAACTAGATCAACAAATCATTTGTTCTGGTTAGATTTAATTTTTGTATGGCCTAGCAGATTTTCCCATTGGCCCTCAAAAGAAATTCATCATATATGCAGGAGCTGGAAACTAAATATATGGATATAAATTCTGTTGGCAGCCTGCCTCCATTCCTGCCTGGAGGCTAAAGAAAGCCTGAGTCATGTTTGGAAAGTGAATTATAGGAGAATATAAATCCTTATCAGAACAACCTTTGACCGGCGTGAAACTTTTCAAACAGGCTGAGCGTGTGACGTGTGAAAATATGACCTGATAACAAAAGAGGGGGAATCAATCCAAGTGAAGAAGTGACAGCTGCGAGGGAAAGAGGCTGTAAATAAGTGCTTTAAAATCAACTCTCACAGCAGGAAGTGCTCCTTTTTTGGTCGCTCCTGCACGTTAGTTCCAGCTCTGACTAATCCTGCCTGGTTTAACACATGCATATATGTCCCCTGGCGCAGGTTAATTTTCTCTCTTCACAGCGAGCAAATCGGGAAAAAAGAAAAACAAGGCGGCGAGGAAGGGAAGGAGAGGGCTGTAAGAAGGCAGAGACCATGTGGGTGATATCTTCCTAATAGCATAACAGCTTTGACCCGTAACACGCTGTCCTGTTCTCGTCTGCCTCCATTCTCCCTTTCCTTTCTCACAGCGCCGCAGCGTTATTCCCAAACTGACAGAGACCACAGAGTTACATAAAAGCAGGATTCTTAATCTGTTTTTGGTTTCAGGGACTGGAATGTGTTTTTGTCTCCTGGACAAGCGAAGAAAAAGCATCGCCTGCTCGCGCTGAAAGCAAACCTGTTTACCAGAAAAAACTGAAAGTATAAAGAAGCTCATCTCAGCAGCGGCTCAGTTATGGAGCGAAGACTGAATTGGGGCTCCTTTACCCTGAGTGTGAGGTGTGTAACCCAGATAGAATCAATACTTTTGTCGATACTTCAGTGCCAGGAGAGGATTGAAAAGAAGGGAGGCAGAAAACAAGAAACATGATGGAGAATATGTCAGCTCGTCTCCACAGAAATGCAGAGCATCAATCCCTCGGTGCGTGACTGTGGAGGGGGATGCACCTGCTGTCGATATTCTCTTCACACACAATCATTTATCAGTCAACAGTGTTTCTTTTAATTATACAGTCATTGTCACACAGAATGTCAAGTACCAGTATTGTCATGTCTGTACACAAACAATGCTTAATCATAATGAAAGGAATCATAAATACAAAATCCAATATGAAAATTAACAACATCTCATGTCTGCCATCATCACGTCCTCGTCTCCATGTCATCACATACTGAGGCTTTGTCACATCCTTTGGGTGTCACACTGAGGCTGCTGCTCTCCGTCCAAGACGTGGTTCATGTCAAACTATTGACTGTACGTGGGGTGGACATCTCGCCCTCATTTATATCAGCTGAGTGAGATTTAGAGTCAGGACATCGCATTGATGGGCGCTGATAAATAACCCCGCTGCAGTCGATTTGTGCCGAAGCGGTCTAACATACGTTTAACTTTACAGTGAAATTCTAAAGATCCGTCAGGTTAGAAGTCATGCTCTAATCCGAACCCTAACCCTAACCCTAACCCGAGCCAATTGATTCAGTAACAAACACTACAGGAGACTGCGTGAGTAAACAGAGCTGCAGTTAAAGTATAAATGCACATAAACCAGCATGAAAAGAAGTCGAAGAAAAACGTTTTTAACATGTTTTTTAATGTCAAAGTTTGTCTCCTGTTCCATCTGGTATAAAGGAGGAGTTGGACATTACAACCCATACTGCAGCCAGTCACCAGGGGGAGCTCTAAATGCTGTATAACGCACCTCTTATAGCTCTAGATTCGTCAGTCTGTGTGTCCAACGTTAATGTCAAAGTGGCAGGTCTGCAGCGTTTAAAATGAAGCCGGTCAGATCTAAAACTGGATCCAGTCTGAATTACTCCGATTTTTTTATAATACATGTGAAAATGTTGGTTTGACTAAAATCGAACTAAAAGAAAAACCTCATAATCAGACTTTAATATCCAGATAATGTGGCCGATTTTCTTGTTGCTAACCTCAGCCTTCTGCACATGCTCTGTATTTGCACCTCAGGTTTGACTCATAAGTTGAACAGCTTAAATGCGTCACAGGCAGCAAGAAGAGGAAAGGACTCAAACAAAACTAAACATACTAAAGTACAGATCTGTAAACCTGTCCATGTTTTCATCGTTCACCTTACAACTCATCGGACTCTCGCTAACCTGTTTGTTGATTGTTTTGGTAAACTAGAGCAGTGATCTGCGGTTAAATCCTCTTATCATGTTATAATCATACTTCAACTCAATTCAGCATGTAATTACACTGAACGTAAAAGTGCAAAAAGCTGCAGTTCCTCAAGTATCCACTTGGGGCTGGCTCAAAAAGCAAAGGAAACCCTTTAGAGCTGATGTTAAAATACTCATTTTTAGAGCAAAACTTAACATGGAGCCCGAACAGCGTGGTGCTAACGACATTTTTGTTTGGTGTACATTCAGAACATTTACACAGTAACATTGAGCTGCAGACAAAACTTGATTTGGCGATTTCACGTAAATACTCCTCGTCTAACTGTCTCCACGCACCAAGCGCGAGTAAAATCATTCACGCAAATGAATGACATGTTAAGTCAATGCAAAGACGCGATTAGATGCTCCTACTTCTCTGGCGACACGAATGACACGTCATTGTCTCAACTTGAGCGGATATCCCTGTCATGATAACTAATCAGCATGAAGGTTGTCGGGTGACGTATGAAAATGGATGGTTGTTTACTGGAGTCGAAAATGGAGGACAAACTGGTCGTGTTGGTGTGTGGGTGCTCTGAATTTTATGATACCTTTTCTTTCAATTACTGAAACCGGAATAAAAAGGAGTGAGGAGGTCAGATTACCTGGTAGGTCGTAAAAAACCTTTGTCTATCACTTAATCCCACCGGTTAAATCAGCAGGGATTACCGTTGAAATTACCGTTGATGCGTGAATAAAGTAAGTAGATACTACTCACTTATGCATCTAGATTCTTGCAAATTAAGCGAGTAGTTGGTTTAACTCGCACTTGGTGTGAGCCCCCCATAAATTTTTAATGCATGATTGACATAAGCATGTCCACCTCCGCTACAGTAGGTGGCGATATACCCTCTTTTAGCTCCTTTGCTAGTTGATGTTTTATGTATTGTAACATTTGGTAAAATGCATTAGCAAGAGGCTAACAGGATGTACATCAAACAATGGAAACATCACTTTTACAGCTCTGTAGGAAGTATCGAAGTCTTTATGTTCTTCCTGTCAAGAATTTGTTGCTTGCTAGCGACAAATTCACGCAAACCTGAGCATGTGCAGAACGCTTAGGTGAGCTTCAGTTTGATTTCGCCATTTACATAAAACCACAACCGCCTCATCCAGGTATGTTTCGACTAATTTGTTTACATTTTTTTAAGTCTACTTTCAGTCCGGCTACAAATTGATCGTACGTCTGTGGCCTGAGCCGCTCTTCTTTGTGTGTTTCAGCCTCCGCTAAAAAACTGTTGAATCAGCATTTCCAGTGTAGCGGCAGCCATCTTTGAGCTTTAAAACGTCAACACTGAATGAGATCTCTGAACTACATCCATGTCTTAGACGCTCTGCGGTTAAGGCAGTCGAAGCTACACTGAACTTTACGTAACATTTGGTTCCACAATGAAACTCCGGCCTTCAGGGCTACAGTTCATTGTTGTTTGGACCATCCATCATCACCTTCAGCCACCCTCGGCCGTCTTTCTACCGCTTCAATGACAGCAGTTACTCCAAATTTCTCCCAAAGTGACATAAATGGGTTTACGTGGGTTCGTCTGATGCCAAGGGCTGTGACAAAGAGGAGTATTTGATGTAATGGGAATGAAAACAGGCTGAGCCTTCGCTGGAACCCATAGTATATTTTTTTTTTTGTACAGCTCATAAATCGACAGCCTGAGATGAAACTCTTAGGTTTTGTTTTTAGGGTTTGGTACCACATCGAATCAAAATACAACTTTAAGCTCAATTAGACCGAATCGCTGAATGAAAGGAATCTAAAGTCGGGTGAATTAAACCATGCAAGAGATCTCAGATGGAGTATCCCCTCCTCTCTCTCCTCTCTCTCTCTCTCTTTTTGAAGGTAGTGCTTCTTCTTTTGATAGCTGCACAGGTTTGCTAAAAGCACATCAGTTGAATTGGAGAATTCAGTGAGAACAAGGTGCATCACTGTAAATCTTCAGACCACAAATCAATAACCCGGGAGATTATCGCCTCCTCCAGACAGCACACACACACACACACACACACACACACACACACACTCACACTCACACACACACACACGTCCTAATTGCTTTACAAGCTACACAGTAAAAATCAAAACTAGCAGGTACAAAGTGTCTCGGTCAGTTCGTTTGTTAAATGAAGATGTAGTCCGACTGAAAATGAGGTCAGTCTCTCTGCAGAGCTGACTTCTCCCGCTGCAGAGGTCCGGTGGTAACATTAGTTCAGACACAGCTAACCTGGCTGACCCCGCCGCTGTTCCCGTGTCAGTCAGGGTGATAATTAGCTCCAAATATATCTCCAGCTCCAGTCTTCTTCTCTGTGCACATAATTATATTGTACTATGCCTCCAAGTATTTCCCTCCGAGCTGCAGAATCTATCATCTCACATTAGAGATAAAAACCACTTAATCTTGTGGAAAAAAACCCTCTACCCCTGCTCAGTAACGGCAGCTTTAGTCTCTTTAGCTGGAATGTGCAGCAGCTCAGACTTCACACTCTATGGATCCTGATATGGTGCACGTGCACGGCCTCGCCGTCTCGTTCACCAGAGAATCCATGGCCTCTGAGTTTGAGTGGTAGCTCAGGTAGTATTCTTGCAGCTGAGAGTTAAGGTCCTGCTCCTGCTTACGAGCCTTTTTCCTGCGCTTGTGGTTGACGGAGTGCTGCTGCAGCTGCCTCATGGTGTTGGGGTAGCGCCTCCACGACACATAAATAACCAGGAGGATCAATGATACTGACAGGAACAGCGCTACGCTGCCTGCAATAATTTTATGGAAAGCCATATGTTCGAACTGTAGCTCTGGGATAAACGAGGTGGGGAGTTCAGGGGAGGCGGGGGACGTGGGGCTGGTAGTCGTGGACTCTGTGGTCTTTCTCTCCGTCCAGCTTGGGTGGACCGATGAAGGGGTTAATCCCTCATAAGGTGTGTCGGTAAAAAAATCCAGGTCTGCATAATCGGAGGGGGAGACGTCGGTTGTGATGTTCATCGCCTGAGTGGAAGTCAGGACGAGGAAAGCTGTGGTCGAAAGAACGTTTGACATTTCCGCACAGGTGGAGTGATTCCTCACGACATCCACCACCCGCTCCCCCTGCACAGACTTGGGGCTGCTGCAGATCATACTGATGTCTTTGGGGTCTTTGAAGTTTTTCAGCCATCCCATGAGCGGGCAGATGCTCGGGCTGCAGTCCCAGGAGTTCCCTGCCAGGCTGATGGTGGTCAGCGAGGTCCACGCCGCCACGGCCTCCAGAGGCACACTGCTGAGCTTGTTCGATTCCAGATTGAGCGTTTGTAAGTTGGGCATGCACTGGAAAACTGCAGGATCCAACATCTGGATCTCATTCCCAGACAGGTCCAGCTTCTGCAGTTTGCTCCAGGTCCAAGGCACACCTTGGTTGATCGATCGTATGCGGTTCCACTGTAAATAAAGAGCCTGCAGGTTGGTAAGGCGCGGGAAAATGTAGAAATTAATCCTGGAGAATTGATTGTGCTCTAAATGAAGCTCCTTCAGCTTGAACAGGCCTAAGAAGGTTGTGCGGGTCAGGCTCCGCAGGCGGTTATAACCCAAATCCAGAAACTCCAGGCTGCGGCACTCCAGAAATGTACGCAGGAAGATCTGTTTCAGGCCATTAGATCTGAGGTGGAGGTTTTGCAGCTTGCGCAGACCATAAAAATGTCCTGGCTGCAGAGACTGGAGCTGATTGTAGGATAAATCCAGATTACGCAGGTTCGGTATGGCGCTGAACGTGTTGTTGTGCAGATGGGAGATCTTGTTGGAGCTGAGGATCAGTTCCTTGAGCCTGCGTACGCCCTGGAAGGCCAAAGCATCGATGGTATGGATGGAGTTGTGGTCCAAGTACAACCAGATCAGCTGATTCAGATGAGCGAACTGGTAGGGCAGCAGAACCAGCAGGTTGTTATAGCGCAGAGACAGACCCTGGCATCCTGTGGTGATGTTCACCGGGATGTCCTGAAAGATGCCCGATTCGCAATAAACAATTTTTCCTTCGCAGCGGCAACTCGTGGGGCACATTCTCTCCCCCTTGCTGAGCAGCAGCAAAGCGGCCGCCTGCAGAAGAAGACATGATAACCTCCGGTCCAGCATCACAGAACCTGTTGGGGGTAAAGTGGGGAAGAGGAAATCAAAAAAGGAGGACTCGCTTTTTTTTAGAAAATGTGCGCTAAAGAGACGGATAATGGTGGAAATTCATCCTTCAAACAGGAGATGATGTTTGTGAGGAGCAGCTGGAGGTCTGCTGTCTGAGGCACAGATTTATGAAGAACTGGTCTGATGATGAGGGGGACTCTAAGGGTTTACATTTGAGGGAAAATCACCATCAGAGAGAGAGAGAGAGAGGAAGTTTAAATTCATGCATTAAAAAGAAAAAAAAGGCTTTTTCTCTCTTTAGTTTTAAGAAATTCAATTCAAGAACTAATAAATCCTTCAATAAAAAGCGACCTGAGCAGCCAGAGGGAGGAACTATGCCACTAAATGTTGAAGAACATTCAGACTTACCCATCGTCAGAGGGGGAAGGAGTAATCCTCGGAAATAAACGGGTGAGGAGCACATGAAACTGCTCTGATGGGGAAATCGCAGTTCATGCAGCCGCCGAGTCGATCCGCATCCTGAGCATCACTTCTCTCTTCAATTAGAGGAGGGAGGAAAATAAAAAGCAAGTTTTTTTTTTTCTCCGCAGCCCCGGTCCGGAGCCCCTGATGTCCGCCTGACGCTCCGGGAGAGCAGAGACAGACGCCCGCTGATGCTCCTCCTGCTGATGCCGCTGCGCACTAGTTGGAGACGCGGCTGTAGTTCAGCCTGCTGTGTGCGCAATAACCCATTTGAGCGCCAATAGACTGATGCACAATCCCCCCTCTCCATGCAGTCTCTCTCTCTCTCCCTCTCTCCCCCTCTCTCTCTCTCTCCCTCTCTCTCTCTCTCCTTTCTTTCCCCCTCTGTAAGGCGTAGGCGTCTTCCAGCATCCATAAACCCAAAATATGGCCGAGCGTATTCACCACTTGTAAATTAGCTGACAATTATTCAACTCTGCGAAATCTACTGTCTGTTTTCCAGAATAGTGTCTGTAGTCTGTTGGTAGTTAAATGTTAAATATTTACAGGCCTACATACACGCTTGGTTACTTCACAAATTCATCTGTTAGTCTGCAGAGTCTAATAACAACAACATTATTTAGCATTTAGTTAACCCCATTCACTCCGAGTTCATGAAGGCTAGTTTATTTATAGTCTCAGATTTCAACAGTTTGTTTCTGATCCAAAGATTTATGTAACATGAGAGTCACGTGACCCCAAAAGTAAACATAGACCAGCAGGCTAACAATAGGGGAGACCGGGGCGAACGTAACATTTAGCACACTTTCCTTATACATACTATTTTACTATTTTGTGTTGTATATAATGTACATACTTGTATATTATCTCTTCATTTTTACTTATCTTTATTTATTTTATCTACTTATTTCTTTATCTCTTTATCTTTTACTTATTTTATCTATTATTTATCTCCTCTTTCTACTGTATTTGCACTAGAGTTACTGTAAGCCATTTCCCCTGGGGACCATTATAGTATTTCTGATTCTGGAAATACTTAAAGTACACTCATCATATTTAAGAAAAAAAAAAGAATATACAATATGTGCACTAATTAATGAGTATTGTATGGACTCTAAGTTAAATTTAACTTTTTGTTTTACACAACACAACTCATTTTGGCGCCCCCTGCATGGTTATCTTGTCCTCTACATGCTTGGGTTCGATCTTCTGATAACAAATCTCCTCCAGATGAGTAAACAATGTTAAAGCAGGTTTGTTTCTTCACTCACACCTACTCCTAACCTAAAACCTCGGAGATAAAATTGATCCGTTTTCTAAACTTTGAACAACAGAAAGAAAAATCCAGCTCAACAAAAACAACTTCTTTATACCTCAAAAATCACTTTTTGTGCAGACAGGGCTTGACACTAACTTGTGCTCCTAAGTTAAATAAGTGAGAAGCACACAAAGAACTTTAGGGGCACAATAAAAATTGATCAAATAATGTTTGTCTTATTGTCCGACCTTAGTACTATTATTTAAAATCAATTTTAAGTCAGTTGGTCACATGACATGGAAGCTATTAAAGGAAACAGCATTTTCTGAGAACATCAACCGGTAATTTATTGACGGTCCCTTAATCAATACCCGATGTTGACAGCGAGGGCGCCGAGTAGATTTAACCACGCATTAGAGCCGCAGCGAATGTCCGTCAGATATCGACCTAAAACAAACTTCACTGCCGTATTTACATGAAAAAAAAAACATTTGTTGCCTTGCTAATTTTTTTATGCGCACGTGTTCCCCTAAATATATTTTACAATTCGCACACATCTATTTTTAGTCGCAAATGCGAGTGAAACGGTCGCACAGTCGAGCCCTGACAGAGCTGGTGTCATAACTCCAACTTGTTTCCTGTCTTGTTTATCGAGTGTTTTACGATCGCCATCTGTCACAGTTGCACCCGGTCTCCCCTACTGCTGCTAACAGCGTGATTATCATGTTGACATGAAGAGTGAAAATAGTAGACGCTCACTCATTTAAGATTAATCAGCGTTAGCAGAAAGTTGTATAATGAGTGATTCTGGGTCCTGATCAGCAGCTTGATGATGATGATGATGATGATGATGATGATGCTAACAGCTCGAGTGAGATGTTGTGACACAGCATCCATCCACACTCTCCGGCTGCTGGGAGAGTTTATGTAGATAAACAGTTAACACCTCATGGTGTCTGGAGATGCTGCTGAAGAAGGTGGCAACAACAGGATTATTGGTATTCAAATTAACAGTCCCTATGAAGTGTGCAGGCGGCAGACAGCAGAGGGAGGAGGAGGAGGAGGAGGAGGAGGAAGAGGAAATGTGTTTCAGACGAGAAAACCTGTAATTCTGTTGTCGTTTTTTTTACACCGTCTTTGAACAGACACCCTTCGCCGTGGACACAGCAGGGTGGAAAACAGCGTTTCTGATGGCGCTGCCTCACACGCTCTGAGCCGAACCGTGTGGTAACAGCAACCCCTTGTGCACGCTGGAGGTAATGACCTGCTCGAGGAAGTGTTGGCATGATGACTCCAGCAGAGAGAAGAGAGAAATCAGCATCCAGATTTTGCATGTGCTTCAAAGAGAAAGAGATAATGAATTCATATAAATATTTGGCTGGGATTGCGGTAATATTCCTGGTCAAACAAGATTCCCTCTGATGCCGCAGGATTGTGCTGAACAGGATTGGATTTATGAACCAGCACAGCAGGGGCGACTCGGAGGGGTGTGAAAATGAGCCATTCTGTTAAGATAATACCTCCCAGACTTATAGTAGCACATTTTGCATGAAATGTCAAACAAAATTTGCTCTTCAAAGGACACGCTGCTGCCTCACACGTGTCCCTGGAAATCACATGCCATTCAAGAAATGTGCAACTAAAGTGTGGGAAAACGTGCCGCCTGTCAGGGACCTTGAGAAATTAGGCAGCTCGTTTCCATTTATGCAGAAAACAGCAAAAAACCTGGGAGGCGGGATACGCTGCGACTGTGAGTGAACATGAAGTGACAACTCCACAATCACTTTATAGACCTGATCCTCTTTAAACACGGAAACACTGACAATCTCTGATGTGCACACCAACAGATCTGGAAATCTGACAATGTAATCAGGTGACAAACGCACAAAAAAGGTGACTGATCTGACTTCAGACTGAGCGGAGAGTTTGACATGACGCAGACTTATTTATGTAGCTGCAGGAGAATAAGCATGTCGTGTTTTTACTTAATGTTTATCAGACAGTGAAAAGGTAACGGGATTAAAGAGGAGGTAAAGACTGTTTGAGGGTCAGCAGTTCAAGTCCTGGTACAGACCAAAGTCAGTTCTCTTCCTGGGCCCTGCTGAACTGCTCTTAAAGTCCAACTCCATTGTTTTTTTTAAACTACTTAAAGTCTTCTCAGCGGTCTTTAGTTTTTCGCCGAAATCATGTTACTTGTGTCATTTTCAAGGGCTTTTCTTCTGCAGAGCTTCAGTAGCTCATTAAAAATGTGCCTCTGAGTCGTGGGCGGAGTCAGCACTGCTCTGCACTCTCCTCTTCACGTTAGCTTGCAGCCTAACATTGTCGGCGTAGCAGAAGAAGCAGGTAACACTCAGCTCTTGGACACTAATTTCTTTCGGGACATGTTGAAAGTTAATATCATAATTAGCTTTCTTTCGCTACAGCAGACGCTTGTTCCATGATCGTCCTCTCTACTTCTGAGTCTGGCCTAAATAGCGGGGCTCCGGGGGCGGAGCTTGGATTTGTGATGTAAGAAATCTCACTGTATCTGAACCTGCTGTTCGGGTCTGCTAGAAATTCACAGTCAGTGTGTTTACAGGCACGGCTTAATCTGTCTAAGCTCATAATTCGGTTCCCTTCTCTCCTTGTCCGTGTATACATGCAGCTGAGAAAATTGAATTATTGACGTGAACGTGTCCTTCTCCCCAAAACTAGGGGGCGATATGGGTCTTTTTTTAAGCGTCGCTGTTTACGACCTCATACAGCCGTCAACAACAGCGGGTCGGTGCCAGACATCAGAAATGTCTACACCTGGTACAGCGTTGTTTTTGTCCTACATGATGTACGCGCTACTTTTTCTGCAGATGAGGTCCACGCTACTCCTTTTCTTTGAGTGATATTGTTGTCCGATCATACTCCGACTACGCCGGTTACCTGGTAGAGAAAATCCAATTCCAATCGCATTATTCTAGGTGTCTTAATCAGAGTTCTCTGACTCCAATCGGAGTTCTCAAACTCTGTTGGACTAACACCTAGCTGGACTAAGGTGTTCACTTCAACATTCACTTCAGTTGTCCGGTCTTAATTGGAGTAAGGCAATAATTTGGTTTTCTCAAGTGTCATGTAAACGTCCTGACAGATTGAAATGCAGAAATACCCAGAAATGCAATTTTGCTCTTAGTTTTCTCATGATATGTCCTGTAGCATCAGAAAAAAGCGAATATGAACACGTAAAAAAACAGAAAAACATGATTTTTATCGGTCTTTAAAGAAGACACTAAACCCTGCCTGCTCAGTAACTCGACTAGTTACTATTCAAGGACTGAAACCGCTAGTTTGAGCTGTTGGCAAATGTCGACTAATCACAAAGTCAGAACCACCTGGAGGGAGGACGGCTGACCTCGGCTCTGACGTGAAGCTAAAACCGTGTTTCACTCTGAAAAGTCATCTTTCTTTTTTCCCTTTCAGGCAGATTAAAGGTGATTTTGAACTCTGTGACATTTAAACGCTTGAGATGTTTGCATCCTGGAGGTGCCGCCCCCTCACTCTCACATCTCTGCATTACGGCGCATGTCTGCAGAACCCTGTAGGTGCATGCATGTTTGTACATTTGCATAGAGTTTTAAAAGTTGATCAAAAACGAGTATCTACTTTTTCTTTTTGGTGTTTTCTCTGATTCGTCGATTTGCCTTCTTCGCCTTTTCCATGACCCCTCTGTTGGGTGAGTGGGAGTCAGCTGTTTCAGCCAAGTTATGACTGTTATTTACTCATATCCTCTTTGTCTGTTGTCCCACCTGTTAGCACAGTGATTTTTGCCAAACTTTCACTAAAACAGAGCTGTTATTCTTTGCCTCCAGTAATTGCAATCCAAGTTAGCTAACAATGTATATTTACTTTCCTGGAGAGAACACAGTCAATCTGTTTCACCCAATTTTTACTAGAATAATAAAGCATCTTGTGATTGCAATTGTAGAAATATGAGTTACACCGACAAGAGAGACTTTAAAATGACCGATAAAAACAATGAGAAAGTGAAGAATAAGAATAAATACTTTGACTTGTTCCAGGTCTGTAAACTTTAATCGTTTGCTCTTCTTTTAATCAATCTGCGCTCTGACTCTGACCTTTCCCTTCGTCCTCCTAAAGTCGGAGCAAAAGGTGCAGCCGCGTCACGAAACTAAAAACCCACTGTTGTATGCAAACAGCAGAGATAATCTTTCCTGCTTATCTCTCGAAAAAATGGCCTTTCATGATATTTGAAATATCTAAAAATATCTGAGCTGGAAGATTAAAGTCACTGGACTTTGTCTTGAGATGTCTGCAGTAATCCACTAATTCCTTTATTTCATATCACATAGTACATAAACTAAAACTAATCAGAGTGTGAACTGAAAGGAGGTGTTTGTGGATTTGTAAAATGAGCTGCTGTGTCTGTCTCTCATCCCTTAAACACTAGTTTTATATTTCACCTCCTTAAGACCAGGATCAGAGAACCTGTTTCACCGAGCGAAGAAGAGTGTTTTTCCCCCAACATCCTACAGCTCAAATATCTGACGCTCACTAAACCAAACTCAGGATCGTCATTAAAATTTGATTTTGCACATAAAGAACAAACAAGTGGGATGAAACTCACAACGCTCCGACTACAAACAACGAAAATCAAAGAAGAGAAACCTGAACATGCAGGTAGCTGAAAGACTGACACAGAAAATGATTCTCTGACTTATTTAGAGGATGAATCACTCTGTATGACTAAACGGAAAAAAGGAAGAAAAACAGGATTTCTCTGCAGCTTTTAAGGAGAAACTACACAAGATTTAATGTTCCAGTAAAAGTCACATTTAGATGAAAGTACGACGAATAAATGTAAATTTAAACTGTCCTGGAGTCTGCATTTGAACACAGTACTTTACATTTACATTCACATTCAATGATCGATCCTCTGCAAAATCTGCTCTAGTGAAATTTACAAACAAAGTTAGCGTGCTACAATATCGGACAGTAGAAACCAACCAGAAAGTTCGGAAAATTGTCTGAATCCTCCTTTGGCCACGACTGCCGACACAAGCAAGAAAACAAAGTAAATACCGGAGACTCTGGAGGAATAACGGGCGCTTAAAACGGAGGTAGACCGGACAAGAGCTAAGAAGCCGGGTCAACATAAACTGCTGCGTGTTGTAGCGCCATCTAAACTGTCCTCCCTCGGGTCCTGGACTATGTCACTTTATCCTCGTTGTAGAAGTCCTGCAAACATTGTGTTTGCTGGTAGTCTGTTGGCATCTACAGTAGCACCAATGCTTTTGACTTTCACCTTGACTGGGCCCCATTTGTAATGATCTCAAGTATTTATCTGCATTATATCTGAATTTAATTGGAACGATACGAGCGAGCAGGAGCGTCTGTTTGTGGGCGGGGCTTGAGGGAAGAGGAGGAGCTGAGGGGAAAACTAGTTGGGAGGGGTAGAGTTTACATTCAAGATTTCTCCTAAAAACTGGAACTTCCCCAGATCCTGACGACCCCACCTTTAATCAGAATAAGGCAATAACTGGGTTTTCTTGAGCGTCACGTAAACGTAATGACAGAGGCGATAAATCACAAATGAGACAGAGTCTGTGTGACGTATTCCTTTGGTTTCTAAAGAGGCAACATGAAAATGAGAGACAGCTGTTGGAAACACTGAATCCAGCTAATTTTGGAGAAAACTGGAGACACAGAGATGGAGCTGAGGGACGCCGTGAACCAAAACTGGCAGATCATTTTCACATATTTTGGATTTGACTGAAAATGCAGCATCATTGCAGTCGTGTTTCAGGTTGTTCTGCATGTGGGATGAATCTGACAGGAGTAATTCAAGAGGATCTGACTGATGTGCACAGAGTCCACTCTGAATTTACTTTATTACATTCCCCCCTTTCACAGCTGAGAGGTTCACTTTGAGCTAATGTAAAAATTATACATGTTGCAGGCTTCATTTGTTCACCCTTATTGGAGAAGGACCATTTAAGACACGACACTAAAAGCATTCGAAGCAAACACCGCTGCTGCCGGCGCTCTCATGTGTGCAGCGGTGTGCGATCAGGATGCATAATAATAAAAGGAGAGAGAATCAAATAAAAACACAAAGAAAGTTTCAGACGGTAAAGCTTTACAGTCATGATGCAGAAACTATCGGGGGAGTTGGTGTCAACTTCGATTTGGGCACGCCTGCCTTTCTCCACCTGTCCACCAGATGCCCTCACGCTTTCCAGCCTATCCTGCTCACCTGATTTTTACACGTTTGCATCCCGATCACCCCCCCCTTCCTGCTGGCACACCTGCCTGTCATTACCCCATCAGGCCTCCTGTGTATAAAACCGTCCCTCCAGCCTCTCCCTCTGCCAGTTTGTCATGTTGTGCTCTTGCGGTTCAGCCACCTGTGCTCGAGTTTCTGCCTGATATCTGCTATCTGTGTTCCGACCTGCTGCCTGTTTATGACCTGCCTGCCTGCCTGTCTTGCTCCCCTGCATCTGTTTGCTTATTTGCATTGCTGTCTCGTGTCTGTGAGCTTTTCTCTTCCAACAAAGATCCAGCAAAGTCCTTCTTTTTCTCCCTCT